CAATAGCCATTCCAATTTTATTTAATATATATATATATATATATATATATCTTTATTTCTATTTTTTCATACTTCTTTGAAAAAGCCTTACTTATTTATTTGCTTTCATTGAGTTCTTGTCCTTAACATTAATTTATATCCAAAGTATCAAATTTTAGATAATATTTTTAAAAAAAAAAATACCAAAATTCAAAGTCTAGTCAATAAATCTTTATATTCATTTTTATTTAGTTTGGTATATTTTTAACTTCAATGAATTTATTGATAGAATATTTTTTTATCAATATAATATTTAAAATTAATATTTAATAACCATAATTTTAAATATAAATTTATAAGATTTATTACTAAAATTAAATTAATTCTGCTAATATTTGACTACAACATTGCACCAAGTGATTACATCTATTACCTACTTACTTGTGCTTCTACCTACAAGTTCTAAACTAATCTTCACTAACAAATTCTAAACTCCAATGTTGTTAAATTGGTAGAAAGACCTTTAACATCTTCTATATACTTTAATCATATACCACTAGGTATTCCAAGATCTTAACTACATTTTTTTTATGGTAAACTTCATGTCAGTATTTTCTTCTTGTTTCTATAAGACTTGCCAATTCATCCTATCCAAACATAACATGCCTTCATCTCTTATATATCTTGTATTTTTTATATTACTAACTCTACAAACAAGTTTATTGTTCACCATTACTTTGAAGGTCATCAACATATAGGTTTATGAATATGATATATGTCTAAAAAATACATATCCATAAGCTTTGTATTACCATCAATCTCAAGGACAAAATACAAAAAATTATTAAACTTGGCTTATTTAATAATAACCTTTAAAATGCTTGTAATTACTAGTTTATAATATATACTATAATAAATCTACTTCATTTATTTAAAGACACTTTGATTGTATTTTTAATTTTGGTATAAATTTATTTTTATTTATTAAAAACCATATTTTTAGTTTTGTGACTTGCACCAAGTTACAATTAATTTTTTTTATATTTATTACAAATCCATAATGTCATTAATAATAAAATTTATAAGCCTTTATATAGAGACATTTTTATTGACTTTTGTATTAAATTATTGAAATAAATTCATATTTCTATGCTTAGTCTTTTGTGCAATATCTTATCTAATATCCTAAGCTTTGCAATGTAGGCTAAAAGAAATTATTCAAATCAGACTCTACTATTGTTACTTCATTCAAAATTCTATGAAAATAATGTTATTAATGTAATAAATCAAGTTGTATGTGGCTCACATGCTTTCAAAATTCAAACACTCAATTTTGACAATCTAAAATCACTTCTCCTTTTAAACTTATAACAATTACTACAATCTCATCCACATTATTGGTCTCAATCCCACAACTTGAAACAAAGCCAATTATTTCATGGTTCCTCTCTCATTATAAGTACTTATATATAAGTAGTATCTATCATCACTATATTAATGTATTATTTCAAAATCAACTTGAAAATTTATTGAATATCTAGATGTAGAAGGATTTGATCTTATCTTCAAATTAGATTTAGAATCTAAAAACTTAAATTTATAAGGTATTTAGAAACACCTTTAAGGCAATCTTAAACCATCTAAAATATCTTATTATATAATATTCAACTTCAATAAATCTTAAAAAATCATTTCAATTTTTTTATTTAAATCTTAAATAAGTTATAAAAAATATCAAAAAAATCTTAAAGAAATTATAAAAAAGTCATATGAAAATTAAGATAATTCTTTGGTAAAACTTAATTTAAATTTAATTAAATATTAATTATATCACAATCAAAATTTAATTAAATCCTAAGAAAAGCTTAATTGAATCTTAATAAAATTCAAAAAAAATCTTTAAAATCTTAATCAAACTTCAAACAAATTTTTTTTAAATTAATCCAACCTTTAATAAATTATATAGAAGATTTTAAATCTTAATAATTACTATTTAAATTATTAATCTTAATTCAAATTTTTTTATATATTTTATTTTATTATTAAAAAATATAAATAATTTGAAGTTAATATAATATAAAAATTCAAAGAAAATGCTCCTAATCTACTTAGATATTAGTTTTTTTCTTTTTTCAAGCTTAATGGAAAAAATTTAGAATTAATGTCTCTTTTTTTAGATTACTAAATTATTTTTAAATTTTGTAAGAATCTTAAAAACTTGGTCAACAATGGCTTTGAAGAAATTGAGTACATACGGACTTTATGAAAGCATTGCAAAGTTAGAGTTTTTTTTAGTGATTCTATTTCAAGTTAAATAAAAAAAAAAATGAATTTGGGTGAAATATGTAAGTTTTTAACATTCTTCTTAAAATCTTAATCAATCTTGCTTTCAAACTTTGCTCTTCAAGTAACAAAAAAGATTTCATGTTTGCCATAGGTATACAGTTTTATACCTTAGGATTTGGTTTCAATCCTAGTTTATAATTAGTCCATTTTATGTACAAAACTAAGATTTTTGTAAGAAAGTTTTGCTGAAAGTTACTCTTTACTTTTATCTTAAGATACCAAATGTTATTTTTGCTAACCTTATTTGCATTGTCTAATTTATGATACTCAAAAGTAAGTATAAGTATTTTTTTTATAAAATGATAATATTAGCATTAAATTATTTTACTACCTTTTAACTTTTATCAATTTTTTTAAAATATATTTCTAATATATATTAAAATAATTTCTACTATGATATAATTTTTTTTTCTTTTGCCCAATAGCCATATTACAATACAACAACACTATCTATTTCAAGTACACAATCAATGCTAACAAGCACCAATATTATTTCTACTATCTCTAAACTAAAACCTTCATTAAAAAATAATTTGGCTATTAAATCTACATTGGCTATATATTTGACATAAATAAAAGATCTTTGTATAGCAAAAGTAATTCTTATTTTATTGTGATATAAATAGTTCTCATTTGTATAATAGCATTATATCTTTTTTTACTAAGAAATTAAATTAATTATTGATTTATATTTATTTCTTTATATATATTTTGAAAAATATATATTTGGTTTGATTTGAATGATTTCTTGTATTTTTAAAATATAAATTATGTTTTTTAAAGAAATAAATAAAAAAAAATCTTTTATAAGCTTCGAAGATTGATAATTATAGAATGAGCAAGTAATTAACTTTATTATATTTTGGATTTTAAAAGAAATAAAAAATATAAAAATATGAAAAAATGATTGTAAAATTTAAATTAGATATAAAAGTAAAGAGTTTGTTGTAATTTTAGTATATTTATAGTATTTGGATAATAATGAGTGCTTGTAAAGGATGCTCAACATTTTTGATGTAAATAGAAGTGAATACATTAAGATAGAAGAGTTTATGAGATCAATACAAAGACATAAAATAATGGTGAATACATTTAATACTAAATGGTTCTTTAGTTAGAACAATTTAAAATATTAGATTAAGATCAATGAATATATTGTGGTACTTAAAATATAAAAAAACTATATTTAGTTTTTATTAAACTTCGATGTTTTTACTTTGGTAACTCAAATAATTCAAATACAAGTTTTCATATGTAACTTTTAAAGCATTAATAATTCAAATTATAGAACTTAAAGCTTGGAATGATTTTCAATTAGAGAATCCTTCAAAATGATGTTAGTATTTTTTAAAATCAGCCAATAGTAGAAATCTTGTCACTCATTGTGCATCTTATAGTTTTGTTTTAGCTTAGACTAAGAATCATTCTCCAATCAATCAATACACTAAATAATCAAAAAAAAAAAAAAAAAAAAAAAAAACTCTTTGACTTGTAACAAAATTTGGTTGAAATTTTGAACTATCAAACTATGGACTAATTTATATTTGAAGTGCAAAAATTTGGATAATGTAATTATTGAAGAAATACTAGGATTTGGATTATTGAAAGTCTTTGTGCTAACTTTTCCTTAGTTTTATATATTTTTTACTTTGATAATTTTATTGATAGAATACTTTTTAGTCAAAATAACATCAAAATTTAATACTATACAATTTCATACAGAAAAATGTTAAATAAATCCAAATTTTTACTGAATCAACTTCCATCCATCTCAACCATCATAAAAAAACTATAATGGCCTTTGAATTCATTTCTCCACTATTAGATATGCAACTAATAAAAACCAACCACATTCATCACAATTATCATATTCTTCATCAAGGATGGATCTATTTGATAAAAGCATGGATCTATTTAACATTCTCCATCATATATCGTCTATTTAGATGCATCTATTTATAATACTCATTAACCTTGAAAAATATTTAAAAACCCAATATTTTTAAAATAACAATTAATATTTAATTTTAATAATAAATAAATAAATTTGTATTATATAAAAGTATCTTTAAATTTTAAATTTTAAAGTCATCAACTATTATTTTTTAAATATTTATTCTAAAAAAAATTAACAAACTATTCTTAAATCTTAAAATTAATTTAAAAAATATATTTTAGTATAAAAAATACACACTAAAAAACTAATATATACATCAATTGAAATTAAAAGAATTAAATTCTTTATCCCTGGTTATTTCATTGAAGTCCCAACTAGTTAAACTAGGAGCTTAATATAATCAAGTAAGATTGAGCATTTGATTGTTGGGAAGGACAAGAACCTTTAGAATAGGTCCCAAGCCTATGCTTGAGGATTATATACTTATAAGTATCTTCATCTATAAATAAAGTGATGAAATTTTGATACCAGGAATGGAAGAAAAGAAAAAAAAAAAAAAAAAAAAAAAAAAAACATACAAGAAAATGCAAACGAGGATCCATTAGGATGGCAAGCACCGACCCACCTATGGACGAATTTGCGACTGAATGGATGATAAATAATGGATGGATGAAGAAGGGGATGGAATTCGGAGCGAGAATGTAGGATAAGGGAATCCACAATGGAGAGAGAGAGAGAGTAGAGACGTGGCCGCGGCGTCTGCGTGACGACCCCGTGTTGGAGAAGCAATCCGACTTGGCTGTGTCGTGATCTGGCACAGCTGGAGCTCTCGAATCGAAGCAACAACAGTCATGCTCACTTGGATCATAATTTGTTTGCTTCACCAGCAATGCGGCAAACTCGAGGCAGCAGCATCACCATTACCCCACACACTTGAAACCGATTGAAGCGTGCACTGGCAGAGGTCGGAGATGGCCTGTTGTTGAATCTATCTAGGTCATTCGTTGTTGCACTGCGAGATTTGGTCCCATGCTGCAATTGATACATCCCACTTCTCGACTGCTTGATCACTCGCTTCTTCATTCGTGAGCTCGTTCTTGCCACTGTTTGAGATTCGTCGTGAGAGGAACCGTGGGTGTTGGTTTCAGACCGGGTGTATGGAGTAACGATGTCACGGTTCAAATCAGCTGCTGTGTCGTTCGTGACGTTCTTCTTCCTGATTCTGTGCAAGTGAGTTTTGCGATGCAATCCAGTCTGTCTAGAATTTCTTTGTCGAAGTTTTGGCTATGGTGCCGGCGGTTTACAGTAATGCCCGCAGTCGTCCCTCGACGCAGGTTATTTAGTTGGTAACGTGGAAATCTGATTTTTGTTATGGGGCTGGGCAGAGCTGAGGGAGCAGCTGCGCATGTGAAGTTGGCTGAAACACCACCGCGAGGATGGAACTCGTACAACTCATTTTCGTGGATCGTCTCAGAAGCAGAATTCCTCGACAATGCTAAATTCGTCTCCCAAAATCTTCTCAAGTTCGGCTACGAGGTACTCTTGGGGCAACCTAATCTGCTTCCCTGCTGCGTTGCATTACTGCTGCGTCCGAGCATTCAAATGTCCCCGAACTGATAGGTTTGTTGACGATTGTGGGATTGAATGATCGCGCAGTATGTGGTGGTGGACTTCTTGTGGTACCGCAAATTTGAATTGGGTGCATCAGTGTGGTCAGCCGGTCACGACGTGATCGACGAATGGGGTCGTCCAATTCCGGATCCCGGTCGCTGGCCGTCGTCTCGCGATGGTAGTGGCTTAGCTCGCGTTGCAGAACAAGTGCATGCTATGGGTTTGAAATTTGGGATTCATGTGATGCGGGGAATCAGCAGCGCTGCTGTGGAGGCGAACACTCCAATCTTGGGCGCCAAGGTGCAGCTCCTGACCTAATTTCTGGGAACACTGTAGGCTTTCCAATTCTGGGTGTGTAAAATTCATTGCAGTCACGACCAATTGATGTGTGTTTAACGGATGCACGGAGTATTTTGGTCAGGGCAGTCCGCACAATACGAGTAGGCGGCCATGGCTGGCTGCGGACATCGCAGTCCCGGGAACGGCGTGCAGATGGATGTCCTGCTGCTTCATGGGCGTGGACGCGACTTCTGAGGGAGGGCGCGCTTTCGTCAAATCTCTCTACGACCAATACGCATCATGGAGCGTAGATTTTAGTAAGTCTTCAACCTCAACTATCAACTGGCCGTGAAGACTGTACGCAAAATACCGGTTGTTTGCACTTCATAAATAAACCGTTGATTACACCCCCAAGTTGTTATGAAATGATGCATTTTTGCCTGTGCAGTCAAGCACGATTGCGTCTTCGGTGTGGAGGACTTTCGCTTGAGCGAGATAGAACTTGTAGCGAACAGCATTGCAGAAACTGGAAGGCCTATTGTGTACTCTCTGTCGCCGGGTGTGCAGGCATTCCCGGACATGGGCAGGGAGGTATCAAGCTTGGTCAACATGTATCGTGTGACTGGAGACGACTGGGACTTATGGTCGGACCTGAAGACGCATTTTGATGTTGCCAGGTGCGTCTACTCGATGTTACTACTAGGCATGCGCAGCATTGACAGGCATTTGTCTCTCCTTGAGCTTTGTGTTGAGTATTTGATGAATTTCTCGATTATCTGGACAACAGAGACTTTGCAGCAGCAGGATTGATAGGAGCTACGAATGCACGAGGCCGTTCCTGGGCAGACCTGGATATGTTGCCGCTAGGATGGCTCACCGACCCTGGTAATTCCGCGCCTCAATAGGGAATTGTGAATAATCCGTCTTTGTGGTGCTATCTGGGGTTGGTTGATCATCTAGCGCTTTATGTGGAGTGGATTCAGAGATAATTACCTGTCGAAGCGAAATTTTTCAGGTGCTCCTGTTGGCCCTCATCGATGGTGCAATCTAACTCCAGCTGAACAGCGCACGCAAGTAAGTCTTACGTGCATTTTCGAACCCCTCCGCATATCTGGCCTTGCCATCGTTCTTTTCCAATTTTGGCGGGTATATTTGTTGAACTTTTGCACAGTATCTGTAAGACTTGAAGATTGATTCCAATCAATAGGTCCCTTGTGTATCATCACCAGCCTCAACGTCCAGTGTTAAATCCTTGTCTGTAGGTGTCTCTTTGGGCGATAGCGAAAAGCCCCTTGATGTACGGTGGGGACTTGCGGGCCATGGACAGTGCAACCCTGTCTTTGATCACGAATACTCGGATGCTGGAGATCAACGCTCATAGTGTGGGAAATCATGAGGTACGCCGTCCACAGAACTTTCGGCGAATTGAGAAGTGGTGGCTGGAGTTCATCATTCGACGAGTTTGTTGGGTTTCAAAAGGATTTGGTGCAAAATTTCAAAGTTGAACGATTGTTCGCACGTTTCGCAGCTTCTGAGTAGGTCGCCTTCCCACTTTGGATTAAGTGAATGCAAGAACACCAGTCCACGGCGATGGTCACTCAGGCCTGGACCTCATTCCAAGCACGGCTATGAGGTCTGTTGGACTAGTGAGGCGCCGAGTAAGAAGATGTGGCGCCGGGGTGGGGATCCACTGCTTGAATGCTTTAAGTGGACTCCCTTTACAAATGGGTCACAGGAAGTCACCACCTCTTCTAACCTTGGCTTCATTTCGTCACCCCGCGACCGAAGTGGATGTCTTGCTGCTGACGTCCTTGGAATTCCGAACAGCGACGTGCAGCAAGCAAGGATGTCTGAGAGTGCAGGATGTAGTCGTGGAGAACCAAATCAGGTCACACATCCGATTTCGTTTGTTGAATGCTCTTCACCACGCCCTAATCTATCCTTAGTCAGGATATGCTGCCTCGAGTCTTGTCTTGCTTGCTGATGTCTAAGAACGCATGTGCACAGTTATGGCGATTGACACTTGACGGGGAACTTCGGAACGATTACACTGGTTTCTGTGCCTCTGTTGCCGACACCGCTGGGGAACGCATTTGGGTGGCAAGGCATCCTTCAGGTTTGACCTCGATATTTCAAGTGCCTTATCTTCAGAACTCGCGAGGACTTTTGAATGTGTGAAAGTTCAATTTTGAGGCCACCTGAGTTGCAGTGGTATTTATGAATAATGTTGGATTATACAGTGTGTGAATCTGGGTGTTTCTGTACTAACTGACTTCTGAATTGTTGATAATTTTGTTCAGATAAGGTATTCTATGTGGTCTTCTTCAATTTGGATGCCAAGGAGGCCCAAATGTCAGTGGGTATTGATACAGTGGTCCGCAGATTCGTGCCGTCTCTCAAGTCAAGAACGGTTTTCTCTCGGTTTCACGAAATATTCCCTGATGCATGGTCGTATCTTGCTCAGATGTGGCGAAACCCTCCTAGACGTGGAGTAGTCGCAGAGAACACCTACTTGGTCTGCAAGGCTGTCGATTTGTGGGACGGACGTGATCTAGACGTGGTCGAGAAGTCTATCGGTGCTATTGTGGAAGCGCACGGTGCCGCTGCGTTTGCTCTCACTTGTGCAGGCCTCTGATCGACAAAGATGATCTCAAATATTGAAATCGTCTTTGAAACAAATGTAAGCAAAGTGCAACCTATGAATCAACAAGGCTTCGAGTAACCCTTCATAGGATCTTTGTATCCGTGTGATTGAGATGTGCAATTTTGTTAGTTGCACTGGTGGATGTGTGATTGCTATAATCCATTTCGGTTTCTGGTGCCATCTTTTGCTGCTGGAGCTTCGATAATTCTCGCCAAGCTTATCTTATTTGAAAATCCACATGAACTATGTGCTCGTTTTTGATAGCGTATGGACATGGTCGATTCCATTTCAAGCTGTTGTGGGACCGATCCTCAGGCAAAGAACTTGCTTTACACTAAAGATGATGCGGAAGATTCTTTCAACCATCATGGACCTCTAAATATTTCCTGCGCTCTGTGAACATTAATTCGCCCGAACCTTAATTCTATTTTAAAGACATAATAAAAAAAAAAATGTGACCATTGAATAGAAATGGTGTAATGGGTGAATGAACATTAGGGCAAATTGCTGTGGAGATGTAGCCGAATGCTCTAGATTTATTAAATCTAGAGTAGAGGGACTGAAACTGGCTTGATCCAGGGTGTGGTTATGGCCGTATCTGCTCAAAGTTGTGATCATAATCAATTGCGGTTGCACGTGTTGATTCGAATTGTTAATATTTTTAAATCATTTTTTATTTTTTTATTATTAAGGTTTCAGGATAGGGGAGGTACATTGAAGTCGGCAAGAATTGTGAATTCAAGAAAAGAGAGAACTTGATAGCACTGAAAGCAAAGCAGTTCTACAGGGAGAGATTGAGTGCAATATTAATGCAAACCAAAAAAAAAGAAAAAAAAGATAAAGGACGTATTATCAAAACGTTTTGTAGAGCTTGGAGTCAACTGAAGATGTGTCAATTGATTGCTTAGAATCAACTAAGAGATATAGACGTGGGTGAAGACATTGTTTGTGATAAAATGGAATATCTATCTAATTGTAGCAATTGTTTAATTTTATAGAGAAAAATCATACAAGTAGAAGTTTGAAACATAATTAGAATTATTTAATAGAAATAAATAAATTCAAAAAAAACAAATAATTAAATAAGAGAATAAAAGAATAATTATATATTTATATACAAATACAAAAGACATGATTGATATTAGAATATGTACATTTGAAAGATAAGACTCTAATTTTAACCTAAGAACTATATGAAATCTTAAAATTTTGGAAGAATTAGATAATATATATATATATATATATATATATATATACTTAGATTAACCTAAAAGGATTATTAAATAAATTTCTAAAAGTTGCCCAAAATATTATAGCCAATTTTAACCAAGTGGTAGAAACTAGCTATTTTAACAAAGATTTTTAGAGCAACAACTTTTCTTAGCCTTAAATTTAGGAAATGCTTAAAAAATTAAGATTCAAATAATTAATCCTATTATCTATATAAAAAAATTAAAAATAATTAATTTATAAAATTTTATTATTTAAATATAAATTCTTTTTGGAAACTAAGTATAGAATCAAAGATTATTGAAGACGAATTAAAATTAAATAAAAACAAATAAGAAGGTAATTCTCCACCAAAGCTAAATATGTCATTTTAGGAACATAAAAGGAAAAATCTTAAAATGATAGAAAATCATATAAGGAACATGGGCCAAAGAAGTTAAGCAATGTTGAGAGATCCATATTAGTTAAAAAAAGAAGAAAATATTTAAATATACAAAGAAAAATAAGATCACTTAATAGTTTTGGAAACAAATTAAAAAGATACAAGGAATTGATCAAAATAGACAAACCAAATGCTACAAATTTTGGTTTGTAAATTCAAAAGAAATTACACATAAGAAAACATCAAGTTAAGCCAAACATTTGGACAAGAAGTACTACTATTATTAAATTCAAACCAAAACCTAAAAGTAACCAACAATGTTTAAACAATACAAGCCTATATCAACTTAATAGTCCAAAAATTATGGTATGACAAATATATAACAAACTTTGTATAAATGATAAAATAGACTACTATCTATTTAAAAAAGAAGATTTATAAAAATTCATGCCAAAAATATATTTTAAAATAGAGGAAATTTAATTTATGTAACTTTGAATGAAAAACTTATGTTGAAAAAGAAACTATATTAGAAAAGCAAATATTCAACTCAAGCAATTGTTGACAATCAAAGTTTTTTTCCCTAAGATAAATTTTTATCTAAATTCATGAAATTCCAAGCCTCAGAAAATGAAACCACATCTTGTTTATTTATAATACTTGAATCTCTTTTAGTATAAATTATCTTATAATAATAATTTCGTTTTTATATAAATTATTGTTAAAATGAGACATTAATACCATGGTGTTATAACATCTCCCAAAAAATAAATGATAGAATAAAATAAAATAAAAAAACAATAAGTTGGTAATGTAATAAAATATATTAATTATAAAAAAGATAAAAAATCAATATAAAAAAATAAAAAGGCCATTGATAATAAATATTTCAAATCAAAAAGACTAAAAAGAAATTGGTACATTCTCAATTCTTAAAGGAAGGAAAATAAAGTGATTACAAGATATCTCAAGAGAAATTACCATAAGCCAATCAAAAAAGCTCAAAAGATTATTATATAGTTTATTGTAGTAATCAAAATAAAAGAAATGCTAATAATAATTTCTAATATTAATTAAAAGATAATAGATGCAAATATCTAACTATCCAAAGATATTAAGATAAGTGGCTAAAGAAGTTTTAAATATATGATAATAAAAAATACCAAAATAGTTTTTAAGTAATAATTTAGAAGCAAGCAAGCATTTAAATCTAATTTTATTATCAGTTTAGTCACCATCATTACTACAAGAAGATAGAGGAGAATAGAATACAATATTAAAGGATACTAAAAATTCTTATACTTTTCATTTCTACCATGATGACAACTTGTAAGATCGAAGAGATAATACCAACACTTAGCACTGTGCTCAAAAAAAATAAATCAATCAATTAATTGGCAAGAAGTACATGGGATTAAAGATATTACAAGGATTTACAAGGTGATAGCCTTGAGTAAAAAAAAAAACATTATTGTGATAAAGGTCTAAAGAAGAAAAGACATGTCTATGGTAAGCTTTCTTTACAAACTAGCTAAAAAAACAAAAAGTACTAAAGTATGAATATTATTTGCAAGGCAAGATTTATTTGAAGCAAAAATAAATAAAAAATAAAAAAATATAACCACCCCCTACCAGTAAAACACATCAATTGGGCATAGAGTGTCGACCAATAATCCAATAAATAAACATGAGAAATAGACAAATAACAATAGTTATTTAGAAATAGACTTATAATATAATAAAAAGAGATTCTAAATTGAAACGAGCCATGTCTCTTAGATCTTTGATAGAAATTAGAATATGAAAAACTACAAAAAAAGACATAAAAATTGTGGAAGATTGGTTAGAAACAAAGAAACATCATAGAACATATTGAAGACTAGTCTCTACATTAAAGACTACTTGATAGTAAAAAGATACCTAAAATACTCATATAAATTTAGAAAGGATGAATTAAGAGTCTTATGTAGATAAAAAAAAATTATATTTTAGTTAAGACTACTTTAACACTAATATAATTTAATCTTATTATATTTATAAAGACAATACATTATTTAATTATCTCAATATTTAATTTTATGTTCAACTTTAAAATAAACAATCCAAAAACTTGGCTTTTAAAATAAATTTCAAATTCCCTAATAATCTAATAGTGTGCAATTAAATGCAATGCATTTTAGTCTATACTCTTAGTGATGGAAATTTTCTAAAGGTAAAATTTTAACTTTTAAGATTCCAAAAGAATTTTACAAAGAAAAAACAATCAATAGAGGTTTTAATAATATATATTATAAAAGAAAAGTAAAAGAGGCTCACAACAACCCACAAAATAATCTACAAAATTTATACTTATAACAAATTCTTGAGGTACTATAAAATAAATCATCTAAATTTGAAGAATAAAAAATTCAATACTAAAGACTAAAATTCCATCTTAGATGGAAGAAACATAGAGATATGTACTCTAAAATATTATTTAAAGATATTAAAAAGACACTTTAAGTCTTGTATTACTATATCTATAAAAATAGATAAAATTTATTACTGTAGTTAAGAAAATTTTTAAAAGTCTTATCTAAAATATTATCATAAACTATATATAAGACAAAAATAATTTTTATTAGATTGATGGTTTGATCTAAAATTCTAATAAAAATCTTTCTAAAGTCACTATATGAATTCATTTGTAGACTTATAAAACCTACTCCTTGTAAATAACTACAAAACATAATTGAAATATGGCAATATACAAGCTCCAAGTCTTACTGGAGTTAAAATATGATTTTTAAGACCTATTAGAACTAATCATAAAGATTTATTTATCATAATGAATAGTACATTTAGTACAGAGACTTTTCTACAATCCATAGTTAGAGATAATGTAATTTTTTTACTAAAAAAAATTGTGAAATCTAGTACAAACTTATCACTTTTTTTAAACTCATCTTATGAAATATATATATTTAAGCTTATAAAAAAAATTCCGAAAGAATCCTATAGACATTATTAATCTTATTCAAATTATTTTTCTTTCCTTAAGATACACTCATGATAACATATTATTAATATCAAAAATAATATTTTTGGCCAAAAAGTCCAAATAATCTTTTCTTTTGTTTAAATTATATCTTTTTAAATTCTATAATCAAATATGTTGATATTTTTGGATTACTATAAAAAAATAATTTTTATAAATAATTTATATAAATATTATATATATGCATATATATATATATATATATATATATATATAGATTATAGAATTAAAGCCAAAAATTGTATATGCAACAACTTCATCAAGAAATTTTATATCCAAAGAAGCACAAGACAAGAGTGTTTTCTTATACCCTGCATCTTTTTAATTTCCAATTAAATTCTTAAGCTAGGAATAGAAGAACTAATCTAATCTAAAAGAGTTAGAGAAAATATAATATAAAGATATAAAGACCAAAGAAATCTAAGTCAATATGCAAATGATTCTATCTTAATTTTAAATAGTAATGAAGAATCCTTAATCAATATAGTTTTTATATTATATAGATTTAACCAAACTTCAAGGTTATAAATAATTAGAGTATATTATGAATATAATGGCAATAAAAAATCAAAATAAAAACATATCCTTTTCAAAAAATTATTTTAGCTTGGCTTAGGCAATAAGTAAGAAGTAAGTAAACTCCAATGTATTAGTTGGTATTTTTTACAAGCTAGAGATTTGAAATTTTTCTTAAGTTGCCTATAAAAGAAACTTAAGTATTGGTGTTGTCTATGGATTAATATTACAAAAAGAACTATCAAAGTAAATATTTTTTTCTTATCTTTACTATATTTATTTATTTTTATATAAATTAGGTCTATCAAAGTAATTGAAAAGCTTAAAAAAATAACTATAAAATTTGTATGAAGTAGCATCTAAAGATTTATTAGATCTAAGATTACTAAATAAATTTATTATTATAATAAAAATAAAAATAAATCTATGCATTATTAATTGAATGCTAAGGTTGTAAGAGTAGTTAAAACTACTAAATGTAAAACCAAGAAAAAAGAGATGAGTTTTTTTTTGTCTTATTTCAAATATACTCTTTAATTCTTATGTATATTTTTGGAACTTTAGTTTTAAAATTATGACATATTTTTTTAATTTAGAAAAATAATTTTTAGAAACATATAATTAATATATAGTTTTATTTTATTTTTTATAAAATTTTATTTTTAATCCATACTTTTAATTTGATTATAAATATTTATGGTTTAAATTAAGAGCTAAAATTTTAAAAAATCACATTTATTTGTTTAATATGGCATAAAGGCATGATTTTCAACAAATACAAAACAAAAGTAATTGAAAATATTTCTTTATATTATACAATGTGTATGTCTAATATAGAAGAAAACATTCTTTAGATTTGTTTAGAGTGTATTCAAGCATAGAGACTATGGAATTATGCCACTTTGTCTATTTATATGTTAGCCTTTGATCTATACAAATATAGGCCTTTTATGGTAGGAAGTATTTTTTTATGACTTTTTTTTTCTCAAATTCAATGGTTTTGGGTAATTTGGACACTACTACAAGGAATATGCATCTGGATAATTCAAACACAAAAAAATGTCCTAATCTTTGAATTATAAATTTGGAAGTATTATTGAATAAGACAATTGATATATGCCAACATCTTATACTACATAAGAATGATGTGAGATAATATTTGTAAACACATACATAAAACATCCAAAACAACTAGATGTTGCATTAAGTTGGTGAAACAAAGTGACCAAAAACATATTAAGCAGTAGAGAAAAAATAAAAATCCAATGTAACAACAAAAACTCCTTTTAGCAACCTTTGTCATACCCTGAATTGAGGTATAGTAAGCCAAACCTATAGTTTTTGTATCATACATTATGCTACAAAAACTCACCTTTCCAGTGACAATAGAACCCAGATAGTTTATGTTCTTCCTACACTTTCATCAGCCAATGTTACAAGTACACCCTGTTGTTTCAAAAAAAAAATAAAAACCGACACATTCACGTTACAAATGTGTTCACATGCCAATGGGTTCTAACGTCGAAACCGGTTTGAATCACGCTCATGAAAATGGAAATCTGTTCGGCTATGAGGAATGAATTGGAGACTGTAAGAGCAGCTGATCAAGTAAATTTAATTAACTGGATTGGTTTTGGAGGCAACACATTCAATGAATATACTACAAAATATGGTCATCTGCACAATCTGATGCGTTGCAATGCTGTATCTCAGACGCATCAAAGTGTGCGTCTCTCTATTTGGACCGACAACCACGGTATTGTCCAGTTTGCAACCTTAACCTGCTTTGGATCAATCAAAGTCCATCGCTACACAACTTGATGCTGCAACACGTTTTGATTGCAGAGATGCCGGATTTTGGGTCATTCCCTCAATCTAGAAAATATTCGTCAAGTTCGGATGAGGAGGCTTAATATGGTTGTGGAGCACGTTGGCCAGATTCACCACCGCGAAGGAGATTCACCACGATTTCGGGAAGTCTGTAGAATTTTCTGGTTCTGCCGGCTCTACACCTGAAACCGTCGGTAGCAAACCAGTGAACAGCGCGATTAGAAAACTACAAAAAGGAAGAGACCAGGTAAGCCCTGGATCTGTGGTTTTTTTTTGCCGCCCACTATCTCGTTTGGACCTCGCTACTGTGTCTGTTGCTCAGCACGATCGCTTGCTAATTCCATCGCCGAACTGGTGAAACACTTCACGCCCAAATTCGAAACTCACAAAAATGTATTTGCTATTAATACTGTGTTGATTTTGAGTGGATTGCAATGTGTTGACCGGGTAAGATTTGCTTGTATTTGGTACAAGCGAGTGGACTTGGCCTTGCATCTCTGCTTTTGGACTTTGGCGAAGTGGTCTTCCGAGTGAAACCAACTAACGTTGCCAATTCATGAGCTCTAGAATCAAAACACCGCAACGCAACTCTTTGCCTGGCTGTGAAGATCCTCTGCAAAAGCTCATTTCTAGCGCTGAGATGCCCTGAATGTGACCCATTTGCAAACAAAGCCACTAAAGACAATATTGATGAGTGTGTAAACACAGTATTGATGAGCACATACAGAAAAGAAAAGGTGCTCAATGTCAAGTGCCCAATAGATGTGCAGTGCAATTTTAAAAAGAAACTAATGTGTCATAAACAAAAACAAAAAGCAACACGTAATCTGGAGACCATTATTCTTAGCATTGTGGGTGTGTGTGTAATGAGCAGCCAGTAGCATTCAATTAAGGGCACAAACTCGGCACAGTAATAAAACTGTATATTGATTTAAGGACGTTGAACTAACATATGTAATGAATGCATGAAATCCTGAACTAGATGATTTGATCTTAAAAACAGGTCACAAATTACTGACCATGTTCTTTTAATAGTTCCAAATCAGATTTGGTTTGCAAACACCAATTTGTGATAGCTTCATAAAGTATCGCAAATTGGTGTTTTGAAGTAGGCTCAATAAAATCAAGGTTTTGACTTGTGGATTGTTTATTTTTTCAATTATATAAAAAAGAAAATTCTAATACTTTGTTGTATTTTTTATTTTTTATTTTTTTACATGGTTTTGTAATTCAAATGATACTAACTTGAAAAAATGACAAAATTGGTCATTTTTACAAAAGCAAATCTAAAAATGAATGACATATATATATATATATATATATATATATATATATAAATACATATAAATCAATAACCTCTATCTTAAAATCATAACCTGAAATGATTAAAATTACATCAATGGCACATTTTAAATATGTATGTATGAATGTATTTATATGTAAACATAACCCTTTTTTTTAAAGACGTCTTATCTAGAAGTATATCAACTTTATATAAAACAAAATAAAAGAATTGAAGTTTATTTGCAAAATTCAGTGATTGATTAAATTTCAACTAATAGAGAATAAGTATAAGCTTTAGTCAATTCTCTTATTGACTAAACTTCAATTGTGATTTATATATATATATATATATATATATTTGAAATTTTTATGAAAAATTATAATATTACATGATAATACATGTAAAAGATGTATTACTGATATGAAAATAATAGTATAATTTTAAAGCATTTTATAGGCTTAAAGACTCTTCTACAAAAAGGAAAAATGAATGTACAAGTTTGTCTTTGGCTCCAAAAACAAATTGCTATTTTCTTAATTGTTTGTTGTTATGACCAATTAAAAATGTGCTTGCAATCTTTTGTTGATGTTTGAACACAATGCTAATAATATTTTCTAATTTGTAATTACTAAATATTATTCTTTGATACTCTTATAATCATATGTTTTCTTTGAATAATATGGGATGGATTGACAATATCATATTTGTTTGCATATTGAAAGTTAAAAGCCATCATTGTAAATAAGAATAACACTTACTTGACAATGGATCAAACATTCACAAATGAATGCTGTACTTTTTTTAAAAGGTATTATGAAATTTGAATGAAGGATATATTCTATGTAAACTAAGACCATTAAGGTTTATTTTTTCAATTCTAGAATTTTTTGCATTTGTCTCACAAAACTATTTTCTTATATATATATGTTGCATGTGGCTCTATTTTTAAATACTTATTTCATATATACATATATACATATATAAAATATTGATAATATTTTTGTTTCTTGCTTACAAAAAACACCATATGAATTTGAGGAATAAATAGTCCATATCTAGGAAGTATTTGTTAACAAATGTAACAAACTTAATATCACCTTTAACATGCATGTAATTGTAAGACAAGACTTAATCATTTGAAGTGTCTTGTGATCATGGAGCAACAAAAGTTTCAGTTGTAGTTGGAATTTTTGAAAGCATTGCAAAGTTACAATCACAAAATTGAAGCATTCCCTTTCATCTTTGATAGGTTGATATTATATAGATCATGATTTATAACATTTATTTAGAATGGTGAAATTTCAACTCATTATTATGATATCCTTCAGTTTTGAATCTTCCAATCAGTGTCATACCACACCAAACAAACATTTACATTTTCACTTAAAATACAGACAATAATGTATAACAATTCTTAAGGAAAATACGAATTTTCAAAATAATCAATCAGAGATAGATGTGGTAGGTATTTTCTAAAGTAAAGGCTGATCATGTAAATGTTGTGCGTTCTAAGAAAGAGTTAAATAACAAGTGGACCACCAGCCATGCAAAACTGCTAGTAGAACTTGCATTTGAATTTCATGAATTAACGAGAGACTAGACTACTCTCAATCCACAACAAGATAATGGCGTAAGACAATGCATCACATGTCCGCGAGCAGCATGACAAGGTAGAGCAATTCCTTCTCAGCTACTGTATTACTGCAAAGCTCTGATTCGTTTTGGCCTTTCATCTTCTAATTACAAGACCAAAAACAAAAGATACAGATGTAACACATTGCTTCAGGCCACATATAAAAGCATCTAGTTGATTGAAATGTGGCAAGCTTAGATATACCCTTTTGTGGATGTTTCTGCCCTAACTTCTGCTACAAATCACCATGAAGAGACTGGACCATGCAAAAGAAGAAAAGGTGAAAAAGGTTTAAAAAATTCTTCTCTTTTGTTCTTCTATTGACAAAAATTGCAAACGTTGTTCCAAAGACACCAAAACTGGGCTCAGAGTTCAAATCTTGGGCAAGATTGAAACCTGCACTGAAAACCGAAAACTAAGGTGGGCATTGTTACTATGATGTTCTCACCTTGGAAGCTGAAGGAAGGTCCGCCAAGTGGAAGGGAATATGAAATCTAGGCGTGAGTCAACAAACCTAGAAATCCGAGCATCTGCAAAGTCGTGAACAGTCTCAGCTTAAACCAAAACATAAGCTACAGTTATAGATTCCAGTGTGCTCGCAAAGTAGGAACCCAGCATCGGCAACCAGCGGGAATCCACTAAGTGGAAGATTCTTTAGGTTGACACCGAGAAGCTGGAGGGAGGTCCACCAAGAACCCGACCAGTGGAAGCAAGGTCAGGACTATGTAACATCATCGAGAGATAATTCGGATGCATCCTCTCGGGCTGCCGGAAGAAGATGTGGGCAATCTCCGCCGTGGGAGCAAATTTGAAGACCCTCTTATAGGTTCAGATCCACAGTCACCAACGGCCACACAAATGAATTCTCCATGACATCATCACCGACAATTAGGTCAACAGTGTAGACTCCCGGACGGTTTAGCTTCACCACCATCTGGGCGAAGTCCTAAGTGGGCTCGTGCTGCTTCCCTGTCATAGGCTCAAGGTAGGTTTGCTCTGCGCCACTCTCGCCTCTGAGCTTGAGCATGGCATGTTGGGGTTTAAATGAGACTCCAGGTGGACCACTGACCTAAAGTGCCACATTGAGCTTCTGGAAGTAGCTCGCTGATAACGTTGCCGTCTGCTCGAACTCCGGTTTGACATCCGACCAGGGAAGGGCCTCATTCGCTATCCAATAAAACCGTGTTGACATTGGACACCGAAATAGGAGCAGTCACCATAACCATCGTAGCCAAGAAACCTTGTACCGCTGTTCAACAATGCACAAATCTGCAGCTTGTCCTTCCCCAGAGAAAAATCGTTTGACAGAAGCGCCAATTCATACTTTCCGTTTCAGAGGGACGCAAACTCCTGCTGATCTGAGATCGTAGCCCGGGAACCAACCCCGCTGGAGTTTGCTGAGACGAGAGTCATCAAAGCAACAGGAGCAGGCGACCCATCTGGCGAGGTCACAGCCATCTGGAGCTTGCGTGCATCCGGTCCAAGGAACAAATCATCAGTAGCAACACCACCCCCAATTACTGCAGCAGCAGGAAGCGAGAACCCATCGCAAAAGCTTCCAAAGAAATCCTTCGGATTGTTCCTATCCTCGCATTTTTGAAAAAAATAAAAATAAAAATAAAAAAATAACCCCTCAATCACCTCATCACCACAGCTCTCCAATCACCTCAGATAATCTCGAGGATACGAAACTATAAAAAAACTCAATATACAATACAAAACCGCAGAAATGTACTTATAAAAATATTCATATGGTGGGGTTAAAAGCTCACTATTAAATCAAGAGGGTAAAGGCAGAGTCCCTCAAAAAAGCAATACTACAGATTCCCGTAAGCATTATAATTCGTGTGTCCCCAGACCACCTTCCAGCGCAATGCTGCGACGACGGGCCACTGTTATCGAAAGAAAGCGAAGACATAGAAGCTTCACAGACAAAAAGCTAGACACGAAAGCGGATCACTGGATAACAACGAAGGGCGTACATTTCAGGAATCTAGGAAATCAGGAAGAGTGCATTATGGATGGGCCAATGGATGAATGTAGTTGTTACCATACGGATGAGACCGTGGAGGCATTAGCTTTTTGACGTTGGACGTCGGTTATTGGGTACGACGGAAGTGGTGGGCCAGCGTGGAAATGTGAACGGAATCCATTTATTGGAGATTTATCAACTAAATTTGCTAAATTTAGCAACTATTTGAAGATTATCGCATTTCATCAATGTGTTATGCATACATAATTAAGTGAATTAATAAATGTTTGATTTTTTGGAATTGCATCAAATTACATATTATATATTCAAAGGGAATTGTTAAATTGACCCACCCATCCTAACCGTCATCAAAAAAAAAAAAAAAAAAAAAAAAAATCCATAGTTGTATGAGGAGCTCAAGAGGAGCTCAAGAATTTGTGTGCATATGTATGATGATGGGCGGGTTGATTTAGTATATGCTTGGGTCAGTTAAAATTTTTAATCATAGATGAATATATATATATATATATATCAAATTGACCTATGCATTTACTAAATCAACCCACACATCATCATTGGGTAAGGGTCCAACCATTTTATCATTGGTTTTTGACCAATATGGATTTGGTAGTGGAGAAGTTTTTGATGATGGTCAAGATAGATGAATCCATTTAGTAAATACTTGAGTCAATTCAACAAATCCTTATATATATTGGGTCTTGGGAATGGAGTTTGTTGTTTAAAATGGGTTAGAATACCAATATGTCATCGTGCAAATTTGTAATTTACAAATAATAGTGTTGAAACCCACTCTTCCTTTCTTCTTCTTTTCACTTCTCTTTGTTCTTTCCCCAATTTCAACGTATTGAAATTTTTGCAATTAATTAATTAATATATAATTTAAATTATGTTACATTCTTATTTTATTTTGATCATGAAGGTGTCTACTTTTACATATTCTCTTTTGAAGTTTCAGACACGTAGGTACAAGTAACCGACTGAGTTAGCGGTGGATTGGATTGAATGTGTTGTTGTATGGAAATAAAACAAAAACATAATACAATTAATGCTCTTTATAAGAAAAATCACAAATATCCAACAAAAACAATCACACTTGCGCACTATGCTTCGATGTATACTCTTAACATAGACAGATTCTTCAAACTAAACAAACTCCAGTACCATCGTCAAAAAATCAGAGAAAGAATCAAAGTGCTTTAAACTGCAATGAAAAGCCCATTGTTTGAATAATCGAGACCGGCTATAAAACAAATAAGAATAAAAGCCCCCTCATGTACTCTCTATCAATGTTTAACACACGCTGACAAAACACAAAATTGCCATGTCATAAACAGCCAAGAATCATATGATTTTTTAAAAAAGTTTAATAACAAGTTTTTATTTATTTATTAGTAGTGGAACGTAAACCAAATCAGGATCTAATAGCCAAAGTCAATACCGTAGATCCTTCAAATAAACGACCCAGGTTGGATCCAAAAATAAATACCCGAGCTGGATTTAGCTCGACCTTAAAATGAACCAATACAGCTTAATTTTCTGGGCTGGAGGTGGCCACTTGCGGTGACAAAGCTTCATGCAATGTCTTCATACAAGGTCGCGCCGAGGTCGCGGCAAATAGTGCTTCAGCTGAGGGAATCGGGGCGCAAAAGCTTCGCGACGACACATACCGGTCTCACGAGGCCTCCGACTAATGTCTGCTAGACGGAACGAAGGTGAAACGAGGGGGAGGAGCATCCTGCACCCGCCGACTGAAACCACCTCACACAGTTCGAAATCGCTGAGTCGCGGAGGTGCACACGGTCCAAACGTGCCGACTTAAGCCTGCGATCAAAGGGAGAAACTATTCCTTGGATTGTTGACGCTTTGAAAATGAGGAGTCAACCCACGAATGCCCGTTGCAGGGGACACCAGTGAAATCTGACATCCCAGCAACGCCAATCTTAATCGTAAACCGGCCTTGTGAACTTCCAAGCACGTGCTCTCGCATTGTCGTCACCGGAACGCGATGTTTCCACGGTACTAGTGCAGTGAATGTCAGTTGTGGCAGCGGGGGTGACAGCGGCACCAACTGCGTTTTTCCCGTGACATCAACCGTTCCACAATTCGACGCCACTGGAATTCCACCGTTCCACTTCCCCTCGTGAGGTAGACGTTTGGACCCAGCTTTGTCTTACGCTAGAGTGTCAGTCTGTGTATACGCGTACTATAAATTTGGAGAAGCGAAAGTCGCCGCTAATCATGTGGGGGGTGCAGTTGCTAGACGGTGAATGATTAGCAATCTGGGATTAAGGTGCGAGCTTTGTGCAACCCTTCCCACTGGTTTGTGATTAGGATTGGGGGGGATATTTGTGCATCTATGGGTTGGTAGCGTTCAACGCGCTTACCCGTGCATCAAGCAAGGGTTCCTTCCCCTGTGGATTGAACCAACGCGGTATTGCGCCATACCAGGGGACTCGGAGTGTGCTCACATCCGGCCCTATCGCACGCAAGCTTGATCTGCGGCGCAGGCGCTGGTTTCTCTCTCTCGCTCTCCCGCAGAACATCGTTTTCGATTACCGACCAGATCCGCGATCTCCACCTCATCACACGTCGTAATTATTGGGTGGCCCTATTTTCATCTCTGGTTTCAGCTTTTCTTCTCGTTTGATTCCGTCACGGCTCGTCGCAGTCGCGAGCTCCCCTTGCCTCCTTCCCTGTGCGTTGCGGTAGACTCTCTTCGCCCTTTCTGGTGCGTGGTAACGTTTTGATTTTGATTTTGCTTTTTATTTCTTTTTGGTTAAATAGCGAAACCCATGCCGTTGGAAGGTCTCGTTGTTTCGCACCCCTCACTTCCCGCTCCCGCTTGCTTAACTCGGCTTTCACTTGGCTTGTCTTCCTTTGGATACTGCTCGTTGGTTCAGTGAAACCGCACCTGTATTTTTACACATTTGTTTATTTTCAACACCATCTCATTTCGGGGTTGCATGCTCTGGTCACGGTACTAATCTGCCTTCTCGCTGCAAACCCATCAGTTGTGTATATTTTTTTCCCCTTCGTTTCTAGTTTCTTGTTTTCTAGTTTTTGCGCTGGTCGAACGAGTTGTTGCTGTTGCGTGCGGGACTTGATAAGAGATCACAGAAAGGGTAGCACGAGGTGTTATGATTTTTTTAGTGATCGTGTACATTGTGACGGTGTATGTGTGAACAAGTAGTCAGTTTATTTTCTCGTGCGGGGGTTAGACTTGCTCACACGAAAGAGTGGCGCGAGCGTGCTCTTATTGACGTCTAGCCACTACTTTGCTGCAGATCAACGTTGGAGCTACTTGACTGATTTTTCTTAAAGGCGAGTTGTAATTGTCACCAACAGGTATTCACTAGTATTGTGATGCTACCCTGTGGTGGAAGCCTGCGGTTATCGATATGCAGAAGTGCCAGGGCGTCTCTCTCAATGATCCGGTGATGTAGTTCATTTTGTTCATGCCCACGACCTGTAGTGGGTACAGCTTCTGAAGCTCCAGTTTAGTATATTGTGTACGCAGATGCCCTCCTTGCAAAACAACTCATTTAAACAACCCTTCATCCGTCTCATCCTCTACTTCGGCTGCAAGCATTCAGACTTTAGTTCATATTTTCTTTAGTGCAAATGGCGGAGGAATGCTTCCCCGCATGGGCGAGGTCAGTAGAACAGTGTTTGCAACACTATGACGTCGACCCAAAGAAGGGCCTCAGCAAGAGCGTAGTGCAGAGCAGCCGTGCGAAGTATGGCTGGAACGAGCTGCAGAAAGAACCAGGAAAACCCATGTGGAAGCTCGTGCTGGAGCAGTTCGACGATACGTTGGTGAAAATACTGTTGTTCGCAGCATTTGTAAGCCTTGTCTTGGCGTATATTGATGATCACTCGGCTGAAGAAGGAGCCACAGCCTACGTGGAGCCTATGGTTATTGTCATGATCCTCATTTTGAACGCCATAGTCGGAGTATGGCAGGAAAGCAACGCGGAGAATGCCTTGGAGGCTCTCAAGGAGATGCAATCAGCCCAAGCCGAAGTGATCCGAGACGGAGTAGCAATCTCCGATTTGCCAGCTAGGGAGCTTGTTCCGGGAGATATCGTGGAGCTTCGTGTCGGCGACAAGGTTCCTGCCGACATGCGGGTAATTTCTCTCAAGACGTCAACTGTGCGAGTGGAGCAAAGCTCACTAACGGGAGAGAGCATGGCGGTGTTGAAATCCAATCAGAACGTGGAGGAGGAAATAGAGCTGCAGGGGAAGGAGTGCATGGTGTTTGCAGGCACTGTCGTGGTCAACGGTTGCTTTGTGTCGGTTGTGGTGAGCACTGGGATGAACACAGAGATCGGTAAGATTCAGTCGCAAATTGCAGAGGCTTCTCTCGAGGAGGCAGACACTCCATTGAAAAAGAAATTGGATGAGTTTGGGGAGCGTCTCACGAAAGTTATTGGCGTGATTTGTGTTCTCGTGTGGATGATTAACTACGAGCATTTCCTGTCTTGGGATATGAAGAACGGCTTTCCCACGAATATACGTTTCTCCTTTGAAAAGTGCACGTATTATTTTAAGATTGCGGTGGCGTTGGCGGTGGCAGCCATTCCAGAGGGGCTTCCTGCTGTGATCACTACTTGCCTGGCACTAGGGACCAAGAAAATGGCAGCCAAGAATGCCATCGTGAGGAAGCTCCCGAGTGTTGAGACTCTGGGATGCACCACCGTGATCTGCTCCGACAAGACAGGTACCTTGACAACGAACCAAATGTCGGTGACGGAGCTCGTGCTCAATGGCGCAGAACCAGGAGTAACTCGAAATTTTCACGTTGGAGGCACTTCTTACGATTTTCAAGATGGAGTAATTGAAAGTTTGGAGCCTGGTAATCTGGACCGCAACCTGGAAACATTTGCAGAAATCGCTGCTCGCTGCAACGATGCCAGGGTGTCGTTAAAAAATGGTGTGTTCAAGGCAGTTGGGATGCCGACTGAGGCGGCTCTGAAGGTAACCTCTCACCAGTCCATTTATGAAAGAACTGACCTATTGAGAGGTCTTCCAAGAGGAGGTATCGGAATCTTGCGGTTGTTTTGTTTCGTTTGCTACACCAGTTTCTCGAGGAATACTTCCATGTTTGCCTCACCATATACTTTCTCCTTCATGTTTCGTAGGTTGTAGTGGAGAAAATGGGAGTTCCAGACACGGATGCGCAGCGCTTCATCATGGAGCAACGCGCTTCAGTCGATCCTTCAGCTGATGTAGACAGCGTTGAACTGGGTAGGTACACTAGACCTTGAAGTGGTGTTTTGTACAGCGAGTGCACTCCTCCGGTACACATTCGATTGCTCAATGTTGAATCAATCGTATTGATTTTCCCTCGTTTTATTTACGTTGACAGGTTGCAACGACTGGTGGAGTAAGAGAGGACCTCGTCTAGCTGTTTTGGAATTTGATCGTTGTCGTAAATCCATGAGTTCCATCATTAGAACCCAAGAGGGAACAAACAAGCTCCTGGTGAAGGTATTCCACCTGAACGTTGTCGGTGATGGTTTGTTTGTGGTTGCAAACCGATGTCTCATTTTTTTCATGTTGAATTAGGGCAACTATTGGATGTTTTGTGGGTTGGTCGGAGTGTTTTTTTCGAGTTGTTGCTGTGGTATAATATTGTTGTTTTTTCCGTCTCAGGGGGCTGTTGAGAATGTTTTGGAACGCAGCACCCATGTACAACTCTTGGACGGTACAGTGAAGGAGATGACAGAAGAGGCTCGAAGTGTTTTGCTCTCCAAAATTTATAGCATGAGCACAAAATGTCTGCGGTGCTTGGGCCTAGCTTACACGGACGACTTGGGGGATCTTAGTGATTACGATGGAGAGTCTCACAGTGCACACAAACTATTGTTGGATCCCATGAACTATGACGACATCGAAAGCCGACTCATTTTCGTAGGCATGGCTGGATTGAGGGTAAATTTTCTACGTTTGTGCACTGTTAACTGTTTTGACTGCTTTGATACTAGTTTCATAAGTTGGAATAGAGGATGTGAAATGATGAATTAGCAAAGTGAGGCACTCAACCATTTGATTGAAGAAATTCATGGGATAATTTGGTGACCTTTCGCAGGATCCTCCTCGAGAGGAAGTGCATAGTGCGATTCAAGACTGCTCAGAAGCGGGAATTCGAGTGATTGTGATCACGGGAGATAACAAGAACACTGCTGAATCCATTTGTCGTGAGATTGGTGTCTTTTCTAAAGACGAAGATCTTCGGGAGAAGAGCTACACCGGACGCGAATTTATGGATCTTACTCCAGAGAAACGCAAGGAAATTCTCTTCGGTAAAGGAGGTCGTGTGTTCTCACGAGCAGAGCCAAAGCATAAACAGGACATAGTTCGCATTCTGAAGGATGGTGGAGAGGTGGTTGCTATGACTGGAGATGGTGTTAATGATGCTCCTGCCTTGAAGCTGGCAGACATCGGGGTAGCAATGGGAATTTCTGGCACCGAGGTACAGATGTCATATCATTTGTATGAGTATGGCTAGCGTCTTTGTAGGTTAATCGTTTGCAAGTTCGACGCCAATCGTTGCATTAATCGTTAACCTGGTGCTTGTGCTAGCACTTGTGGAGGTGAAACTAGCACAGTGATGATCTTTAACGTTCAAATAATGTTCTGTGAACTCAAATTCTACTTCAATTAGTACATTGAAATTTAAACTTGTGAGCTGTACTTGTGCAGGTTGCCAAAGAAGCTGCTGACATGGTGCTGGCAGACGACAATTTCAGCACAATCGTGGCAGCTGTTGGAGAGGGTCGTGCAATTTACAACAACATGAAAGCCTTCATCAGGTTTCATATTGTTCCACTCCCGTCAACTTTACGTAATGCATGAGTCCCTATTCTCGTCTTCAAGCTATTCCAGAACTTGAACTGCATCATGTGGATTCTACAGGTATATGATCTCTTCAAACATGGGAGAGGTGGCGTCCATATTTTTAACTGCAGCATTAGGCCTTCCTGAAGGTCTCATCCCGGTGCAGCTTCTCTGGGTGAATCTTGTCACCGACGGCCCTCCAGCTACCGCATTGGGCTTCAACCCTCCAGACCCAGACATTATGAAGAAGCCTCCGCGCAAGAGCACTGATGTCCTCATCAACTCGTGGGTACTCCTGCGTTACCTGGTGCGTTTGGACACATACTCAACATCCTCAGCTCCAAATTTTTCTCTACTTAATCCCTTATATGCGTACAAAAATCCCTATCTAACGTCTCGACTGTGTTGATGATTTGCTGGAATTGATGTTAAACATGCGCATCACCTATTCTTGTACGCTTTCGCAGATTATTGGCTTATACGTTGGAATTGCCACTGTTGGTGCGTTCTCTCTGTGGTTTACGCGCTTCTCTTTCCTTGGAATCGACCTCTCAAGCGATGGCCACACTCTCGTAAGCTTCTCCCAGTTGAGAAACTGGGGAGACTGCCCAAATTGGCAAGACTTCAAGGTAGCGCCGTTCACAGCCGGCAACTTGACCCTCTCCTTCGAGGACAACCCTTGTGACTACTTCACCACCGGAAAGGTCAAGGCCACGACGCTCTCCTTGTCAGTGTTGGTCGCCATCGAGATGTTCAACTCTTTGAACGCCCTCTCTGAAGACGGCAGCTTGTTGCAGATACCGCCCTGGATGAACCCATGGCTACTCATCGCTATGCTGTTTTCCTTCTCCCTCCACTTCTTGGTTCTCTATGTACCCGTGCTGGCGTCGATCTTCGGTATTGTGCCACTCAACTCGAACGAGTGGCTGTTTGTCTTCGTTCTCGCATTCCCTGTGATTTTGATAGACGAGCTTCTGAAGTTCATCGGAAGAAGGATGACTATCAATGAAAGGCAATTGGCCCTTTCCAAGAAACTTAAAGAGCTCTAGACTGCTAATGGTAGTCCGTAGGTTAGCCAGTCCCATAGATTTCATTCATTTCAACCTTGTTTCTTCTTTTTTAGCTCAAGAGCATTTTAGATGATGACATCAACAGGTCCAGTGACACTCGGACAAGGTTTGCAAGCTACTGAAGCATTTGGTACCCCAGCACCAGCACATGATTGCTTGCTGACCGCTTGTGCCCACTTCAATCGCCTTTCTCTATGTCCGGCGACGCTGTGAGGTTGAGGCAGGGTTCGGTCTGTATGCCGAACATAGATTAGGATTACGAGGTAGATTCAATGTTTGCTTTCCCCTCAGTAGACTACACCCGAACAGTCGCATGGAACTGGGTGTCTGTCGAAATGTAATTTTTATTACATACCTCATCAAATTAGTGCTGTCAAACTCTGAAAATTCTTTCGATGCCAACTTATATTGTTTCCAAGCATGCGATGGTTGTTATGCAGGCTTATTTTGCAGTAATAAGAGTTGCAGTTTTGACTAAATCTTGGATTACCTTCCAATGTGTCTGCCTCCGACCCCTTGAAACCTGGTAGAACTTGACTCAAAAATGTTTGCACTGATCAAGCCAAGGTCTGCTTCCAGGGATTCCACGACGAACGATGCAACCAACAGATGTGCTTGGGCAAGACCCATGGTAGAACATTCTGGAAGAAACTCGCTCTTCATGGGTTTACAGATTCTCTATCCTCTCACAATTAGTAAAGATGGGTGTCGTCTGAATCCCTCCCTAAACCTTGTGGAACTCCAAAACAGCTTGATTCGACGCGTACAGCCGCGCGTACCAAATCCTCTTGGCCACATAGTTAGGGTTTCGCAGAGATGTCATTGATAATTGGGCACCTCTTCGATTCTACACAGAATTGTTGCGTGGACAAACGCGCTTTTCACGAACAACATACCATCCTTTTGGCAACAAGAGAGCAAGACCATGAACGCAACCTGATGCAGAATCTGCGAGCAGCAACGATCGAGGAGAAGCAGCACAACCGTGACACCATTGGAATGAAATTCAAGCTCCGCAAAGCTTCGATTGATCAATTGGGAGCTTCGTGGAGCGGATTTCTTACCCTAAATTTCATTCATTTCTTCCGAAACTGAGTGAAGTGTTTTATTGGTATTGTAGATAATGTTTCATTTTGGTTTTCAAAAGACACGTTGGCAACACATGAATTCATAAGATAAGTATGAGATTAGTGCATTTAATGGTATTGGAAGTATTGCATTTAATAATGAGAATTTTTATTCATATATGTGTGTGTAACATGTAGATTCAAAAATAAATTATGTAAAAATCTATTTATATATATATATATATATATATTATTATGTATACATACACATGTGTGTAACATTATACATAAGAATATATATATATATATATATATATTAAAAATAAAATAAATTTGACCAAAATAAAATATTTTTGAATTGTTTAAGTTACATGTTATTTAACAAAAAAGAACATTGATTGTGATTTTAATATATTCTAAATAGATATTTTTATTAAATTTATGTGTAAATAATATAAGTAAATTTAATAGCTCTATATTCAAGTATAATTATGTATATATGTATATAATGAGTAACAAGATTCAAATTATTATATATTTAATTTATAAGCAAAAATTAATATTATTTATAAAATAATGAGCTAATTAATCACTTAAATTTTATTCTATTCAAATTTGTTTCATAAGTGAACCATATTTCAAATATTCTTTGTTTTATGTGATTACATAACAACTTCTTCTATATATTATGTGTTAATTAGTACGCAACAAGATTCTTTTATATGAATATGATCTCTTCTCCAACAAATAAAACATGTACAAATGATCAATAGTATGCTACACAACTAGCCACATTTCTTTACAACTTTGTTATCTTTTTACAATGATATGTAGGAATAAAGACAATAGAAGATAACATTTCATTTTAGTATTTTTTAAAATCTTTCATAGTTCCATCCTTTCACATGATACTACAATAGTTCTTAGATATGAATTGTTTTTAAAAAGACTATCTATAATTGTTACAAAAATCTTTTATAACTTTCTAAGGTCACATTTACAATCTTCTTGATTATTATTTCAAGATATACAAATAACTACTTTATTAACATATACTTAGTATATAAATATAAGTAATTTATGTAATTGCTCAACTCAAATATATTATAATAAAAGAATCACAATCTTTATAAAACTTGGCATTATTAAAAGACATGGTCTTTTGTTGTTTGTAATCAATATTGCTTTTGATTATTTCTATATATAGAGAGAGAAAATATATTTCTAATAACTCCAAATAAAAATATTATATGATATATTAAATTTATCTTTCCATAAATTATACTTTTTTATGTTTTTTTCACCAAGATATCATAAGTTTTCATTATTAAAAAAAACACACACACACACATATATATATATATATATATATATTTTTGCTACTACCACAACTCGCTATCCATTTGATATATTTCTTTAGTTTTTTTTTTATTTTTATATTCCAATAATAAAATTCTATAAATATTTCCAATATGTTATTTTTTACTTTTTACTTTTTTAACAATTATCCAAAAATAATTTTTAATTTCAATAAAAAATAATTTTAAAATTAGTAAGAATAAATTGAAGTAATAATAACAATAACTATGGTGGCATGGAAAATTAATATGCCAATATTAAAATATTAAAAAATATATTAAAAACTATGGTGACATTAATAACACTACATACACACATATACACACACACACACACATATATATATATATATATATAACAATAAGATTGTTATAAATTACTATGAAAATGATGAGTACAATGTGCTTTTGTCAAAACTACTCTCAAACTTGACTCTTTGAAGAAGTACTTAAATATGGAATATTATTCATAAATGGTGACATTTGAACAAAGGCTTTCAATCCTTCATGTTGTTCTTTGAGTTTTGCAAGTAACTGGCAAGACATACCTTTCTTTGCATTAATGAATCAAAATTTCTCAAAAATAACAAAGCTTTGAGACCATGGTCTACATAGTAAGAAGGGATTCTATCTCATGAGTTCTTAGGTTTGAATGTAAGTAACGATTCATACAATATTCAATCTTGAATAATGGTTTTTAAATGTTCTACATTATTTTGAACTCCAATATTTTTACTCGCACTCATCATCCTCAATATCCTTGTACAACACTTCATCACCCTTATTTCTATTGGGCTACCAAAACAATCATGCATACCAAAAGGAATTCGGACCTGCTCAAATTCTTACAACTGGCACACATTCATCCTTCTTGTTAGACATTTCAGACAGATTTAGTCTCACTGGTTGAGTGAAACCCAACTCTGTGTTAAAGTAGAATCAGGTTTTGGGGGAAGAAAGGCATCTCCTTTGAGACATTGGGACTTAGTTCTGGAGGTTTTTATTTGTATTTGTATTGTTAGAGTGTTTGTGGGTTTTAGGGTTTAGGCTTTTTCATTGCCAAGTCCCACTCTGCACATTCCATGCATACGTGATTTTGCATACGGGCTGTTGGTTTTGCGACGATCGGTTGTGTTGGTAAGCTCGTCAGAATTCCCGTCTTTGTTTAGGCCAGCGTCGATGATTGTAGCAGCATGAAAGTGCTCTGGCTATTTTCTTCTTTGCGAAAATGTTCGCAAATATCTCAAGTTGTTTCAACGCGCCCTCAATGACGACTGTCAAAGCTTTTCATTTTGTGCTTTCATCAATCTGAAGCGCAGTCTTAGCTCTCTCAGATTGAGTTTGAAGTTGTTTCGGAGAACAAATTCGAGTACATGTACACTTGTTTGTTGTCCTTTGTGTGATTTCGTCAAATTGGGGCCGGAAATTGTGCTTCTGGAAACCCTGGAATAGGTATGGGTCTGAATACAGTGCGCACCTGCCATCTATGCAGCCTTTGAATTTGACGAGTACCCTGGCTATCTGTGCACTTGTTCTTGTAAGATGTTGGAGTGTTTCCTAGACATGGACTCATTCGGGATGCAGGATTGTAGTTACTCATGTACCAAGTGTCTGATTGTTTGCATGGGCTACCGACAAGGAGTTTGATGGTGGTTGAATCAAGCACCGACTGCAAGCTGTGTTTATAAAGATCTTACTCGGTTTGGAGTTCTTATGGATGCAGATGGTATTTAATGGACAGGGAAAAACACTTACCGGATTGTAAGTGGGGAGCCTCATGCTATAGGAAAAATCCTGAGCACTTACGAGAGTTTCGACATCCTACATCAGGGACACAGGCCAATCAATCGTATGAGAAAACTTCAACTTCGCAGCAGTCAGGTACTCTTGTTTAAGCATTTTTTTCCCGTACTTATGATCATGATCTGGTTGGAAACAATGGACGATCCAATAGATTCTTCGTCTTTTTTCAAAGTATTTGTACCAGAATTTCGGGTACGTGGGAACCATTCTCAATTCAATCGAACCCTCAGAGTTGGAGGTGTTAGTGCTCATTGAAATTAGGGTATAATCCTGTTTCTTTTTGTTGATGAAGTTTGTAGGTGCCTTTGCAAATTAACGGCTCAGATACTAGTTGGAATTGATTTTGCATTATAGGAAACTGTATTTACCTAACATTCACACAACAACAGCATCTGCAGCTCTCGCAACTCTGACTCTACAAGAGGGCTCAATTGATACCAAGAATTTAGTACTTTTGATGCTGGTCGGTCCCCCAGGGGCTGGGAAGAGCACGGTTTGTCAGAAAATTGTCCAAATTGCAGTCCGTCCCTGGAAGCGTATTTGCCAGGTTTGTCGCTTCTTGCCGTAACTATCCCTCTCAGCTATTAAAGCTTAGTACAGCTGGCTTGTGACCTTGATTCTTTATAATTGAAGTACAGGTTGTTTAGACTCGAGATGGGTCATGTTGTAATGGAAGGATTGAACTCTTCTTGATTAAATATGCAGTTCGAGCCACCTCCATTACAAGGAACTAAGCAATTTGGATAGTTGATTCATCCTAAATAGTGCTTGCTCAAGGTTTTGACATACATACAACTCCATGTAGATATAGATTTTCTGTGTATAGTTACAAGACGTTCTATTTAATGCTCCTAATTTAGCGAATTTCCTTATTTTTCAGTTCGTGCTGGTAATCATATATGTGCCAAACCTTTCTTGTGATTTCGCAGGACGTGATTTCAAATGGGAAGCCTGGTTCTAAGCAGAAGTGTCTGAAGGATGCAGCCGCTGCACTGTCTGCGGGAACCAGTGTCCTTATAGACCGTTGCAATATCGACGTTTCACAACGCAAGGAATTTCTTCAGTTAGCTAAAGATAAGGGGGTAGAATCCCATGCACTGGTTCTTAACATTCCGGTGAAAGAGTGCATCAAGCGGGCGTCGGAACGGGTTGCACATGAGGGGGGATTAGATGGTTCGAATGCTGCAGGAATCGCGCTCCGCTTTGCACGTTCACGAGTACCACCAAGTTTGGAAGAAGGCTTTGTACGCGTCACGTACTGCCGCACAGACCCAGAAATTGAAAACATTGTTTGTGTTTATTCACAATTAGGCTTTTGGGATCATCTCCCTTTGGGTGTATTTGGTGCCAGTGTGCAGGAAGGAAAAGAGAAATTAAAGTCTGTCCTCCAAAATAAGGAATCGAGTCTAAAGCCCACATATGATAAACAAGAGTTGAGGGCTAATTCTCTCACCCAAATCAGCTTGCAAGGACCAATGAACGTTGCTGGTAGCTCTCGTTCGAATGATGGAGATGGAGAAACGAAGGCCAGCGTTGAAGAGCCGACAACTGGAAAAAGCAAGGATTGGTATGCAGCTGGAGCGAGATCTCTAGCATTTCCGTCTATATCAACAGCAGACTTTCAGTTTGATCATGGAAAGGCAGCAGACATCATTTTGGAAACTGCTGTTGAGTTCCACAGAAAACCAAAGCATGCCGGGCTCAGACTTGTCTTTGTCGATCTGTCTCCTAGTTCGGACATGCTAAGTCGGGTTTCTGCGAAAGCTGCTGAAGCTGGCCTCTCGTCACTGCAGCTTCTCATATACGCTGGAGACATAACGACATTGCACACAACAGGAGGTCCGCGGTGCAATTTTATTGCTAATGCAACAAATTGGTAATACTTCGCCAACATGTTCTTCAATAAATTCCTGATTTGATGGTTTAGTCTATATGCAATTATCACTGCAAAACAACCAGTGTGTGCTCTAGATTCGCCATCAGACACTTGTGATCACATGATTGAGTCAACTCGATGTGTGCATTTTCAGGAGATTGAAACCAGGTGGTGGTGGTGTTAATGCAGCTATTTTTAAGGCTGGTGGTTATGAGCTAGAAATGGCAACCAAAGCAGTTGTTCAAACTGTTGAACCTGGAGACGCTGTGGCAGTCCCTTTACCTGCTACAAGCCCTCTGCGGAGACTTCAGGGAGTAAGTCATGTCATCCATGTACTTGGTCCCAATATGAATTCCCAAAGACCAAATTCCCTTGCTGGAGACTATAAACAAGGTTGCGATATATTACGTAAGGCTTATAGGACACTCTTTGAGGTTTTCTCATCAATCGCGCTAAAGGATGAAAAGGCCTCGAGTTCTCCTTACAAGCCATTGGTTGAGCGGAGTACGAAACAAGGTAGTGGTCAGAGTTCTGTAGCTGGAGGTCAATCTAAAACAAATGGATCCTCTAAAGCAGTTACTAAGAACGCCTTTACTCTTTTGATGGAAAATGCTAAGCGGAAGGTCGTAGGGGGGGTTGTGGAGTCTGAACGTAAACGGGAGCGATTATCTGCGTTGGAAGATGATAATAGGAATGACGTAGATGCCAGTGCGGGAAGCCTCAAGACACATGCAGTCGTTGGCAACCGTGTGGAACACTCTGGGTATGCCCGCACTATTATGTTAACAAGTGCTTCACGTTTTAGGCTAAAACTCCAGGATTGTGGTTGGCGACGGTGCTAAATGAATAGAGTTTTGTGAAACTTGTTGAAGGTAGTCTGGGTTTTGTTTGCAGGGAAGGGAGTAATACTCTGAGCCTTATGGGTTCTGAGTTCAAGCTCAAGAAAATTGACGAAGCTAGAACATCTCAGCAATGGTCATCATGGGCTCAGTCATTGCGGAATATCGCATTACATCCTGACAAACACTCTCCCACTGTTCTAAAAATTTCAAAGGACGCAGTGGTCATTTCTGATAAGTTTGCTAAGGTATGAGCTAGTTACCTTCATCTCAACCTGAACCCTTTTTGTTTGTCTAATTGTGGTAACCTCAAATACCGTTATTGATGATTCGGTTGAATAACGTGCTGAGAATGTTTAATTCTTTTAACAGCTAAGTTCGCTGTCAAAATGTGATAAGGTTGAAAAGGAGGCGAAGCACTGTCGGTGTCTACATTCATACTTGGTTTATTATCCGAGTGGATGTTTATCCCTAAAAGTTGATTCGTATTTATTGGTAGAATCAGTCTGGCAAGTGCATGCGTAACGTTGTAGGAGGTTGTGCACAAAATTCTGAAGCAACAGTAATTTGACAGAGCAAGAAGCATTTGCTGGTGATCGCGCGTAAAGATGGATTGGATTCAATTACAGATATTGGCACCCAGGATCTTCCCATCCTCCAACATATGCATACCCTCGGTGAGACTTGGGCAAAGCAGTATATTGACGAGGACCCTAGTTTAATATTTCGTCTTGGATATCACTGGGTAAGTCGCACTCGATCTATATGTGTCACTAAAATTGCGTCAACTTTTACCTGTTCTCTGCATGCTCCTTTCCCGATCCATCCGCGCTACAATGTAATTTGCTTTTATTACGGTGCAGTGCGATTCTTTTCCTCACATAAATGAATGTTGCGGGTATAAATCCTTTATTTTAGTTTAGAATTCGTGTAGACAAATGTCCTTCTTGATCACTATCTTCAAATCTGCAACTCAGGGTTTTGTGAGTCCTATTCTCAGGCACCCTCAATGCGGCAACTACACATGCATGTGATAAGCCAAGACTTGGACTCACCTTGTCTCAAAAACAAGAAGCACTGGAATTCCTTTACCACTGGATATTTCCGGGACTCGCAAGACGTATTGGCTGAAGTGAAAGAAAAAGGGCGAGTTATGCCATGTCCCCCTGAGGTAGAGGCGAGGTTTTTGAGTCTGGAGCTTCGTTGCCATCGATGCCGGAGCGCACAGCCAAACATACCTCGTCTGAAGAAACATGTGGCGACCTGCAAGGCTCCGTTGGAGTGCCCTTTTCTAATCACTTCAGGCCCTGCACAATAGTGACTGCCTTTTCACATTTTACCTCTCGAATAAATTCCGAATAGTGTATAGATCATGTCACCACAGGCTTCGGAATTTCGCTTGATGGATGCTTGAATTATTGCAATCACTTCCAAGGTTTCATCGCTTGAGAACTCTTTACTGTGAAGTTGAGTATGCCTAGTATTATAGGACAGTATATGCTCAGTATTAAATTCATGAAAATGATATGTGCATACTGTAGCAGAATCGACTGTATTTGGAACTTCTTTTATCGTATGAATGGGGTGCGATACTCTCCTCCATGTGATCTTAGAAAGATATTATATTCATGATGCGTATGAGTTGGTTTTCTGAAACCCTATGGTTCTGGAGTGTCCCAGCGATGATTTGCTATCCGTAGCTGGTAAATCGGATAACATTAGTGGATACTGTTCAGGACCTTGTCACTATTCAAATACAGCCGAAACATACTCTACAAGATACCAGTTTGAGATGATGTTTGGAGGGACTGTGACCAAGTGCTGCTTAATGTAATGCAGCTATTGCTCCAGAACACCATGCACTCATCACCCTTTGAATATGAACTTAGAAATAAAACTAAAAAAGCTACTGCTACACGAAGTGAATAGAGTTTGTTCAGCGCTGCAGCATACACTAGCTTTTTGTGGTGGACTGAAACCTCGGAAGGCTTGCGTGGCTCTCTTTGTTGTTCTGAGAATGAAATATGTGTTGATTGATTGTTAGGAATAGTCGCTCAAACATTCGAATAAATTGGGTCTGCTTTACCACCCTCGTCCTTCTGAAGCTGAGTTGATTGTACTTGTGTGGCTCCAAAATTAGAGAACAAAAGCTTCCAGAACCATTTATTTTTTTCGTTTTTTTTTTTTTTTTTTTTTTTTGAATGGGCAGCAATCATAGACAAGCATATTTTTTTGAAAGGCATTGGAGCATTATGAGGCAGGTGTACATTAGGCATTGCAGGATCGATGTCCATTTAAATATGACACGGGCTTGCTAAAGAGAAACATTGTTTTGACGTGTTTATTAAAATCACAAAAATAATAAAATAATAAAATAATTATAATGTCTTAGTTTTCAGTGGTCATAAATCTGCTCTCATCTTCAAATAATCTTACATTCTTCTCTTTTTTGCACTTTGTCCCTTCCCATCTTTTCTTTTTGGTCACTGATGATGAAATATTTCACTACTAAATCCAAAGCTCACAAGTAAAACTCTATGTTGCCGCATGAAAAAGTTTTAATGAGTTGGGGGAAAAAACCCTATTCATGGATTCTGGTGGCTTGGTTAGAAAGCTAAGACAAGCTCAGTACACCACTGTACTCATGAGTCAATCCATTGAAAGAGGATGCAAAGACTTGAAAATATGCTTGCTTGGCATGCAAGGCTTAGCAACCAAACAAGGTTAAGTTTATCCCCAGATTCTTCTTGTTTTGTTTTATAAGGTTTGCTTGTTCACACACACACAGCTGTTTTACTAAATCCAAAGCTCACAAGTAAAACTCTATGTTGCCACTCGAGTCTTCTTCTTCTTCTTCTTCTTCTTCTTCTTCTACACTAGAGTTGCTCAATAGCCAACAACCCATTTGGAGTACAGTTTAGCACATACACTGTCTGCTCGTGGACATGATCAATTCCAGGTTTCAATAGAAGTACTCTTTGTGGGTACATTGAGTTCCACTTGCAGTAATGACCAATTGCAAAGCTCAAGTGAAATTGAACTCCAAAGCCAAGCACATGCTTCTGTACCCTACTTTATCAATTTTTGTAATAAGAGTTGTTAACATTTGAAGTGTATGTCAACAAAATGTACAATCCAAAACATTTTGTAGAACAGATGCTTTGGCATAGGAATTAATGTGCTCAACACGCTTTCCCAAAATTATTATTTTTCCAACAACCTTACATGTTGAATTTGGATACTTAAAAAATGATTGCATCTCTTTACCAATGTTAACAGCCATAATCAACAATTGTAATTTAAGCACCAGGAATTCAACTCACTCTGTGCCAAAGTCCTTGATGATGTTGAAAAAGAAGAGAAGAAAAAAGAGCAAGAAATTGCAAACAGCACAAGTTCCCTCGGACAAATGGATGAAGCCTTTTTGTTTGTTTTTTTCTTGGAGTGCTCCCTCACACTTGTGTGTTTTTGTTTTTGTTTTTTGTTTTTTTTCCCCCGTTTTGTTGGGAGTTTTTACATTATTCATTCATCAAAGCCAAAAGATGCCAAGCATGAAGTCATCGTCAAAGTAAATGGGGGTTTTGTGGTCAGTTGCAGTCCTAGTGTCCCGACTTCCAAGGCAGATCCTGGATCCAACGAGTATGGGTTGAAATTTGAAAACCTGTCTGTCTGTCTTGCTCAATCTCTTCTCGCTCTTTTTGTGTCTCTCAGAGTAAGTTAAATAAATTCACGGGGCTGTGCTCCCCCAAAGCCTTAAGTGACTCAAACCTTGTGAGCATTTATCACATCCCAGATCTTAGAATCTGAATCCTGTGGTTCTAGGGCATAGGAATTCTCAAGGGCAACTAAGTTAGTCAGCAAACCCACAAACCCTAACTGTTCATTCACGTAGGGTTTTATCCGACAGATAGATCCTTGTGTTGTATCCAAGTCCATCTGGAAAAAAAAAAAAAAAAAAAAAAAAAAAAATCTTTATTGGAACACTTAAGCGAGGTCATTCACTAACTCTCTCCTTCAATTTGTACCCACGGTACGACTTGAAGAAATTTGTTTTTAACCTCTCCATTATGACTGATTGATTACCAGCCCAAATGCTGCTCTTGGCTTGACATTGATGACCATTTTATTACAAAGGTGGATCCAAAGAGCTAAATTTAAACGGGCTGGCTCCATTACTACTGCCGCCTGGGGTAACGAGAGCTGCATCAAAGGTGACCAAATTCGCTTGATTAGCATTAAGTGATGAAGGACAAAGCACGTCGTTCATTACCTCATTTGCCCCCAAAAACAAAGCTGTTAAGAGCATTCCAACACTCTCTACAGAGACACAAGGAAAGCCAATTTGTTAACATTATTATTTTTTGTGAAATATTGTAACACAGATTTTGAGCTATCGGATGCCTGAGATATTGTTAAAAATGACCAGCATTGTTTAAGCAGTAGTAGTAATGAAAGCCAATGTGCTGGATTTCAATCCTTACACTAAAAGGTAACGGCCAATGTCACTCATCCATCAACAGACATAATTCATAAAGAGCAATAGACCATAAGTCTACATCCCCACACAACTTTTGCATATAGATTTCATGTACGCAGAATCCACAGCAATATTATTAATAATAAATTGGTCCATAGGAATTTGGATGCTTTCATGACTTGGATTCGTAAAGAAGAAGACAAAGTTGGAAGTTATCATGGTCTGTTTTTTGTAAACTTGCAAGGGCAAGTTGCAATTGGAAACATAGAATCTAGCAATGTTGCAAAAAGAATACATTCATTCATCCACAGACAACTGTGTACTCACCCATCTAACCATCCATTCATAAGGAGAATATAATATATATATATATATATATATATTTTTACTTAGAGAAATGGATCATGTGTGTGGTTACCTCCCTTGAACTCTACACTACAGTAACACTACTGTTACAATGCTTTGTGTGAGATTATGCTTGATCTATTCCCTAACCTAAGTTGGTGGTAGGAGTCCTAACTTTGGCATGTAGTTGTTCAAAGTGAATGAGGAGCCCTACACCCTGAACAAAATGCTGTGACACTCACTCTCCAAGCCACACATCACCAAATGAGAGGGAGAAATAAAATGAAATAAAAACTTCCAGCTACTTCCAACTATGGCATTGATTAGACAAACGAACAACTGAAAATTCACAATCAATTGCATTTATTTTGCATGTCTTCAGTCCCATTTAAGAGGGTCAACTAACAACAGCACACAAAAAAGAGTTACTTAGCAGCTAGTTTTCTGACATGCTTTGGTGAAAACCAGTCACAAGTTTTTTAATCCACATGGGAGTGACCAAGTAGGAACTTATTTGTTATTGGATCTGTAGGTGGGGTTGATGTGGAATATTACAGCATTTGGGGAGTTTCAATAGCATGCCATTTATCAACCATCCTCAATTCTTCCCATGCACGCATGCATGCAGTTAATTCAGCAAGTGGCCAATCTGAGGCTGTGTTCTATGATCAAATCTAGTTTTAAAATTTCTTCCCAGATTGTGAAATCTCCATCCCTCAATCAAGACATGATCAATGTTAAAGAGATTGTAGTACATTTGAAAAAATGGGGAAACAAATAAACACAAGAAAACAGTGTTTTGCTTCTAAGCTTGAAGATAGAGGCACAGGATGGATACCTTGTCCCCTTTTTCTTGTGGATATGGTGCTTGAGGAGTGTTCCACTGAGAGCACAACAGTTCCAGCACAAACAGCTGGGAGCTTTGAAGATTGTGAAGGACTCCTTTGATGCAAGGTAGAGAATTTGCACACAAACTGATTCTGCAAAATCATGAGAGGCTGCTCACATGAGATTGAGTATAATAGAGTTGGGTTTATATGGATTGGAATTAGGAGGGTAGACCTCATTAGTTTTTTCTGGGAAGTTGAGCTGATGAAAGCTACCAAAGCATAAAAAAGGCATGTAAATTGGCAGAAATTAGTTTTCACAGAAAACCACTTCAAATTACTCTTTTTCATGCTGATTATGATTCTGAGAACAAACATTACGCCACATCAGAGTGAAAAACATGGGAACCATTCACATTGCAACACATTCTTACAATATATCTGTCAAAAGTAGCATTAAAAATGGACCAAAATTTTCAAAATGTGAAGAATGCTGTCAACTTTCTTGTGTAGACCAGAGACAATGCATGAAAAAAAATCATAACAAATTTAATTGCATGAGTAATCAAGGTCAAAAGTTCACAAGGATTCAGTGACAGAATGGGCTACAGAAGGAGACAGGAGGAGCCAAATTGATTGCAAACTTATTGCTATTATGTGGCCACAGATTCCTAACACTGAAGTATATTCAATAGGGTAAGTTATTTGCCATCAGGAGAGACCCCCATTAAATGGGTTGTTCACAGCCAAGGACGAAGAACATGCACACTTCAATTCAACAATCACTGCAAATTCTACATGAATAAGGGGGAAGATAAAAGACCACCAAAGCTGTAAAGGGCATAACAAAGTCAAATACAACCTTCAGTCCTTGAGCATTCAATGCACTGGACGTAGTTTTTCTCCACAACAGTTTCCAAGCAAAATCAATCCACAGGAACAACCCAATTCATGTCAGCGAAAGCTGAGATGGACGATATTTCACAAAAAAACTACACATCCATAGTGCGTACAGCTGTAGTAGCACCCTCTTGGGTCCATTCATCACCGAGGAAAGACAAAAAATGCATTCATCACACAATAATCCTCCTCCATCCTCCACACACAACATTCCATTCTAGTGGGGGCCATTTGCTTTGTTTGTTTGTGTGCTGGTCCCCTGCTTCTTGTCCAGCTTCAATAGTTCGTTTTTGGTGTTGTTGTAAATGTAGCCCATATGCCCCAAGCCAAGCCAAACTACAAGGGGAGGCTCTATTTGTCCTCACACTGTAAAAGGGGGGATCTGCCATCATCATCACCACCATCAAATGTGCACAAAACAAGTAGATGAATAGAAGAGAGGAAATGGGGTGATATGGAAAGATTGCCTCTAGATCACAACTGATGTGTGTGCTTTGTCCCATTGTCACCTGCAGCCAAAAGCACCAGTTGTTGTAGTATTCCTACTTATACCTACTTATACTCAATTGGGTCTTTGGTATTTGTATTTGAGCATTACCTGGATACATGGTTCTAGTGTTTTAATTGAAGTGCTACTTCTTTGTGCTAGTCCTGGTAATTTATAGCATCTTCTTATCCTTTTTGTGGGGAGTGTGATGTGTGGGTATTTGCCACCAGGGAGCTGATATGGCAACTTACACCCCTCTGCTGTTGTTTTAGCCCTAATAGTCATTGCCTAGCTTCTTATTCTTCCTACTCAAAAAAGGGGGTCACCAGTCTGAATTGAGAATGGAAAGTAAGATTTTATTTTTGAATATTTTATTCATTCGAAGCAATAGCAAAATAATAATAATAATAATAATAATAATAATAATAAAGGAAATGCAAAAGGAAGTGTTAGAGAAACCATAAACAAACAAAAAGAATAAGAAGAAAGAGGTATTAACAATGACTAGCCTTTTCATTTTTCATAAATTTTAACTGGTGGATCATCACCATAAGTTCACAAAGCTTCCTAGCACATCCATGCATGATAGAGGTGTGTTCCCACAAAACTATCATTGTCAGGAAGAGAATATATAAAAATATGTACTTACACACTCACATACCTAAAAAAAAGAAAGTGACTAATCTTTGCAGAGGTTACCACAAATCAGATCATTAAACACTGACTGGTTATTGTTACTTATTTGTTATTTATTTATTTATTTATTTATTTTTCTCTTCTTTCTTTTTGTTTGCAAGTCATTAAAATGCATAAGCAGGGTGTTCAAAAATTTTGAAACATACCATGTGATGTTATTGTTTTCAATCTTATTCATATAATTCCATTACTTTCAACTGGATACCATTGAAAAGGAGAAAAAGGAAAAGGAGAGGGAGAAGGAGGAAAGATTTGAAAAGCAAGCCAGATGATGAGATGTCAATATCTTTACCGTCATGAAGACTTTGGAAAGCATGGACAATGGGGGCAGTGGTCACACCATCTTCACAGGTAATACTAATTATGCAGCCTGTGGAGTGGATGGATGAATGATCGACGGAATTGGGTGGGGATGAAGATGTAGCGGAACAAGTGGCCCCCATGGGGCAGCTGGACAGAGTGGCATGGAAAAGCACGGACCGATGGGCGGCGACCTCGTCCACTTGGGGAGCTCCTGCACCGTGACGGTAAAAAGGGAGTGAGTGACCACAGGATCTAAATCCGCGACGCCCCCTTCCACCGCCTCCTTCCAATACCGCAAGCTGTCTGTCGTGTTTCGCCGCACCCTTTCTCCGCCTTTCCTTTCCTCCCGTCCAAGTTTGTTTCGGCGATGGCAGCCGTCGTCTCCCAGCAAACAGCCAAGGAGGTGGGAAAAAGCACCGTCGCTACAGACAAGCCCTTTGCGTTTCTGCCACTTCCGAGACCGTCGTCAGGTGTCTGCCCGCAACGCCCGCCGATCTCTTTCACCTTTCTACCCTCCTTTTCATTTTTATGTATTCTTCTTACTTCTTTTATTTCCGATCCTCACTCCTCTCTTTTGCAGTCCTCTTCTAAGAGCGGGCGACTCACACTTTCCTTCTCCTCCTCCACTCAAGCGCGGATAGTCATTCTCACCGCGCCGTTCATTCCTACCCGCTCGCGTTTTTTGTTTAATCTTCTGGACTTGTTCTCGAAATTGACCGGATTTCATTGTAATATATATATATATATATATATATATATATTTTTTTTTGTCGTCGTTGTTGTTATTATTATCATCATTATTATTATTATTTTCCAACTCTCCAGGAGCTGTAGTCTTAATTGAGGCGGTAATGAAATTCGGGACACCACCGCGTGTCCCGATTTACTCACTTTTTTTGCTGCGCTTTCATTCGCGTCGACATGTTCCGCAATCAGACAATCAACCAGCGCAGAAAGAGCTAGGGAGTTAGTGAAGAAGCGTTTCTTCCGGTCTTCGTGTTGGAAGTAAGTGGGATTCCGGGTTTGGGGGCGTGTTTTGTGTAATTTGTTGAGGTTGGGTGGAGTTGCCTCGTCACTGACCTTTGTCATGAGGTTATTGTCCTGCTGATGAGTACCCTCCCACATTTTCTTTAGACTTCCTGTGTGAGGGTTGGTTTCGTGCGTGTCTGGAGTGTAGCGATTGATTTTGGTCTCCGAGTGTCGTTCACGTTGGCAAGCGCACTGTTGTTGAGATGTGGAGGTCACGGTCTGAAAAGCATTTCAAGAGCCCAAGCCTGCGGCTACACTAGATAAGATTAGCGGAGTTTCTGTTGTGCTGTGCCTCTCTCTGCGAAAAGCGCAATTTCGATCGGATCCGTCCTTTTTCTCGGTCGAGTGTTGGCATTGCTGATGGTCACCGCGCATTGCAACAAGAGCATGCATCCAATGTTCTACAGGGATATGCTGTTAAGTGTTAGTCACTCTCAGACCTGCATACCTCGTTTGCCGGATAGTGGGTTCGTGGAGGTGGTTACCGACGTCGCATTACTGATTTCGAGTTGACGAACCGTGAGGCACGAAGGTGTTATTCATGAAGCTGGTTTCGCTCTCGGACACGTTTATTGGATGTCGCTTATCCTCCTGAGAAGGTTACAACTCCAGGGCGCGCTGAACTTATATATTATCAAAGCTTTCGTACGCGTCGCTTTGCTACTTTCATTGAGTTGTTCTTCATCCCCGCTATTGATCCTGCTGAAGGTGCTCTCTAGGCAATCCAAGGTATGTTCTATTTTCCATCACTGGAGGATGATTAATAATTCCGGGTTCGGGGAGTCGTGGGTGGTGTTTCTAGGGTCGCAGAAAGAGTTTCAAATGTCTGCATGCACGCCCTCTTGAGCGCAAGAGAAATTCATTTGAAGTGTGTTGAAAAACGGTGATACAATACTAATCTTACCGCACTAAGCTGAACATAACTCCGCAATTAGTCTGCGAGTCTCGTTTTGACGCTTGCTCTATTCACTGTCAAACCCCACGGGCGTGAGTTCGAGGGTTCTACCGCAAGAGTTGAGCCAAACATTTAGCCGTCGATGACGAGCGTCATGACTGATCCAGCATTCAGCACAACTTGAATATGTGTTGTGTCGTGAGGGTAACCTCTCGGATTGGCTGTGTAAGCGAGCGCCGGAGCAGAAATTTGGTGCTCCATTAAGACCCTATAATAACGGCTGCTTAATTGTCCCCATCTCTCTGGCGCTCCTTTTTTCTATCATTGCTTGGTATGTTGTACGTCGGAGCGCGTTAATAGTAAGATGACCTGGCTTGTCCCAATTCAAACTTATAAAACAAGAAAATTATGGGACCCAATATCTGCAGGGATTCTGAAAATGGGGGAGGTCGTAGCGGGAGTTGACGAGCGCCACCCATTGGGAGACGATGCGGTCGTAAAAGCTTGCCTAAGACGCTGTGCTTGAAAACCCTTTGTTTCTCAGTAGCTCAATGGGTCCGGCAGTTGTGCAGTTGGTGTCCTGTTAGGCCCTTCCTCCCTTTCGTTGATTTTATCGTGTCTCGGATGGCGAGTCCGTGCTATTTGAATGCAGGCCTGCAATTCTCTACCTAACATTCCGCCAGGGCACAGTACACTGTAGAGTCAAGCCTGTCATTAAGCCGACAATTGAATATTTTGTATGCTTGCTATCACCCTTCCTGCGACGATCTTGAAATGGATAATTGTGGTGATGTAGCTCAATTTTCCACTAATTCTAACAACTGAGTTCATTTTTGTTGTAATCATGCCATATAGCGTGTTGTAATTTACCTGTACTTTTTAATAGCTAACAGTGTTGTACCATCCCTTAATGACAGGATCGCCAGCGCTCCTCTACGACGGGTTGTTCTTTGTGAAGCGCTTTCTGAATCAGCTGTGCACCGACAGGCAAAAGTTGATTGAATAATCGGCAGCTGGATTATCAGTCGGTTGATTGACTTCAAATTAGAGAGGAGATTGCCACACTTTGCAAATTAATTGATCCAGAAGATGCCAGGAATGATCAAGGGGGAGACCTCTAATTCTATCTCTCACTCCCCGTCGCTTTCCGTCTCCACCACGTCTTTCTCCTCGCTGTCGCATGTATCTGCCCACCAGTCCTCTTCGTCGTCCACAAGCACTCCTGCGCAGCTCACATGGCTCCAGGAGCTCCGGTCGGAGGAAAGGGGCTTATACCTAATCCATCTCCTCCTGGCATGTGCAAATGCAGTGGCTAACAACAACATGGAGTATACGAATGTATATCTTGAGCAGCTCTCAGTGTTAGCAAGCTTGACAGGTGACCCCATGCAACGGGTGGCCACGTATTTCATGGAGGGGCTTGCAGCTCGGATTACCAAGTCCTGGCCCGGGCTTCACAAAGCGCTTCATTCTACTCATCTCCCTTTCGTCATGGACATCATCTCTGCTCGACAGTTATTTTTTAGCGTCTGTCCTTATGTCAAGTTTGCCTTCTTGATGGGCAATCAGGCCATTCTGGATGCGATGGAGGGGGAGATGGTGGTGCACATCGTGGATCTGGAGGCTTCGGACCCCGTGCAATGGCTTGCCCTACTGCAGGAGCTCAGCAACCGGCAAGCAGGTCCTCCTCACTTGCGCATTACAGGAGTGAGCTTGAAGAGAGATGTTCTTGAGCAGACCGGCCAGCGGCTTTCAGAGGAAGCCGAGAAGTTGGACATCCCTTTCCAGTTTCACCCGCTGGTTGCAAGCCTTGAGAATCTGGACGTCGACTCCTTGAAAGTGAAAAGTGGCGAAGCTGTGGCTATCAGCTCTATGATGAGACTCCATCCACTTCTTGCTAAAGAATCCGACACTGTGATCAGAACGGACACTGATTATCACAGTCATCCCGAAATTCATCACTTTAGATCGTCCAGTGGCGGCTACGAAAAGATCACGAGTGCAGGCAGAGACGAGGCCATCAACTCTACTGGTGAAATCGGACCAGAGCGAGGGTTGAAACGCTCCCGAGAGACGTATGAAGCAGCTGCCGAGGTGGCAGGTGAGAACTTGAAAGTCCCGGTGGATGGATCTGAAGCAGTAGATCGGCAACGAACACGAAGTACGTCGCAATCAGATGGTAACGGCAGCTGTGTGGAGCCGAGAGGCAACTCAGTGCCACGTCCTCTCAGAGACGAGTCCTCATTCTCCGACTCTGGCTTCGGCTCTGGTGTCGTGCAAAGAGTCTTGCAAAAGCTGCAAAGCCTGTCGCCAAAAGTGATGGTGCTAGTGGAGCAGGACTCCAACCACAACAGCGGCTCCATGCCAGACCGCTTCGTGGAAGCCCTGCATTATTACTCCGCCATGTTCGACTCGCTGGACTTGACACTGCCGCAGCATTGTCTGGAGAGGGTGACGCTAGAGAAGTTTCTTCTTGGGCAGGAGATAAAAAACATCGTGGCATGTGAGGGGGCGGAGAGAGTGGAACGGCATGAGAAATTGGATAGATGGAGGATTCGGATGCGGTCAGCAGGGTTTGTAGCAAGGCCATTAAGCTCTACTGCGGCCCTTCAAGCCAAGCGGCTCTTGCATGGCTACCCCTGCGATGGGTACCGCGTCAAGGATGATCAGGGCTGCCTCACTCTCTGCTGGCAGGATACCCCTCTCTACACAGCATCCGCATGGACAGTTTAAGATCACCATAGCCAGGCTGGTTGTATCTCGTAAATTGCCATCAATCAATTCCTGGCGACTTAACGACACTCGACATCGTTTTCATCCCCAGGGGAGGGGGTTGATGGGGTTTGCTGGGATTGTAATTGCCAGCGGAGCTGTCAACAGCCCACAACAAAATGATACATTTCACTTTCTACTGATCAGTGGTCGGTGAACTGATGTTGAGTGCTTGACTGGAGTTAATCGATTATTTTTTGGTCATATTTACAGGATAATAGTCGTCTTAATAACTGAGAAAGACGGTTACCATGGCACCCACCCCACCCAGGAAGCAAGCCGAGGGCGCTGTTCTGTAGGCACTCCACATTTTGCGAATAATCGAACGGTTTATTTCCTCTTAGAAAAGAATAGATGATCAGACGGTGGGGGTCATCCATTCTTGTCGATTGTGCTGGTCACCGCACGTAGGCACGGGGTTTTGATGGTGAAGGTTGGTGTAGAAGTTTGGATGTTGGAGGTATGTTGGGCAGGTAGTTGAAGTCAGGACCTGGGTGCACTGTAATTAACAGAACATTTATGACAGTTTCAAACTGAATTGGTTCACATTGATTTGCCATTTTTTGACCATCCCTTCCATCCTTGGGATTATGTTCCTGCAGTTTACTCCCATTTGCTTATAATAACTCTGGCATTTGTGGTAGCTTGTCTCAATTGCCGACTCCCCTTTTCAGTAACGTGTAATTTTTGTACATTTCAGAATCGGAAATGAGTTCTAGACACCACCAATGTTACTGTCATGAGTCGCAATGTTTTGTGTCCATGTCACGCCCTTCCCATATTCTCGAGGCCTTTAGCCATAGTTCTTAATCATTAGGTTAGCATTTGTGAGCTGATGAATTTATAGTTTTACAGTTATTTTCTTTGAATTTTTAGAATTATCCTTGTGTCACACCGTTGGATCTTTTGCTCAAGAGCATAGTTCCTCACATCAACTTCACCATGGTTGCTTGGTTTTTGTTTAGTCAACTTAAGAGCATTTGTCAGACTGGTGAAGAAAAATTGGTACTCCTTAATTAGTGCACGAGGCACGCTGTTCTTATTCTCCCACATATGCGGTCATATTTTTAGTAATACCTTCCGCACACACAGCCTGTGATAGGTGAAGCACTGCCGGCTTAGTTCCAGGCTTATCATTTACACACTCAACTTTGTTTTGATGCCTTCTTTAAAAAAGAAATTGAAAATGAAAATCATAATTCGAGGCACGATTTCTGCACTTGATCCCTAGAATACCTGAAATGTAACACGTGCCTGTCAACAACATTGACGTGCGTACGTCATTAATTTCTAAAACAACAGATTGCCGGAGTCTTATTAGATCATCATCACTACCTGGTGCCTTGGAATATCAAATTAAACTAAAGTAAAGATGGTAAAATTTGGCCCACCTTGACCTAGCGAAGCCACTCGCATCCAAGTTTTGTAGATTTCAGTTTCATTGGCCAGTACTCTAATGGATCATTTTTAGACTACTGAAACTGGTGTGGACACACACCTTTCAATAACATTGGTTATGTAGAATATACGTGTCAATGTTCTGTACATATGTTCTACTGAACATTGAATGGTACTCTGCATTGTTATAAATTCAGGTTTTTCAGTCACAAATGACTAACTGATCTTTGCAAGTAACAATATTGTTGCGCCAAGTGCTCCCAAACGTCCAAACCGTTAAACAGATTGTGCATACTGACGCATTGACGGTAAAACTGGGAAAACCTCCTAAACAAGAACAAAGCAGAGGTCTACAGTACCACCATATTACCATCTTTCCTACATTTTGTTCACTTCATTCGTTACTTAATTCTGCACACATTTCCTAAGGTGACAAATTCCTTATTTGCAAGTCATATGTCACCAGGCAGTCTAGTCCTGATATATGAAATCTAATGGAATCCTAAATTACGCTACCAGACCTAAGGGTGCTGATGATCTACGTCAAAATATGCTAATAATGCGGTTCTCTAATTTGCAGGTCCAAGTTTCTCAATAATTTCTTGGATTATCTAAGTGATGGCAGACAGCAACCGATTTCAAAAGCCGCCTAGTTTTGGGTTAGAAAAAATCTCGGAGCTCCATGGATGACTACGATTAGCAAGACAGTCTCCAGGAAATTGTATAGATGTTACACTCAAAATCTTGGATTTATCCAAAGTTTGAACCTTATCTCAGTTCCCTCTCAGTTCATTCATCCCCCCCCCCCTTCTTTGAGCAGATAAACTGAAGAACTTTGTACTGCAATGTAGCTTTCAGGGGACGAACTCTCCTTCTTCGATATCTTCTTCCCGAAAGAACTTGCCCTGGGGTTCTTCATCAACAGGGTTTACTTCAAACACAGGAGGTGCAGGTGCAGCAGGTGGCGGAGGTTGGCTAATTACAACAGGAAACTTGACAGGGTCTGCGCTCAACGCTACATGGATGACGAGAAACTCAAACACAGTCTTGTGTGATAGTTGAGAACGAACAGTGCTTTCCATATCCAATTCGTAATATATCTTCTTGTTGCCCTGCAAGAGAATCAACAAAAACACATATTCTGATTACCATTGGCTAAAACAAGGAGCGGGATGAAAGATTGAATGAAGGTCAGTGTAAGGGCGAGAGTTGATTGATTGATACCTCGCAAGGCTCTTTCTGAAAGTAAAGTTTCAACTCAGTGATATGGCATCGAGTGAAGTGTCGGAGTTGGGTGATAACGGGAACATTGTCTGCCCTAGCCTCGAAATGCTTCTCGATGAGACTCTTCAAAGTGGAATTTTCATCAACTCTGCAAGACATGACCACCGTGATCAGTACTTGCAATCGACAATGCACCAACTATAATTCGAATGAGGATTGTTTCACATGTTGCGATAGTGTAAAGATTCTCACCTTGCATTGACAATTCTAACATCAGTGCCTTCAAAAGTCCACTCTATCCTCCAGAAGATACACTTACGCCTGCACTTGCAATTCAACACAAAAGGCACGAATGGACGAATTTTCAAATTAATATGAGGATTCAATTAACATGGCGAGGTTTTGTAAATATCAGAAATGTCACTTGATACTTAACAGTGATTGATTGATAAGATATGAGTAATTACTTTCTGTCAAAAAAGGTAGAGTTGCTCTTCCTCTTGCTCATGCCGTGCGGCCAATACACCAACGCAGTGTCTCGCATTTTACATTGCTGTTGAAGAGATTTCATAGCAGGATGCATTTCGTTCTTCGGTGCACCCAACGGAGCACGAGCTCGCTTCGCAGCTTCTGTTTGTCTCAACATCTCTTCTAGCAAATTGTAATCTGCAACCGAGATAATTATCCTCTTAAGACCATGTACCCCAAGAAGGCACAATCACAACCTTCGAAAACTTAATTTTATTTTTCTAGAGGGAAAATTCTCCAGAATATAGAAGTATTCAAGGAATCCAACATTGACGGTGATTTCTCACACTAGTTTAACTCACCAGAAACAAGAACGTTGTCGCAAAATTCAGCCAGTGGCACAAACGCCGTCCGGTCACGCTTCCCCGAGCACCCAGTGCGCGCCTTGTGAGCTTTAACACAATCCAATCCACACGACCGAAGATCACACCTCGGACACTTATATTTCCACTCACTCTTCTTACACTCTTGACACAGCTTGCTCTCCGGCACCGACACCGAATCCTCGGGTACTATCGCTGTAGTGCCCATGACTAAAACCTCCTCAAAGGCTAACCAAACTCCTCTAAAATTTTACTAAAACCCTAGAATTCAATACGTTGTATCGGCCTTAAAAGAATTGGAAGGCCAGTTCCAAACGAGTCTGCGGCTACGACAATCACCAACCGCTAAGTCCCCAGAGTTCGCATCGCCGCAAACTTGACATAATCGAATTCTTCTCCACTGAGACCCAGAATAAGATTTTAGGCACTTAAGAGAAACCTGTTTGCCATGCTGTCCTCTCCATTGTGGTGACACATTGCCCAGTGTAACTATCGATCAAACGTCCAGATCGTGAAGTGCGGGGATATCTTATGGGTTGCGATGCTGCATTCAGTCTTCGGCGGCTTTATATTAGGGCTTGATTCATATGTTAGTGCCTTTGCCCTTCCTTATTCTTGACTACGGCGGCGTTTACTTTTACTTTTCATCTCGAATGAGACTCGTTCCACTTGTACTGAAAACTGTCTGTGTTGGAACAAGCTTATCAAGGTAAAGAATCTGTTTAGCTTTTACAGATAATGATTCAAAACACGTTTCACTGTGCTCTTGGAGGACAGTAAAATATTTCCGGAGGGAATATTTTCGTCAAGAGTGTAAGCTTTTCAAGCTCAGACCCCACGTCCTAGAACACCTAACATGGCAGTCGGACACATGCAATCCTCAAAAGAGAACAAGGTATGAGTGCTATGATGCTGCAATGCAATACTTCATCCGGTCGATGATAGCCTGCACCTTGGTTTCAATGGTTGGTACAAAATTGTTCCGTTGCATCCTGGCGGAGGTTTTTCCTTCCGTTTAATAACTACCAGCACGCTAGCCTTGCAGACGAAATCAAGCCCAGGACGTCAAACTTATTAAGTCCTGAAAACAACTGCCAGTTCGAAACAGAGCCGTTGGGTGAAACGAGATCCGTGGTATCTAAAGATGAAGCACAATATGTGTGCCTAGCAATCAAAGGTGCATTGCAACTTGCAATGTACACCTAAAAACATTTAGTCTCGTAGGAGTCCAAACCAGCGAAACTTGTCTTGATTACCAGCTTTTTCCTGGTGAAAGGTCAGTGCCTTCCACAGCGACACCGCTCATCCAAATATTTTGTGCATTCCAATAAAGAGGTCTGAGGATATGGACATCATCAATGGCAGGTTGGGATGCCATGCAGCCTTGAAGACTCTCTTCTGATGGGCATCTAAACTCTGAATGGGCTCCTCGCTATTGTACCTTATGTCAAAAACATGGATCTTAGGGTCTGTGGAGCCCGACACGGCGTACAAACCATCTGGAGACCAGGATTGGCTGATGTATCCAGACTGTGAGTTGCCAGCTTGTTGCTTCCACCCAAAGCAGTGAAGCTCCGTGCTTTGTACTCGTATGTCAAACAAGCGTAACTGCTTTCCGGGTGACCTATCCAACGAAATGATCATCAAATATTAGACTCAGTTCATGACATTCGAAGCACACGTTGTTGGAGAGGTTAACCTTCCACACATGACTGAAACCATCAAGTTCAGGGAAGACTCACCCAGTTTGAATCATGACTAAATTATGGTCGGCAGGGTTTGGTGCTACCCCCAAAGCTTTGCTGTCTAACTGATGCTGGAAGGTTGGCCTGCCATGAGAAGAATTGGGATCTACTGCAAAGACTCGCTTATCCAATCCTGCCAGTTTAGAGTTCACGGGTTCATTTAGAAAATGCAGTCTCACAAACACACACACATCTATATCTATCTATCTATATATATATAAAATTGAGGTTTTAGCTGCTCAAGTCACTAAACTATGATAATCATAGTTCACTATGATTATTGACTACTATAAGCAAGGGCAAGAACTTGGAGTCCAGATATCCACAAGCTAGCAGATAAATCAGGCAAACTGACTTCATAAAAGCTGTCAAGGTCATGAATTGAATGATAAGAGGGCATCAGTGAAAATAGAACGGAGCATAACTGTTCTTATTACTGTTACAAAGCATGGAATTTTGAGAACCAATATGATACAAATGCCATGTATCGGAAACACTAACTAACCTGAAGACATAATGTACTTCTTGCTCAACACACCACCCACGCCTGAGACTGCAGATGAATGAAATCTATGAAGAAGGCGAGATCGCCATCCTTCGTCGTTCTCTGTCCAGAGTACAACACCATGATCACAACCCCCTGTAACAAGCTGTGATCCATTGCTCCAGGGCAGAAACTGAATACTATTGACTATTCCCTTCTGATGGGGTTTGTCATCTAAAAATTTGACCCCAGGTTTCTGTACACAAATGGGAAACATTGAGTGAGTCTATAGGAACATCCAAGTACCGAAAACAATTAATTATATAAATAATGCCACACATGAATACGAATAAGACATTCTAACTTAATGAACTCACTTTTTTAGACGTATTAATAATGCCCATCTGTGGTCCCCCTCCATCAGCAGTGTACACAGCGAACAATGTCTCGCCAAGAGGATGCCAAGCCAAATCTTCAGGCCACCTCCTCTGACCAGGTGAAATGCAGTCTACAGTATGGCTCAAATTGACTCCAAACCTGTTTTGAAAAGTCCATAAAAGACATCAGCCACATTATGTAGAAGAAAATTCTAGCAATAAAAGGTTTCAAAATATAAGATAAAATAATAGGATCTTATATTTTTCTCTTCCTCTTTGGACCTATCGTAAAATCTAATGATGTCACTGCACCGAAAAGCCACGTTCCCTACATCCACGTACCAAAGGAAGAAAACTTTTGGGATTAATAGAGATAGGAATCGATCTTACCCTTTATCTTGAGTTATTTGCCAAAAATTTACAACACCATCCAATGCACTGCATAAAAGAGCCCGAAGCAGTTAGAGGACCTTGACATGGAAAATGTATCACTCAAATTACTAACGATGCTGCTGAAAGCTAGTCACAAAACCAAAAGTTACAAATGTTACTACCTTGTAGCGCATAGGTGATCAATGGCTGGACTCAGCACGAGACTCCGAGGCTTGCGTTTGTGTTGAAGAGGAATGTAGCTTGGCATTGCCACATCCATCTTCTTTGGTTTACCCTGACTTCTTATCTTAGCGATCAAATCTATGTGTTCCCGTTGTACAACACCTTTGGTTTTGTTCAACTTGATCTCTCCACCTGTATGATGACTCGATGCATTATTTTCATTGTTGAAAGCTATACAGTTATTGAACCATGAAGAAATTATACACTGAGGCACTTCCGATGTTCATTGAATTTGGGCCAAACTGATGGAAGAGCTACATATCTCGCGCTCCATAGAGGTGGTGCATAAAGGTTGACATACAGAATGCTCAAAATACTAGTGACTTTTCCAGACACACACCTGAAGATCTCTTAATGCGCTTATCCTGGCTCCGCTTCGCAGGAGACTCGCCTACGACAGACTGCTTTGGCTGTTCACGGGTGGAGACAAGGCGTGATGCCGAGCTCCCACCAGCGGTTTTATTGACTGTGGCAACTTTCTTAGCAGGGGAGGCTGATGCGAGTGCGTTTTCCTCTCCATCAGCAAGACCGTTTGCACCATTAGAAACACCTTCATGATGTCTAGATGCTGGGTGGTTCCGATCACCGTTCTTACCCCTAATTTGATCCAGCATAGCCACTGCGTGATCCAGCTTGGCCTCCGCATCTGCTAACTACATTCCATCACGCGACATTCGGCCATTCAGAACTCTACATCATTACAGATGCTGAATAGTTATCATCTTCCACCGTCGGCTTTTTCTGACATTGCGGCAGCTCGCCCGGAACTAGTGTCCATTCAATACATAACCTCACTCGCTCTCTCTCCCTCCCCCAACGCAATTAGCCTCTCTTCAAACAAATACATGAACAAAGGGGATTTTAGCCCTGAATCAAAACCAACGGCCTTACAGAGTAGCAAATTATTCTATGATGTAAAGACACACATCTTCTAGCCTATAATCAAGTAACCAAGGTCGATCAGCTATAGACAAAAAAAAAGTATCCAATTATGACCTAATCGGTTAAGGCGGGGACACAAATTGTGTGGAGTACTTCACGCGGCCGTTTCAAGGCAATTGCTGACTTTAATTGCGATGGAGATTTAACCAAGAAGAATTATCACAATACAAAATCACTCCCAAGTCAGAAGAAGACACTCGCAGAGGATAAGGACAACATTTACTTCGTACATCCCAATTGCGAGAATTGAGTGTTGCACCGAGCAGGCTAATGCATTCATGTCCTGATGCGGTTAGAGACAGACCTCAATTTCTTTCCTCTTAATATCTGTCACCAGCTTCTTCACATCACCGACGCGACGACGGACCAATTTAACTAGCTCGTCGTCCTCCTCTCCCACTTCACTGGATTCATGCGACCTCGGTCGCTTCAGAGAGCTCGCCATTTACTTGATTCTCTTGAACCCAATTACCCGTACTAACCCCGCTAACCCTACCAACTTCGGCTCATCAGCACCAGTGCCCCATCTCTATAATCTCATTCCTGCGCAAGGAATTCAACACAGCACTAATTAAATCCTAAGGAAGGGACATCAGAATTCCCGGTGAAAAAAGTATTCTAAGAGTCACAGCGACTGAAATGTTGCATCAATGAACAATGAAGAATCTTGCACCAAATTTAAACTATCAAAGGAATTTGGGAAGCAACTTAGACACGTGAAGACGTCACTCACGCCGAAAAACGATGACATTTTTGAGAGCAGCTGTCTATAAGGGGCGCAAACGGAAGCTCAGCAATCCAGACGTGCCCTAGGGATTCTCTACTTCTGGAAAAATGTGACTCCATGGACACCCCTGAGTATACACAAATCCTCTTAGCAGCATTCGGCATTTGATATAAGACATTGTTGCGACACATGCGTTGTGGTAATTGTGAAGGCAACTGAAGTGGGACGGCAAACTAGGGGAGGGCTCACTGACCGTCGGACGCTCGCCGGTTTGAAACCTAGGGTTCTGCTCCCGACCGTTGGTTCAAAGAGTGCACCAACATATTTCTCGTCTTCGAAGTTTCCATCAGTTGGAGCTTTGCTGCTGATGGTGTTGCCGCTTGAAAGTCGAGTAAATTTCCTTGTGGGTTCTATCTCCGAGAATCTAATCAAACAATGCCGGGGGTTCCAGCAATTGGAGAGTACACCGTCTGCGAGATCAATCGCGATTTCCGTACAATCTCTATCTCACTCAAGTAGCAAGAAAAGGGCAGTTCATCCAAGATGTTGCTGCGCTCCTGCCCATATTGCGATTGCATCTCTATTTTGGATCGGCTTTGAAGATGGGTTGTATTCTGATAATGATGTGATTTTTTGTCTATGCAGTGACTGCGAAAGATGACATTGATAAAAGTGCGCAAGACTCTTACTGCAAAATCTTGGTCTGTACCCAGCTGCTCATTGTGGTGATGCAATTCTGTCGAAGGGTTTAGGGTTTAGTGTCTGACATTTGATTCATTGGTTTTTAGAGTACTGATCAACCATATCTTGTTTTATCTTGTTGTTGATTGTAAAGGATGATATGTTGGTGAATTTATGTGCAGTTCAGTTGGCTTTTGAATTTAGTTCTCTTCATCTTAGAAAATCCTAAATAGGAAGGGCTGGCGTGGTGAGGTTTAGGGTCGCGTGTATCCCAGCATTCCGTATCAGCCTAGGGATTCAGATGCACGTAATAGCCAAGGTGAAGGGGAAGATGGAGGCCCAATTGATGAAGACGCAGATCAACTGAATACGACTGATAGCGAACCCAGTGGATTTCTTGGCAGGCAATTAGAAAATGCAAAAACGCTTGTGTCTACAGCGTTGCAGAATCTACTTTCGCAAAATGTAAGTGGATGCTCTGTTCTCTTCAAGACTAAAATTTCTTTTTGCGGTGTTTTTGAAAAGAAACTATCTACTGTTTTAAAGAAGTTCGATGTTTTGAAAAGTTGCTGAGGATGTAACTATTTGATATTATTGCAGTCCCACGGCGCTCAGAAATCATATTCATTTCAAGGGATAAGCTGGCACATGCACCGACACTGGGTTGCGTTCATTGGAGGCCAGGATCAAGTCTTTGTTCACGATTTTGAAGATGCAGGTGCGGGTCCTCCTTCTGGCACGAAAACCTATATAATATATTCTGAAAAGCTCTTATTACTCTTCGTAGAGCACTTACGTTTTTATCGTTACTCCTTAATTTGAGCATTCAAGCAAACAAGGCCGTCATCAGTAGAGCAATTTTTAAAATATTTTGGTAGTCCATCAAAGCTCAGTATGCCTTTGCATAAGGTCAACACTGATCGTCCTGCACGTTGATGGCAGCTCCAAGGGATCCAGCTGTACTCGCAAATGACGTTCATAAAGACATCGAGTGTGTGGAATGGAGGCCCAGTGCTGGTTCGACTTTATCTATTGCCTGCAGGTATTTTGCCACTTCTTCTAGTAGTATTTGTGTCTGTGGCTTCGCTTTTCCTTAAAAATTGTTGATTTAGTCTCAGGTTAGTGGGCAATTTAGGTTCCTTTACGAATGGTATCATGCAAATTGGCTCTTTTCTACTTTGTGAAGGATTAGTGTGTTTCTTTTGAAAATCATCGTGTTATGTATAGGGGAGGAATTGCTATATGGAGTGCTAATTACCCAGGAAATATGGCACCTGTTCGGGCCGGGGTTGTCTCCATCCTCGGTACACCTAACCGAGGCGCTGGGGCTCGCTGGGCGCTTGTCGACTTTTTGCGAACTGGTAGCAATGCGCCTGTTACAGCGTTATCGTGGAGCCCTTGCGGCAGATATCCTTTAATTTTGTGACATGTATATCTTGCCATCTTCAACCTCATGACTGCAAAAGTTCAATTAAATTACTAGTAGTCTAACCATATGAGATGTGACTCTGAAGTAAGCGGAAAGATGATTTACTCTGAAGATACTTGCTGCCACCTTGACCAATCACACAATGCTAGCATCAGCTTCGAAACATGATTCAACCTTTACCATCTGGGATGTGGCTCAAGGTGCTGCTCTTGTCCTCAGATTGTTTGATATTGGCTGTCATACACGCACTTGAAGCTTCGTCTGTCTCTTGGATTTTGCTGTTTCTTTATGTGCCCATTGATATACCTCTTGTAGCCACCGTATTCTAATGCATTTAAGAATTTGTGTTGGATGTCAAAACTGCTTAACTTAGTTCCATGTTCCTAACAGTTTCTTCTGTGTATACTCCTAGCGACTTGAGCATGTCCGGTTGGTGTGTTCAGGTGTGGGGACGCCTTTGCAGCGTGGCCTTGGTGATATTTCTTTGCTGAAATGGTCGCCTACAGGAGATTATTTCGTCTCAGCCAAAGTGTAAGTGGTGATCTTCCAGTGGCTTTATTGGTCCTGGCCTACTTAAGTACCTGGTAGCAATTACGCATTTGTGTGTATTTTTACAAAGACTGTACACGTGAAAGAGAGCTACTGATTCCTTAAGACTGGAGGTGGTTGCTGCTCATGTTCACCTTTTATCATGTTCTGTGCTATGCTTGAACAATTATGCGATGCCCAGTGTGGTGACATTTGATACATATGTGTTGTGCGTGTTTTGCTGGCAGCAATGGGGTATTTCATCTCTGGGAAACAAGCAAGTGGACATCTGTGCCATGGACATCAGCCGGTGGATCTGTTGTGGTAAGTAATCAGAGTGCCAATGATAATGTGTCTTGTCAAATAATGTTTCTCTATGTGCAAAACTGATATAATTTCAATTGGCAGAGCGCGATGTGGAGTCCAGATGGAAAAGTTCTTCTGGCAGCTTTTGATCAAACAACTTCTTTGGCTGCTCTTCACTTTGCCGGCAAACCTCCCTCTCTGGGTATAATTCCTCTATTATCATCTCACTTCACTGGAGCAATGATTAGATGGTTATTAGTCATGCTAATACTAGCGTTGATGTGAATGTTGACATGTGGTGGTCGTTGCGTAGATGTACACCTGCTTCCCTTGGATTTGCCAGATATTGAAGCCATAACTGGCAGGTGAGGTCAAACCTCTTGATATTCTGCTTGCTGTTCCAAAAAAATTGGTATTGTTAAAAGACTGGTTTACCAAGTTGGAATTACTTGGGTATTGCAGAAATGGTGCAATAGAAAGGATGGCGTGGGACGGCACTGGGGAGAGGTTAGCAGTCACCTACAGCAGGGCTGTAAATGCTAACCATGCTGGATTAGTGGCTGTCTTTGATACTCGGCAGACACCTATAGTATCGACATCGTTGCTGTAAGTAATCAGTTTTCGTCATTCTATTTTGACGACGGCCTCAAAACGTATAGTTGAATTTCTTTGTGGATTTTTAGGATTAACTGGAGTTAGATGTGTTGTTGATTAACCAGTGTTAACAATTTTCTGTTACTGTTGCTAATTCCGGTTTCGTTTGTTACCTCGTTATCGATTCCGTCACAGTTCTTTTGTTAGTTTGCGAAAGTGTAATTTAATGCTACATGTGCAAACAGGGGCTTTATACGCGGCCCTGGCGTGGATTCAAAACCTATTTCACTCGCTTTCCACAACAACTTGAAGCAGGGTGCACTTTTGTCAGTGGTAAGTGGCACTTCTGAACAGAATTGTACCTATCATAGTAGTTGTTTGACCATTTTTGTGCACACTTCTTGAAACAAAAGTTTTTAGGACTCCACATTGTTCTTCAGTTGGCTCCTCTTGCCTGTACCATAATTTGCCTCTGGTTTGGAATGTTCATGTGCTAGGCTGCCATTTAGAAGTCAGGATTGTCAAATCAACCGTCTGGATTTTCCCATATGAGTAATATTGAGATTTATTTTGCAGTGCTGGAGTACGGGAGTTTGTTGCACATACCCGCTGTTGTTTAGAGGACATGGTGGACAACTCGTGCGAGCTTAGAGTGGATTCTCGTCTTTTTAGGCCTTTTTGCAAACTGCTGGTCACTTTCAATTCTTCTTGAAAACTAGACGTCCTTATGTTGATGATTGGAACGACTAAAGATCATTCGGATCTAAACATATCTCATATGAGTTAAATACCATGTAAGTCTTCGGTTAGTCAGCTAGTTAAATCGGGAGGGATACTCTAGATCACTATAAATCCCCTTAGGAACTCTTGGGAGAATTTGATACTGCATTCATTGTAATGAAGGTGTTTCTTTGATGTCGTCAAAATACATAACCTACTGGTCTTTGTAGACACCAATAGTTCGTTAACAGAAGATTGACTGGATACCCTGGATGGGGTCCATTCTTCTTGATCTGTAAGTACAGTCTTCAAGAGAATTGTTGTGTTAGTGTGAAGACCTTTGTTAAAGAGAACGCGAGTCTTTTTACTGGGCCAGAGCCTTTGTCTTTCGGTTGTGTTCACAGCTGATTTTCGATGCTAGACGTTGTAGGACAGTTTTACCTGAGACAGTCTAGGTACTTCCGTAGTATTGCATAGCACACATCGTGGTTGGAAGTTAAGTCCATTGCGAAGACCATTATCTTTCTTATTCTATCTTCGATCAACTTAGAAACTGATCAAGTACACATTCTGTTCTACTAAATGTGTTTATGTGATATTGAGCATCTAGGTTGTGGGTGAGTCTTGGTCTTTGTGGGCTAGGTTATTCTGAAAATACCAGTTTATTTCGCAAAAGTGCAAATCAGCTTTTGATATGAAAAATTCGCACTTGATCAAATTTGGACGTTGCGGCCTTTAAAATTAATGTACTGTTTAGTGAGTCACGTCTTATCATAACATTGATGTACATGACATGATTGTGAATTTACATGTATACAGTGTATTAATGAATGAAGACATGTAACTGTTTGCATTAATGGGGTTTAAATAGTCATGTGAGGGTCGAATTTTAGCATCATACGATAAGATGGTATCTTTTGAATTGCTTGACGTCCATTCAGTAGTGATGAACCTTTTTCAAAGACTGTGAAAGGAAAAAAATTCTTAATAGTATGAAATTGTTGCTCATGAATTGCTTGCCAACATCAATCGTACAACATTGAAAAATAGAAGGCGAAGTACTGTGAAAAGTAAGTGTCACAAGTTGGCACCATGGATTTTAATTAGAAGCATTCATTAACTGTTTGTAATTATAATTCTGATTATGCGGAATCAAATGGAGCGGTTTGAAGTGGTATACAGTAAACGTTCTGCTTGAAATGCTTCTAATTAAAATCCATGGTGGACTCTACTCGCGAGGGCGAGTGCAAAAGACCTGTTCAAAACAATTGTTCTAAAGCTGTTGTCCAGCCGGGGTGTATTTCAGGTACACACATTAGTTGACACTATTATGGAGTAATTGTATTTACGGACGCACGCAACAGTGACACAAGTACAGGAGTCGAATTAGATTTTACGTTGGGTTAACTTGAATGATATTTATATAGGTGTTAATTAGATGAAGCGAGGTCACTCAGTTTTTCCCAGTGTGCGTGTGTAACGTGTTACAATCCTAATTTCGGTTCGACATGGACTTACATTTACACTAAAATAACAGTTTGAATGAAAAGCAGATGCTGATAAGAAATTCGAGCAATACGACTCTCAGTTAAGTGTTAGTCATACATAATAAGACACAAACCATCTGAAAGCAATACACTGGACATTTCAGAGATGGTCAGCAGGCAGTGGGACACAGCAATCATTGGACTAAGATTCTACTTTGATTCCAGGATATCGCCCCTCGGGGCCATTATAACATACTGATCAGCAGTTAGAGTTGCTGGTCGTTGGAGATATCGACAGATTTTAAGAGCTACTGGTGTCACAGAAGACTAGGCTTTGAAAAAGACGAAACCTAAGCTAGATGTTACAGGCTAAATTCACATTCTCAACAACTTCGGATCCATGGACGGCAGCATTTCAGTCCATCAAATGACTATGGGAGGAATGTTGATTCATGACGAGTTCTGGACTGTGATTAAAGTCTACAACCTTCAAAATCATTTATCTAGGTGAAACGGTGATGTTGGCGCTCTTCTCCACTAGCTTACCACTCCTGAGCTCCCCAATAGCGGCCAACGGCCAGGTGAAACCTTTCGACATAACCCTCAGTGCCAATGGAACGTCGATGATGATCTCCTTCTCTGTCGGCTTCTTGGAAGTTCTCACGTCGATCAAGTACGCCCTCCCAACCCATCCAATCCACCCGGCAATGTACAAAAACACAAGCCCGGGGTAGACAAACTCGCCCAAATGAGCCTGGTCGCCATCCACAATCAAGTGCGGAAGACCGTCAGTACCACACAACAAACCCTGGTTACCGTAAAACTCAAACCGTCTCTTCGTCTTCTCGATGGTGGCATTGATAGCCAACGCTGGAGCGCTGTCAGGCGCGTACAGCTTCAACCTACCCTCCAGCTTCTTAATCTCCTGCTTCTGACGCTTGGCGAACCCCTTGCTCTCCTTGCAAGGCGTCAACCCCGCAACATCAGCCTTCGCCTCAGGGACAACGAAATCACCGGCACCAACGAGCACAGCCAGCGCCAGCGCAGTGGCGAATTTACCTGCAGTCTGTGCGACATCGACAGATTCCTCGCTAGCGGAGCAGACGATCCTGCTAGCGACGTTCTTCACGAAGACAGAGGCTCTGGTAGCGGCGGGGAAGGAAGATTTGGAACTGGACAAGGGAGTGAAGGAGGATACAAGTCGAGCAGGAGACGCAGCCATGGTGAGAGACGCAGCCATGGCGAAGGGGGGGGGGGGGGGGGACGAGGAGCACAAAGAGCAATGGGCGGGGGAACGATGAGGGAGGAGGGATGTCGAAGGAGAGGGAGGGACGAAGAATATGTGCGAGGGAGGATGTGGAATTTCTGCAGCACCAGAGCTAACTTTATCTGATCCGAAGAAGGGCAACCAACCAACCTTTCCTTTCGTTTCATTTTGATCTGGCAACTCTGGATAGTTCGCTTTGAGATAGTTCACTGGACAGCCAATTGTCTTCTGGATTACACTTCTGCCTTTTTCTCTTCCCCCTCCTCCTCCTTCCTTCCATCGTCCGTCCGTCCGCTCGTCGTTTGTTCTTATGTTCGTTCGTCCGACTGCCCGTCTATTGGACGTTCGTTCGTTCCCGTTTGCTTTTTCTTTCTTTGGTGGAGATAACAATCAATTTCATTGTTGAGTGAATGTGAAAGTATACGTTATGTCGGAGAAATTTGTTGTTCTTTTCAAAATTGCATCATTTTTTTGTAAGATAGTGCTATTCTTATTCTCATTACAATGTAGATTTCTTCTTTATATGTGATGGCACATTAGAATATGATTTCAATTAAGTCTTTAGAATATGATTTTAAAAAATATTAGCACAATGTTTTTTTATTTAAATAATAGTGTTATTTTAGGATGATAAAAATCGGATAGAATGGATAGTTATAATCTGTATAAAATTTATTGCAATAAATTGCAAAAAAAAGCTAATACTTAAATTTTTATTGATATGTTGTCTTTTAAAGAAAATTTTATTTTTTTATTTAAACTTATTATGATAGCAACACAAAAGAATCTTTACTATCTTGCAAAGAGTCTTATCAAAAATATTATTAAGAAAATTTATGAAAAATAAATATATTATCTTTAATTCTAGTATTTATATTTTAATTTTAGTTTATATATATATAATTCAATTGACACATTACAAAATCATATTTTTACATATAAATTATTATTCTTTTGTATGATAAAAAAATTTAATATAATTTAACTTGATTTTTTGTTATAAACTGAGAAATTTTTATATTGACATTTTTGATATATTCATTTTCATTAAAATATTTTATTATTTTTTCTATAAATATATAAATTTATTTATAAAAAATAATTGCTCCAATATATGCCTATTTTAAAAGAAAATATACATTTTAAAACTTTTAGCACAATAGTCAACGTTACTTTCTAATAGTATTACATAATAATTTTTTTTTATAAAATTAAGAATAGAAATTAATTTATATTTAATATTTATTAATTATTATATATAGAAAAAATATTATAATTAAATAATGAAGTAGTATTTTGCAACATACCATCAATTATTATTAAAAAAAATAGGATAATTTTTTTTTTTTTACCATTATTGAAGTTTTTACCTATTATCATGATAGATTTTTTTATAAACCATCTAACTTCTTTTTTTCCAATCATCTATTGTTTAATATTTTTTTCTTTTTAAAATTGACAATCTTATTTTTTTTAAAATTATAAGTAAATTATTAAAATTTTATATTACAAAAACACATTAGAAAATGTCTTGTTGAATAAAAAGCCCCAAGTTTGAAGAACTTACCTGCTGTCCGTTTATACACTACCTTCAACCTTAGCCACTTAATATGTGGAACGTGTCCCTTTACAGACTGTGTCATCTTTCTTCTTTTTTTAGTACAAATTCTTCTCTTGGTATAGCCTATAGAGGCAAGTTTGGTTACTAGAGCTTGATTAGAGATTCTTATTTTTAGCAAAGTTGTTGCTAGATATTTCGATGTTTAGTATGAGAATTAGAGATGTTATTTCCATAAAGATTCTTTTGAAGTGGAGGAATTTAAGCACTTAACTCTAATTTGTATAAGTTTTTGTGAATATGAACAATAGGGATTTATTCCTCATTGGAGATGTTTTTGTTATGTATATTCACAAGTGAAATTTAAGATAGTTTACATTGGATGTGTTCACATCCAATTACATTACATTAATTTATATATATGCAATTGTAAGTTTTTTAATTAATTATATGTAATATTATTTATTCTAATGATTGATAATTAAAATGAAAGAAGTAAGTGACTATCATTTTACTAGGTTACAAAAATTATTATTTGCATTATAGATTGATTAAGTAATTGACTTAAATCAAAATTCAATATGACAAAAAAATTTGAAATGAATTTTTCATCAACATCTATAATTATTATTCTTTCAAACTTAAAAATATATATCTTGTATTATGCTAAGAAGATATATACCTTTAAAGCATTAAAGATGTTATTATTATTATGCAATCATAAATAGAGGTAGCAATCTTTTTCAACTCCAATCTTAGTAAATTCTTACACATTCAAATATTCTTCTATGATTCATAAGATATTTTACGTGCAAGAAAGCAAGATGGTTTTGAATCACTAGAATTAATATTTTTGACTAAATTTGACAACTCTAATTGATCTTTATCCAATATGGCAATAAGTGAGGCTTTTAGAACAAAGCTTGAAAGCAACTATTGCTAAGTTTGAAAGCAACCATAGGGAGTCAAAACACTTGCTTATATTGGTTGATGCCAATTGATGTAATGGTAGATTTATTTTATATTACAAATTGTATTTGTAAGACAAAACTTTGTTTATATTTAAGGATATCTATACTATCTTTTATCTTCTCATAAAAAAGTAATAAGAAGATATTAATTGTGTTATTATTATTTCATTACTTATATTATTATTTCTTTATTACAACCTTGAATATTATTTTATTTTAATTGGTTACTTTTCTCCATATACTCTAATGCTCAATATGGCAAGTAAATATTACAAAGACTAGTTTTTGAATATGATTATAGTTACCTCATTGCTAAATCTATTTAGTGAATTATTTTATTTCAAGTCAATGGATAAAATGAAAAGAATATGAAGGTGGAGGATTTAAATAAAAATACTTTAAAAGTTATTAAGAAATGAAGTTTTCAAATGGAAAATTACAATTTTAAGATACATTTTTATGTCCTTTCAAATAATTTTTGTCTTTTGTTTATATTAGGTTTATATTAATTGATACTAATAAAGTCGTGAATAAATTAGATCATTTTTTTCTTTTATACATTAATATTATATATATATATATATATATATCAATGTTTATAAAGTTGGATTCATATATTTTTTTTAGAAGCTAACATGTTGTTTATATTTTATTGTATACAAATTTAGCTTGGTAGTGGAACTATTCTATGCCTTACATAGATCAAGTAAACAAACTCCCATATGTTTTCATAAACAAAGGTGAGTACTTGATTAGAATATGTTGTATCCATGCAAATCAAGAAGTCAATATCAAATAAAGATACTAACTCAAAGAAAGGTATTGTATGTCATTAATTTTTTTATTCACTATATAATGGATAATGAGTTTTTGTCTGAAGTATTTAATGTAAAATTTGCCACAAGTTTCAACTTTTGTTTGATACACTTTTCATTATTCAAGCATCAAACTTAAATCTTTAAGATAGAAAAAAATTTCTTTCTATGTATTCCATATGACAATCCTTCCTATCTTTGCTTCTCCATCTTATAACATATTATTTTCAATGGTCACTACATCTTTGTAAACTTTATCTATTCCCAATTAAGAACTTGGTTGGTAGATTTTTAAGAAATTTGAGCCAAAGAGTGATAATTTGTTAGAGTTACAGTTACTCTAGCTCAACCTTTTTGTATTTGTCATCATAATAATATTCCTTCTATGAATGCTAGTCTTATTCAAGGCATTTTCAACATCTTTAATAGCTACCTTTTGAAGTATAATATCTTAAATATTTTATATGTACATAAAATATAGGTGCAAGAATTTTTCTACTACATGAAAGTGACAATATATAGTGCATATGTGCATTCATTTCAATATAATAGTGTGAGCTCTCAATTATACTCTAAAATTTAAATTTTTGTTATTTTCCTATTTTATGATAATTAAACACGTTAGATTAGGATTTATGTAAGTGGAATTTATTTTTATAGAATTTTTAGGATTACAACCCTTGATGGTATAAAGTATAGCCTAATTCTTTGAATTAGATTAATTAAGACTAAAATGATAAGAGTAAGAAAATTAGAATAGCAATTTAGTTAGTTTAATAATTTAGAGGTTGTTAGTCATTACTATAAGGGTTGACTAAAAGCCTATGAGTACATCTATAATCATTCACATGATTTAGGAGATGGAATTATAATTCTCTAAAAGATTTAAGGAAGTTAGCAATGATAATTTTGGATTTTCCTCCAAATTCGATAAATTCAAGCCACATGGTGGTTCTTCTACTTAATGGGAGTTTTTTTAATGCAATGGTGGCCCAGATTTACCTCGTGGAGTGAAGAAAACAAGATCAGCAACCTCTCCTTTAAAATACAAGAGAAGCAATGAAATTCTCATTTTGAAGAATTTAACAAAATTTGCCAAGATCCTTGTAAGTAAAAATTCCATGAAAATTATAATTGAGCATGGATTGAGGCATGTAAATAGTCAATCTTAGCTTAAAAAGGTGTTTTGATTACAATAGTGAAGTTAGATTTATAAAAAAAATGCTTTCTTGACCACTGACAAGAGCCATCAGCCTTGGTAATGAGATTGGCTCTTGGATGAAAGATTTGTTGAATTTGAAGACAATCTGAATTTTTAGTGAATTTCTAAGTGAAGAGGGTTGGTCACCATGGTAGTTTGGATCACTCAACTTCAAAGGAAGAATTCTCACGAGTGGATCATTAGATTGCAACGAAGATTGTTGAATCAAAAGCGCCTTCAAATTAGCCTTGCAATAAGTTAAGAATCATTCAAATTGAAGCTAATTAAAAATTTTGGAAAATTTTGGAGTAGAAGGGGGTCGTTGCCTTCAATCCTAATGTGTTATCAAGGTACCTTCGCTTTCACCTCTCTTACTTTATTTTTACTATCATCCTCACAATGACTTCTAATCTTCACATTTCACTTTTTTGCTAATAAATTTTAAGTTTAACTTTTAAACTTTAATATTCTCACGTTAACTTTTAACTTTTAATTTTTAAACTAAACTTTTAATTTTAACTTTTCACTTAACCTTTAATCTTAACTTTTAACTTAATTTTTTTTACTTAACCTTTTAATTTTAAATTTTAACTTAACATTTTAATCTTAATTTTTAACTTTAATTTTTTTAACTTAACTTTTAACTTAACTTTTAATTCAAACTTAAGTTTTTATTCTTATGGTCAATTAATAGTAATAACTTAGTTAATTATTTTTACTATATTTGCATAGTAAATTTTATTTAACATGTTAATTTGATATTGGTAACCATTGCTTGGATGGCCTAAAACTAATTGAATTTTTAATATAAAGATTTAAATTAATCTAATAATTACACAATTGGGAGCTCTCCAATTCCACCTCTTGGACTTGTTGTGTGGCATAGGTTTCAACAAGTGGTGAAATTTGGCCTCACAAATAGCAAAGATGGAATCTTAAGGACTAAGATTAGCACTTCTATTTGGTTTTGAAGTTATTTTCTATAAAAAAATATCTCATATCTTTTGTTGTTTAGATGCTTGGACAACAATCAAAACTATAGATTTAGATTATTTTTGAGTGCAATAGATGCAATAGTATTTTTCATTAGCTCCATATATAAAGTTGTATAAATATTTAATATTTTTCAAGTCACCTACTAAATACCATTGTATAGGGCCCTCTATATCAACAAAAATATTATTGGATTTCAACAAAAATAATCTTGTAGGTTGATGTTTCTTACTGAAGCAATTCTTTTAAGGATTCATGTCATAGGTATTATTGATATAATAAAAATCTCCTATAAAAGTCTTTAGATTTGAGTTCAATTCTTGTCTTGCTACATTAACATATCAAACAAAGTAGCAGAAAGGAGTGATTTTGTTACTTCATCTAATGATGGTAATCATTATATATGTTTATAGAAGTACATCATACTACTGTTCTAATAGCCTAATAGACTTAGTTACAAAATACATGATTATATATATTATACATGTTCAAAGGCTATTTGTATAAAATAAAGTGAATTTGATTCTTATCAAGCCCTAATCCTATAAGGATTTGAAAGATATTTCAATTGAGGTCTTTATCAACTCTTCAAACTTCTCGTTTGAGAGTCTTAAATATTTGTGCATAGCTATATTGTGAAATTCGAGAGGAATCAGATGCAACAAATATATCTTTTGTTTCCACTTCTTCTCCTATCTTTTGTAAGATATTGTTGATAATCTTTGTTATTGCTTTATTAATTTAAAGTACTTGTAGTAAAGCTTTTGCTTTTGCATTTGACAATAATGAATTGAATAATGTTGTAGCTTGGATTCGTGTTCCATTATCACCAAATAATCTTTTTTTGCTGCCAAAATTTAAATTAAGAGCTTTTGATTTTAGTACTGCATTTGAACCTAATAACAACCTACAACCCCTCAACAACAAAGTGATTAAAGATGATTATTATACCATGTTTTACTTAGATATAATGGATTGAGGAATTCAAAAGTTAGTAACAAAATTTGTATTCTTTTTCTTTTGACAAGTCTACTTGTCTTTGAAAGCAGTGAGTAATTTTTCAAGGATCATATTTGAGACCTATAGCCAAATGATGTAAGCACAAGCCAATCTAGCTTCATTTTGGCTTTACAAAACTCAATATGAAATTCCTTCAATTCTTTCTTGAGATTTTTTTAAAATTTCAGACATCTGGAATCATTCTCTTTAACTTGAGCCCCAGATTGATCAAGCTCTATTTTCAATGTAGAGATTTCATATTAGAACTTTTCAGTCTCTTCTTTTATTTTTAAGAATAGTGTTTGCTTCTCATGTTGCACAATAAGCTCTCTAGTATTCCATACTTCATCTCAATATTATATGTCAACTGACCATTTTTGAAACAAATCGTTATGTCTTATAGCTTCTTATATTAAAGAATACAAATAATCCAACAATCCTTCATCTTTGGCACAAACATATTCTATCAAGGATTTTAGGGTTATAAGTGGAAGTGGAGCTCTAGTCCTTGGATCAATTAAGTAAATATTTTTTTTAATTTATTCAAAAAAATATATTACATCTAAAATCTTTTTAAAAATCAAAATTTAAAATAATTCTTCCTAAGAATAAAATTACTTGCTATTTAATTTTTTTACATATACATATCTATCATATGTGAATGTTTCTAAATAATGATATTATATAAATAATTACTCTTGTATACCATCTATTTTAATTTAATTTAATAATAAAAAATTAAACATAAAATATAAGCATTAATCTTCAATACATATTTAAGATTTAAAACTCATAAACATTAGTTATTAAGATGAGCCATCTTTCAACTGTAAATATAGTTTATGAGATGATATTTAAGGCATGTGTGCAATAATGACCACTATTATTATGCAAATATCACTTATCTCTAGCTCAAAAACTAAACAATGACTAAACAAAAAATCACATGCAAATTGATTACTAATTTCAAAACTTTGATAAAATTTAAATAATAATATTTAAAGAATCTATTTTTCATATCTATAAATTCCAGTTTGATAGAATAAAATAATTAATATTTTAATAAAGATATTAGTACACAATAAAATTTCTATAAGGCTTTCATATATTATATTAGTATCTTTTGAAGAGTATTTTTTTTTATTAAGTAACTTATTTTTACACAAAATATTCTTTGATAATTTTTGAATAAATAAAATTTTATATAACAATTACATAAGTAATGATAAATAGAAACTAATAGAAATTGTTTTAATAATACTTTTTTCTTATAAATATGGTAAAACTTATACATCATAAAGTTTGCAAAAAAAAATGATTATTACCATTATCATTATTGCTATTAATTTTTTTAGATTTATAACAAAAAAAAGTATTTATGAGTTATTTTTCTTAAATAAAACCAACAAAAATAACAATATATTGTGCCTAGCCACAAAATTATAAAATTAGAAGAATAAAAGAGAATTTATTCAAAGTTGTTCATTAGCATGAACATCATTGTTGGTATGAATACTAATCTCAACTTTCTTATGGTCCTACTTTACTTTTGTGATGAAATTACATTATAACTCAAACTATGTAAAATATCTATCATTAAAGTAATTGGAATGGAGTATATGTATATATATATATATATATATATATAAATTGGAAGATATAATGCTAATAGACTAGATAAAGTTTTAGACTTTAGACTAGATCCCAATGTCTATAAATTCCAACAAATTTATGTCCAAAAACAATTCCTACTAACAAAACGACTATCTTCCACAACACCAATGATGCTATAAAAAAAGTATCGTATGTAAGCTTTGTTATCTAACTTACAAAAAAAAAAATCGACAAAGTTATGGTTTTGTGGCTTCTATACAAGCATACGATGCATTTAATTAAAATAAAAAGTTACACTACTTTAAAGCGAGGAACCCGAAGGGCCAAGGAGCGGCGCCTCGCTCGTGGTTTCGAAATCTCCTGAATAGACAGACACTATGGAATGGCGAGAGAGAGGGAGATTGACTCCCCAAGACATAGGGACTTAGATTCCTGAACTCGACCACTGTCTACGATTCGAAGTGGCGGATGGATGGCTCTCTCTCCCGTTGCGATGCGTTGCCCGTGACTCTCATTTGGTTACAGCACAGCCCTTTTGCCGCGTCGAGGTTTGAATTGCCATTGCAAAATGGCCGGGAACGTTGTTGGAGTTTATGTCAACGGCCGTATTCGATTTTTGAACAAGCTTCTTGACGGTTTTTTGAATGCGTTTCGGTGCAAATTTGCGCCTTCGTGCCAACTCTTGCACGCCTTCAGAGACGTGCTAGGTCTCCGAGGACTTAATATTGGAATGTAGTCAGTGAGATTCAGGGTACCTGGTGAGGAGAGGAGGGTACAGCAGGGCCAAGTTGCGAAGATATGTGGATGTTGCGAAAGCCGATTGCATTTGTTATGCAGATCGATCGCAGCTGTGTAAATTACTTCAACTGCCTAAGTTTGATTGTGAAATGTTGTGACCATTCAGAGTTAGAGATGAGTTGGAGTCGAGTTGTGTCCTATTACATTTGGATGTGCGTCGTTGTGGTCGATGTTAGAGTGCATTGGAACATTCTCTGGGTTGAAGAGTGGAGTAGTGTGCTTTGGTTGGCTAATTTGGTAGCAAATCGCGTCGGCGAAACCGAATGTAACTGTTAGTGTGGGAATGGTACATTTCGTTGCCAGTGCAAATTGCGAACGAGCCTTGCTTCTGTGTGCTCTTTTTTGAGAAGCTCCAGGAAATTCGCAGTTATCACGATCAAATGACTTCAATTCGTGTGAGGAACCGCTAAAATGCATGAGACTTGGCACATCAGTGCCGAGGCAGAGTGCTACTGATTTTTCAAGTACACTTGACCTACGCACATAGCAGGGTAGCTGGAGAGTCAATGGTCAGGCTAGAGCTTTCAACTAAACATATGACTCCAAGAAGCGAAGATGCAAGGAGTAGAGTACAATGACACCGTACTTGATGTTGATCACATCCTGTTGCTGTTTCACGGCCTTTTGTTATAATCTTCTCTAACATCATCACAACCCGAGCTTTTGCCTTAATAACATTCCTTCAAACAGCACAAATTGGGCCTCCAGTTTTCTCCAACTATTTGAATCTCTAGTGTAGCTTTTAAGGCCACTCTCCTCGAAGTACACAGGTTTCAGTGGTTTTCATATGCGGCCACGTAACTGGGAAGGCCTTATTCTATCAATTAGGAATGGCAATGGGGGTGGACTTAAAAAATGTTGCTGAAGGGCCAACTTCTGGAGAAGAGGGCACCTCTTTGGCAGAAAAAGAATCCTCTCAGGCCGTTCAAGTTGCCTTGAATATCCGGCCTCTAATTGCGTTGGAGCGTGCCCAGGGCTGCAAAGATTGTATTACAGTCGTTCCTGGTGAACCACAGGTGTTTTTCTTGCTCAGCTTTAGAACATCTGAAGTAACAATTTGTCTAACCTTGGAGAATCTGATCATGTTTCACTCTCTGAAATCTTGTCATGAAAAGGCCAGTTCCTTGTACATGTGTTCGTGTTCTCTCCATCGCGAGTTCTCTCCGCCATTGCGGATTATGTCATTGCATCTTGTAGCATGGGATTTTCTGTGCTACAATTGAGGATGTTCAGCGAATACTAATTGTTCTGAGAAGTAGAAAATGTCCTCGGGTCATTACAGGTTCGAATCGGCACTCACTCGTTTACATTCGATCACGTCTTCGGCAGCTCTGGTTTATCTCTCTCTGGACTGTATGAAAAATGCGTGAAATCGCTGGTGGATGGCTTGTTTCATGGCTACAATGCGACCGTATTGGCATATGGTCAGGTGCGAATTTAACACCAATATCAGACTGTTTTCGTATAGCTTACAGCTCCTTCATAATCTCATTTTTGATTGATCGCACTGCCGAATAGTAAGTGATGTAGATGAAACAAATTGATGGAGTATTACGCTCACCTATGTTGACGCTATTTCAGTGCACAAAGCTTCTTTAGATAACGACGGCTATTTCTGCAGACCGGTTCAGGGAAAACCTACACCATGGGCACTGCATATACAGTTGGGGGCAACATTGACGGAGTTATTCCACATGCAATGCAACACATCTTCAAGCAAATCGAGACTCTGAAGATTAAAACCGATTTCCAAATCAGAGTGTCATATATTGAGGTGTGAGTTCCTACAAGAACGGTCGTTGCTATGAAAAAGTGTTTTCTAATTCGGGTTCTCATCCTTCTCTTTTAGAAATGGACATCACCATGCTGAGAAGTGAACAAAATTGCACCCTTAAATCATTTAAATGTTCCCAAGCTTTCTAGTACGCTAATCACTCTCTTGAAGTCTTCAGATTTTAAAGGAAGAAGTTCACGATTTGCTGGATCCAAATCCACCGGCCACAGAGGCCAATTTTGGAGGGGGATCGAAGCCCATAACAGTGGGAAAACCTCCAATTCAGATTAGAGAGACAACAAATGGAGGCATAACTCTAGCAGGTGTTACGGAAACTGACGTGAAAAGTCTGGAGGAAATGGCAGCATGCCTGGAGCAGGGCTCGCTGTGTCGGGCCACTGCAAGTACGAGCATGAATTCCCAATCAAGGTGTGAGTTCTAGCTATCTTGCAGGGCTACTTACTTCAGAATTGGTGTTTGAAGAAAAGAGGAATTTAATGGAGTCGTGAATATTTCTCACAGTTTCATTTTGATACCTTATTCAGTGTTCGTACGTAAATTTACAGGGTTGAACAGCGAAATCACGAAGTGGAGTTAATCCTTAGTACCAGTCACTCGTTTCCATCTAAATTGTGAATATAACTTGAAAAAAAGTTCAGTGTTATCTTACGTCGGCCCAATTTTTTCGTTGTGGGCGCTTAACTTGTAAGTAATGATTTACAATGTTCCGTACTGCAACACAGTCGATCACATGCCATTTTTACCATAACGCTTGAGCAGCGTCGGAAATGGGAGATGCTTCCTGATGGAAATAACGCACTCCTAGAGGATTGCAATGAGGATTATTTGTGTGCGAAGCTGCACTTGGTGGATCTAGCGGGATCAGAAAGGGCTAAACGAACTGGAGCAGATGGACTACGATTCAAAGAAGGTAATCCAATTTATTTGTTAATTTTCTATTCACTCATTTCCTGGAGCTGTTTGATGGTCTGAGTTCCTGTCTTTGAACATCCACGTATATGAAACTGATGAGGTATGCTAAATGACTGAATCCTTTTCTCATAGCAGAGTGAGTAATCTTGCTTTTTGTAAAGTTCTGACGTGCTGCTTTCATTTCTTGATGCTACGGCACTCAAGTAGTTCGAGAAAGCGAGTATCTTTGAAAGTTATGTTTTCGACGGCTTTTGCAGGTGTGCAAATCAACAAGGGACTTCTAGCACTTGGCAACGTAATTAGTGCTTTAGGGGATGACAAAAAGAGAAAGGAGGGAGGTCACGTTCCTTACAGAGATAGCAAGCTTACAAGACTGCTGCAGGAAAGTGGATGCGTTGTCAGCATTTTAAAAATGCAGTATGTTGTATCTAAGTGGGAATACTAAAGATGTCAACTGGAAAGCTGATTATAATCCGTATTTTTGTGCCAACAGGACTCTCTCGGAGGGAATAGCAGCACTGTGATGATAGGTGATTACCAACTAATCAGTTTTTCGTATACCTACTTTTTAGCAAGTCTCTTGTTGCTTATTCTAATCGTTTTATTTATTTGTTTATTTTCCATTTGCAGCTTGTGTTAGTCCAGCAGACTCTAATGCAGAAGAGAACTTGAACACTTTAAAATACGCAAATCGAGCGCGGAACATACAAAATAAGCCAATGGTGAGAGCTACGCCTCGCAGTCCTAAATTTTTGCTTTGATTCAGACCCTATTGCACTATTCTTCACAGATCTTCTGTCGATCTTGCTCTGTGATTATGCAATCTCCTGAGGAATTTTGTTTCGATGATTGGCTGTTGTGTGGACTAGGTCAACCGAGATCCTCTGTCCGCTGAAATGCAGCGACTGAGACAGCAGCTTGAGCTGGCCCGGGTTGAGCTTCTCTGTGCAAGAGCTGGAGGATTGTCAAGTAATGACGTCCAGGTAGGCGTATGATCTGAGGCTCGAATCGCATGCTTTTATGCTGTTTCAGTTTGTTTAACGTGCTTCGTAGTCTGGGTACAAATCTGCAGGTTGTTTATGTCTGGTCGAAGAGAACGTAACTTATTTTATACACTCGTCTATGTTAAGACAAGATGTATTTTGAGAATCATACATCGAAAATACTGCCAACCTAAGTTCCTCATGTCCGAATGCTTTGGATTTTCCCGTCCTTAAGGCGCGTACCACTAGTGTCCCTTGTAAGTTTGTGTCCCTTCTTAGTCGTTTTTACTTTGCAGATTTTTAAACAGAAAATCGCATGGCTCGAGTCTAGCAATGTAGATCTTCGTCGAGAGCTCCATGAGGCTCAAGAGAAAATTACCTCTCTCTCACGAGCTGCTTCGGATTCGCGGGTAAGACTGCTGTAGAAATGTTCATCACATTTTCTGTACTTTCGTCAATATTTTTAACACACGTTGTCGCATGAACAAATTTCTCAAGGCTGGATTGGTTTTGTAGCATGAGCGAGATAAGTTATTAATCAAGCTTGATCTGCTACGGTCAGGGAAGGTATTTGAGAATGAGAATACCACTCAGGTACAGTATACTGATCCACGAATTAATTGATGATTCTGTTGTTTGATTTTCCTTAAAGTGAGGGAGCGTACTTCTGAGAACGTAATTGCTTGTATCTTGGACTCAGACTGAAGACCTGCTGAAGGACTACGCAAATAGAATTGAGGAGCTAGAATCTGAGGTGCAACAACTTCATCACGCGAAGTCATCGTCTGGAATCGCCACCACACCGCCCTACTCTGATGTCTTTAATGTTGTCAAGGGCAGCGCATCTAAAGCCTCTCCTCGAGTTCCAGAAGTCAATGGAGATATCTTATCACCTGGTACGGATTAGCGTGAATATCTGTCAACTTGTTGGTCTAATTGTTTGTTTGTGTTCTTGTGGAATCGAGTGACGCACTGAACTATCTGTGGGAATACCACATTACTTGTGAGTTGGCTTTGCTTCTGACTTTAACAGCTCATTTCAGTCTCTTCTAGTCTGCAGTTCGATTACTTTTTATGGACATATCATGACGGACGATCACGTGCAGGTGAGGGTTCTGGAGAGGTAGAGGCTGACGTTGTTGCCAAGGAGTTGGAATACACATCAGTACAGGCCGACTTAGACAAAGAATTGCAGGAATTGAATGAATGCCTGGAGCAGAAAGAGGTGATAACTGATCTTTTATGAAATCTTGTAATGTGAATGTCAACTTGCGAGATTTTTCCTTTGTTTAATAATCCCGAAACTCTTCTTGGGAATATCTTTGATTAAGGAATATCAGCAAACTGATGGATTATGTCCGTACAGGCAGAGATGAAATCCTTTATTCGAATTGATACGCTAGTCTTGAAGCAGCATTTCGAAAAGAAGCTGATTGAGCTGGAGGAGGAGAAGAGACTCTTGCAGGTAGGCTCACATTACCTTTGTGCTGCACCTTTACATGGGAAAGGACAAACCGGCTTGTCAAAAAATTACGTAAATTTTAAATAAGAGATTGTGTTTTGCAGAAAGAAAGAGACAAGTTGATGATGGAGCTGGAGACCCTTTCCCATGTATCCGACGAAAGTGCACAGAAACATCAAGATGCTTATACACAAAAATTGAATGAGCTGGAGACTCAGGTTTGTGGTTAGTGCCTTAAAACTGAATTTGTAGGAAGGGATTTTGTCAGTGGATATCTCGATCACCTGTCTCGTAGGAGTATTGACTTCATCTTACCGACTAATCGAACCAGATTGCGGACTTGAGAAAGAAGCAAGAGAATCAGACTCAACTTCTTCGTCAGAAGCAGCGCAGTGATGAAGCTGCCAAGGGTCTGCAAGATGAGATTGTTCGAATGAAGACTCAAAAGGTTAGCACATTATACTTTCATCATTCTTAAGAAATGTCTAGCGTGTGGCATATCCGTTGCAATATTCTGAGGCACAGAATCCCACCACCTTTCTAGGCTTTTCCCTTCGATATTTTCGTATGTATTCGTACTGGTGTTCGATTTGAAGCTAATTACCAGTGGTTTGCATCATCAGGTACAAATACAGCAAAAGATGAAGCAAGAATCTGAACAGTTTCGGTTGTGGAGAGCATCCAGAGAGAAAGAGGTTCTTCAGGTTAATTTCCATCACCTCTATCTGCCTAACTTCGAATCCAAGCTAAGCGTGGCTGCATGCTTTTTCAGAACCACAGTGTGATAGTAATTAATGATCCCATTTCGCATGCATACAGCTGAAGAAGGAAGGGCGTCGCAATATTTACGAGTTGCACAAGATTCAAGCTTTACACCTGCGCCAGAAAATGGTGAGTGTATCGAGATTCGCAATATATTCTGGTCTTACTGCCGATAATGTTGGGTGAAAGTCAATTTCAGCTGATCTTACAACTTGTATCCTCTTCTGCAGGTACTTCAACGAAAGACAGAAGAGGCTGCAACGGCGATGCGGCGTCTAAAAGAGCTCCAAGAGGCCAGGAAGTCCTCTAAAGACACTATGCCTAATGGTATCTCTTTCACTTCTGCCCAATCTTTGTTGTGGTTCAAACTAGAGTTTTGTGCTATCAGTTCAAGTCTTCAGCTTAATCTCCCTAACCCACCTCCTTGGTTTTGCAGGCACTTCACTTCTCGCCGGTCCTTCAGCACAGGTCTCACTCACGGTCGTTGGGAACTCACTAATTTGTCTCTGCTGAGCATCTAACCTAAGTTATTGTACTACAAATAGTATTCTGATAGAAGTAATGGGTGTAACTCGCAGAGCAATGAGAAATTATTGCAGCATTGGCTTGAACAAGAACTCGAAATGGCACTTCGGGTTCATGAAGTTCGTTCTTCTGCTGAGAAACAGAAGGAAGAGTAAGTGTTCCTATCTTGGTTCTTTGCAAAGTGGTTTCAACTTCCTATTGCCAATGATATTCCACATAGGTTGTGATTTTGTAAGTAAAAGATCTTCAGTATTTAATATTTTCATTGTAAATCACCGTTTCTTTAAAAACAGACGTGCTGCGACAGCGAAGGAACTGATGGAACTAAGACTACAAGCTGATAGTAAACTTGCTTTTGCAAGTGATCTTGATGAGGGGTCCAACGCCAGGTACGCAAAATATGTCGCTATTTCCCTCATAATAATTGGTGGTCGATGTCGCCGTGTGATGGATGTGATGTTTTACATGTCTGACGTACACCTTAAATGTCTTTTGTGTAATCTCTCAACGGTGCTTAGCATGCTGTAGACCTGCCGTTAATGTTCTGTTTAGATTGTCATATGAGTAGCCTGTAATGTAAGTGGAGGTTACATTTTGCAGACACGCCCGGATCGCTTACTTAGAGAGCCTTCTAAGCTCCTCTTCTGGAGATATGGTGGCGATGGCTTCACAGCTGTCGGAGGCGGAAGAACGTGAAAGAGCCTGCAGTGGTCGGGCACGTTGGCAGCATTTGCGCTCCATGGGGGATGCGAAGATCCTCTTACACCTCATGTTTGATGTCACATCCTATTCCAGGTTTGTTCATACCGATGTACCATCCCAACATTATGTCGTACATATCCGTAACTAGTCTTTTCCAAAACTCGTTTGCATACGCTATCCAACGGTCTCTTCTAGCCATGTCCCTTCGGTATTCAGCCATCTACTTGGATGTGTGCCCGACTGTAACCTTGCCTCTCATCTCTCATATTTTGTTTCATTGTCGAATCATTCGTTACGGCTAACTGTCTCGTGAATTTGTTTCAGATGTCGGTTCAAAGATCTTGAAGACGAGAACAAGGAATTGAAGGAGAAGCTTGCAGAAGTCGAGGGCCTTCTAAAACATGCGGAGGTGCAACGTCAGGAATTTGAAAGACAAAATCTGCTAGCAAATCAGGCCTTGTCTAAGGCTTTGGTAGCAGCCAGCAAGGTAAGTCGTTTTTCAAAGACAACTTCTCAAGCAGATAAATTCATATCATTTCAAAGGCCATGTATAGATCCTTCTTCTCTCTCGAATTAATGAGTTTTACGTATTGGTGTGAACTCAGTCGGGGATTGAGATCGAGAACAACGACATTGGGAGCGAAGGTTCACGCAAAACTGATGTGACTTTTGACATTCGGAAGGTATGCCGCTGATTCGCTATTCTATGTTCTCCATGATCCACCAGCATTCTTGTTTGTGTTCTTGGGTTTAGGTCTCATTCTTGGGTATATGAGGTTATGATGAATCTTTAGATTGAATTATGCTATTTACTTCCAGATCACTCCAGGGAATGGTTGAATCATTTCCAGAACAAGACTTTTAATGGTCACATGCCTCTATTTGTAGCTACTGTCTTCTTAATCGTCAAGAAATTTAGAGCAACAAATTGGTGTTGTATTCGAATTCCATTTCAATTTTATGAATTTACATTTAATTTTCCACCAACAGAATCAGTTTAGCATTGCATTTAGAACCTTCTTTAAGAGTTAGAAGTATCTTAATTACAGTAAACATAATCAATTATCACACACAAAAGTTCATAAATTTTCATCTGCCGAATTATTTTGTTTTCTTAACTTGATTGCCTTGCTGCAAAGCCATCCTCGATCAATTTTTTTTTTTTTTTTTTTTTTTTTTTTTACTGTGAAGGTATCGCGCGTTCCCTCAACAGTCCGGCACTCTCTTCTGGAATCAGATATGGATTTGTCGGATTCGGAATCAGAGTTTGAGATTTGTACCAGTTTCTCCGACACCGAGTCAGACTTCGGAGAGAATGACAAATCTTACGAAAGACTTGTAGCTCGTAAGGCACAATCAGGAACCCGCGCTCTCTTGGGTCGACGAAAGCACCCTTCTGTTAGCAGAAAATCTAGCACTGACTCACAGCACCCGTTGCACTCGAGTGAGCTAGGTTCTGCGGAGAATGATCGTTTAAATGGGTCAGGCTGTGCAGTCTTTTCCGAGATCAAAGAGTCCAAGTTTGATCATTGCTGCTATTGCTCTCCATGGTCGGGCTGTAAAACCAAGAAATGTGAATGCAAAGCAGCCGGTGGTTTCTGCGGACCGGAGTGTAGATGCAAAATCGGTCGATGTGCTAACCGCTGGGAGATTGCTGCGGTTGGAGCGCCACTGCTGTCCGCTAATCCACTAGCACCTGTTCAAGCAGAGATGACAGCGGCCATGGGGGGTCTCCGAGTTGATGAGACACCGCAGCAGCGATGCATACTCAGTGGGGATCTCAAAACTGAGAGAGAGCAGCCAGGCAGTCCATCTTCTGAGATTGAGCAAGCTTTGGTGAGGAAGGGAGTGCCGTTATTGGATTCGGCATGGAAGAACAGTCTACACAGCAGTCCCCTGAGTCCTGAAGAGCAACAATATTCTGAAGCAACGGTGTCCCTTGGGACAAGAAATAAGAGAAAGAAAGATGAGGTTGGGACCAAAAGACCTCGTCGACCACTATCAGATATCGGAAATAATAAGGTATACTGTACTTACCCTGCGTTCTGCAATTCAGCACATGCTGGGCACCCAATTCTCCCAATTTATTCTCACCATTCATTTTCACTCCACTATGATGCAGTTCAATTTCTCGAATTATTATCTATAACCCTCACATCAGGTTCGATGTTTGTTCGACCACATGACCACATGGTCTGTCTTGCCCAACAGATATTGTCGAAGCCCCGCATCGATCGCCCCCTCTTGAAATCTAGACGAACGGTCCCACGTGGTTTAATTCATCTAGTGTCCGTCCCATCGCCAGCTCCGCAGCAGTCAGCTGCCATCGCCGATGCCACCACGCCACCAACAACTCCTGCCCTTGTAACTGGGGCTGCTGCTTTAGCAGCTAATTCCACGGCGTTTGTATTCAGGTCCACAATGCGGTCAGTACGAGGCCGACTGAGCGCTCCAGAAAACTTTGTTCCTTCGTTGAAAACGAAAGCAGTCGATTCGATTAACAGCGCAGTTTTAGGACCGCGGGAGCATGTTGTACCTCCTGGGGTACATCCTTCTCTTCCAAGGACTGGCCACAGCCCTTTGAGAGTGCGGTCGGATTCGACCTGGAAAAACGTCGAAGTTGATGAATCAACACCCAAAAGTAGGCGAAGGGAATTCAGCAGTGGCCACAGAAGGGAGGGTGCGGCGGGTGACAAAGAGAATTTTCGAATGAACTCGCGAAGATTGTAACGATTCGAGCTGTATTTAGTGTGAATTTGTATTTAGTGGGCACAACTGACCTACAGAAATCGTAGAAAGTACGTTTTCAGTTGGAGTGAACCTGTATTCGGTTCTTAGAAAATCTTATGACTCCAATTCAACATTCGTACATTTAATTCAATCACCTTCTTTGTGATTCCATTCTACCCATGACACCTTGCATTTGCTTCTTCTGCTCATGATACATTCCTTGTTTACGCAAAGTCTTAAAGTTGCTTTATATTGGAGTATATCAAATCCGAAACATGTGAAAGGTTGGAAGTCGAGAGTTGTCTGAGTTGCCAAACATCAAAAGAATATCAAGTAAACACTAAAGACCAAGAATTTTACAAGTGCTTTGTGCTCAAAACATGCTGTCAGTTTTTTAATGAATTTAATATATATATATATATATATATATATATATATAAAGGATGTATATCTATTATCTACTACACATATGCATATAAAAATTCTACAAATGGTATGTGCATAGCTTCTTTAAGTGATGTATAAACTATAGGAAATAAAACTACTTAATTAATTCTAGTAAGAAATTATTTCACAAATTGTTTCTTTTTTTTTTTTGTTGATTTTATTGGTTGTATTTTTATGCACAATTTTGCAAATAATAATTTTATGAACTTAAATTTTATGTTCGGATCTATTTTGTAGATTTTTAATGTTATAAAATCTACTTTGACCTACTTTAATTATTTTATGATATATATTGTAAGTCTTATTTTTTCAAGCAATTAGATTCAAGTATTGTGGAAATGATATCATGGATATTTCTTTTAAAATCTAAAAGAAAAAAAAAAAAAAAAAAAAAGAAAAAAAAAAAAAACTTAGTAATGATGTAAATCATGAATGCAAAAAGTTTAAAAAGTTCACATAAAAAATAATTCAAAGTTGTAAACAAAGCACAAATTAAATATTACACGGATACAAAGTGTTTTTTGTTGCACAATCTTGGTGGATATAATGGTGTGTCTATATTAGAATAGAGAAGATGCAATTTTGTTGTAGAAATGAATGAAGTGTAAGATAATCTCTTAGTTCTTTATGCTTAGTTGTGCTAGAGCTTCTCTTTACTTTTTGTTATTTCCATTGTTTTGTATGATTCTTAACTACACATTAATATATAGGATGTTATAGAATTTGATGCTATTTTTTTTTTGTTTTTGTTTTTTCATTGAGGGCTACTTAAAAGGAAAGAAAGTAGCCTATATTGCAATTTGATATTACATCAAAGAAGCTACTTGAACCCGAAATGCGAAAAAACGACAACCATTAAGATATAACCATAAGCCAAGGAATAACTTGCCACTGAGCACGATTAGCATCAACCTTTATTGACCTCAATAGAAGCTCATGTTAAAAACTTTATTATTTTTTTCAAAAGATCAATGGCTGGTAGAAAAATAAAAAACCACCCAACGAACAAAACTTGTTAGACATGCTGTAAAAGTAGAAGCCCCTTTGAGGCCTTTGAACTTGACTTACCAGTATTCAAATCTTTGCAGATCAAAAATCTCAAGTAAACATGATATCATTTTCTGAAGTGGAAGTTTACAACAGTGGTCTGCATGAATGACTGCTGCACAGAGATGACAAAGGGGAAAATGGGATGGAAGAAGAAGGATGCTACACGTTTGATGTGGCTATCGTTTGAACCAAACTCAGTACCTGCCACCCATTCAACAAGTAATCTTAGAACAAATCGCTCTACAAATGTGACTTCACGTATTAACTCGAAGCTTCTACCCATAACTCACAGCAAACAAATAATTTGGAGCTCATTGGCAGACATGCGAACTCCGCCAAAATTCAATAACATGAGCAACCCTTAACACCTGCTAGATCGGACTGGGTAGCCCACCAGCATATTAAAGTCCGTCTACCCCTTTTTAATGTAGATTTGAAAACAAGCGCAGATGACAAACGCCAATCCAATCAACGCACACCACCAATAGCATTCAAGAGAATTATGCATAATACCAGGATTAATTTTGAACTTGAGTATGTTGGGCCGCCGCCTGGATATGAATTTGATAGGATGCTCCATGCAAGGCTTTTGTCGATCAGTAGCTGATATCAACTGCAACGTCACAGTGGCAGGTGACTCAGTTCAACTGTTTCCATGCCAATTCTAAGCTAAATAACCCATTCAACATTCATAAATTCATAAACTAGTCATTGAATTGCTTAGTCTACGACAGAGATACGCATCAATGCAGTGAAACCGGAAAATCAACTGACCATCTCACCCCAAAAAGCAGTTCATGACATGATAGATGGCAAATGCTAAAACAATACCAATGTACAGTTCTTTTGTAGCGAATGCGAACCTTTTCATCGTAGTGGAAGAGGTATTGGTCGAAATAAGGTGACGGACTTAGAGACTGGGAGTTGTGGGGAAGAGAAGCCAAGGTTCTTCTTACTACCTGCACGGTGCAGAGATTGGTATAATTCAGTAGTCTTACAGATCATCCCTACATTATCTGAAAAGAACATTTGTAACTGCAGCTGACCTAGAGTCGTTGAAGTGGAATATACCTGCGGATAAGTACTAACTTTGCTGGTCATGCTGACCGCCTTCTGTTTTTGCAACTGCTCTCGAGCGAAGGAGTTGTTTGAATAGCTAGAAATAAAATTCATATACAAGGGGTATTGTGGAGCCATTCTGAATTGATCACTGTATCGCTCCACACACTGCAGCAACTCTTCTGAGTTGTTCTGTTCCAAAGCAATAAGATTAGCAGTGTCACGAAATCCACTGTCAAGTACACTAACTTAACCAAAAAAAAAAAGCACTTAACGTTAAGGTTAAGAATAGTAAGAGGGAATACTTTTCCAGAGAGGACCTTCCAATTACCTGATAGAAACCACGCATATCTGTAGTCTCCATATTGTAGACTGCCAAAAATGATGTTTGATTAGAGGCTTCTGAGTTTCGCGCCACCTGCATAACCCCATCGACGAATCTAATAAATTCCCCAAAACAACACACAAACGGCTGTAGATGTTTTTCCAGCAACACGCAATGAGTTTGAAGTGCGTGAGAAACGCAGTTGCAAAATCTAATTGAATAAGTCTGATGAAATAAGAAAATCATCTGTCTTGAAAAAGAGGTGTTAAAATGTGGACGACAATGTGCAAAAGCCACCCCAAGCGAGACCACAGAAAAGAAACAAAGCTCAGAAATACTCACCAAACCATCAATGCTCCCAAACCTAATAAGTAAATGACAACGATCCAAAAATTGTACCTATCACAACACTGACGCAGATCAGTCACTATAATGAAACATTTGTACCATCTATTGTAGCTCATCATTTGGGGAGAGCATCATGAGAAACAAACAAAATCAAACAAACAACAAACGTTCCTAACAGACAACTCAGAACCTGTTCGAAATACTTCTATTCAAAATTAGCCTATCAGTAAGTAGAGTTCACAAACTAGCTAAATTTTCTGTTGTAATTAAGCAACACATGTACCTTCCACATAACCAGATCCACAAATTGCTGGAAGTTAAAATAAAAGCGCTTCAGTTGTGTAACCTTCTGCACGCATACAGAGGATACACCAGACTTAAACAAAACAACATGAAACCAAGTAAGAGTGTCAAATTAAGCTTCCCAAAGCTTCACTATCACAACCAAGCATAACTCAAATAATAAAGTGGTAACAAAACCAATAAAAATAACAATAAGTGCCTAAAAGTAGTCAATAAGTTTTGCAACATCAATAACAATTCTCCAAAAACATCATTTCACGAGGGCACCACTAAGAACGTACCGCCGCAGGAGTTAAATTGTCGTTTTGAATACATTGCAAGATGAAGGATAACAATCGGTGCTTCAGTCCACCAAGTATCTGGCTGCATTGCTGCTGAAGGTCTTCGGGCCTTGCATCTATACCCGCATTGGAATCGATGATGTCACCTCCCCTACCGTTCCCAGATGGGTGAGCAAGTGAAGGTGCTGTAACCCCTGGTAGTTATTATTATCAGAAACTATGTGACATGTGATATCGAGGCTTGGACAAGCTTGTGAATTTCACCTTGTATGAGATTATGAGTTCCTGATACTACTATAACACTAATACATGTGGACTTTCTGATAAAGCGAGCAATAGATACAAATCTGAACATTGAGTTCTAACAGACACATCAGTCAGTCAGTCAGCTAAAAGTTACTTGAGATACCTCTGGAAAAGGTCGCACCCAAGTCTCCATTCGCTCCACCGGATCTCGATAACAGATTAAAAGGGCCAGCCTGAGGGTTAGCCTCGTCCTGGGAAATAGCCTCGTCCTGGGAAATAGCCTCGGCTCCCCTGAATGAGGACCTACTACTAATCAAGGTGGACGCAGGACGTGTTGAAAGCCCATGTTCTTCAATGCTGCTAAGATGTCCATGAGCTTGTCCCAATTCCATCACGACGTTGTCGCCGCTAGAAGAAGTCCCGTTCCCGTTGCCAGAGAAATTCCCATTAAACCGGCGACGCCCTACAACACTCTCATAAGCGGCGTACTCCCCACGGCCACCTAAACCTTGAAAACCGTGGGGATGTTCTCGTCCAGTTCTTCTTGTACCAAGTTCCACTCCAGCTACACCAGGCTGTTGATGTCCTCCAGTAGAGTCTTCATACTGGCTGTATTCCCCACCCAGCCTCAAATGACGCCCTGGAATGGAAGAAGGGTCGGGCTCATGCTCCACAAAGCGCCACACATGAACATTGTCTTGGGTGTTAACGGGGTGATTCCTTGGCTGCAGTCTGATACTCCCATCAACGTCAACGGAGCTTGAGAAAAAGCCTCGAAAGTAATCATCGTAGAGCACATCGAGTATATCAACACCAGGCTGATTGCCACTGGAGGGGCTCTCAGAGGCTTGCATGGAGGTGCCTGGGTCATCTAAAGGGTTACGCAACCACGGCCGCCTGCCACTGCCATTACCATTGCTATTTCCACTTGTCCGCGGCTTGCTCCCAAAGAATTTCACAGGTGCTGCTGATCCTGACTCGGAGATCAAACCCCTTGCTTTTCGCTGAGCTGCCTGCTCCTGCTGAAACCGAGCCTCTTCCTGTTTCACATGCGACAGTTGGTTGGACTCAATAAAAAGCATTCGCATCGAGAGCTGCAAACACATTGCTGATAGAGTGGAAAGCAGAGAAGATGATGATTACCAACTTCGCAAAAACCTAAAAATATGTACATCACTATACTGGAGAAAGGAGAAAGTTGACCTGAGACAATGAATTAAGAAGGAGCTCATCATCCTCTCGACAGAATTCACCAATAGTTCGAATATCAAGAAAGAGGCCACCATCTCGAATCTGAAGAATGTGGATTCGCTGAAACCGCACAGACAAAATAGCCAACAGGTCATCATGCAGAAAGACGCCTTGGTTGTGCGCAAGATGGATGTAATCATCCTGGAAAACTGATCGAGCTGTGATGACCCCATCCGCTAGCCGGACGACTAGAAAGGTTATCTTCTCTATGCAAGGAACCCCTGCAACGGCGCCCCGAGTTGCTGGTGCAGGGGTAACATTGTGTTGATCTGGAGCCGTTGAAGTTGCAAATATCCCATACAAATTGTTCTCAGTGGACAGGAAAAAATCCTTGCATATGCCCTCGTTGAGACCCGTGGCCAGAGGAATACGATGCAGCAAGCTAAAATGGCTCTCAAACTTGTTAGCTCCCGCAGGAAGCTCATCGACGTATTCGGAAGTCTTGGAGTGGTAGGAGAGCCATAGCGGCCGATAGATGAGCAAATCTTGGGAACTTCGACTGAAACAGACCAAGTACTGTCCATCATTTGTGAAGCGGCGCCACCACTGATCGGGACAGTCCACTTCGTACACCGTGTGGCTCGGAACTACATTTTCATAAAAGCCTCGTGCTCGATGTATCTGAGAGAAATAATGCAACGACCAGAGATGACACCAATGCGTTCTTGCAACAAATTGGATAATAATAAATTCAACCCCGTAAGCAAACAGCCATTGAATGCATCAGCACCACTTGCGATGAGTTGACAACAATTCTCAACAACAATGAGACACAGGCCAGAAGCAACCTGGCTCAAACGAGGCTGGCAGTGTTTGAGAGAGCCTCTTAAACATAAAAACTTTGGCTAAACTAGCATTATACTCACTCATATCTGGACAGCGTCTCCCACTTCGTCAACCCATCATCGTTCAACGATATTCTAATACTGATACTATTGAAAGAAATTCAACATTAGTCATCCGAACTTCGCTGAATTTTACACTGGCTTGTTCACTCATGGGAAAACGCTGCTGGAAGTAGAGTGAAGGGAAATGAAGTGAAGGAAGAGTGGTGAATAATTGAATGATCTCAGAACTTACATGTGTATTGGGAGGGGCACGGCTGATTTGACGAGAAAAAAGCCGATGAACAATGTTCTCACTCTGCTTCCACATTCATAAATTAGCCCTAGCAGCACCGCAGGAGCCCACCCTCGGGAATACTTGGTTTTGGTGAAGCACCTGCTCCCACGCACACTGTTACATACTCCCAAACGCCCTGTTCGCCGCCCTCAGCACCATGTACAACATCCGACACGATACCTGCGAAAGGAGAGCAACAATAAATCCAGCACAAATAGCATGCATTTAGCTTGCGTCATTTCCATCACAGTACTCTGCACACTACTGGATAAACGCCACGATTGGTAGTCCAAATTGAGCAGATATGACTTGCGGTGCCTTGCCATGACTAGCCAAATAGCTCAAAAATTGACATCGGTAAGCTCGTTGTGCATGGCCCAACATGGCCCGGCTAGGAGATATTCGTGCTGGAACTTTCAGAAAGATGGAGTAGAGTCCAAACCAAGTCCTCATGGATAGACGCAATTGACAAAAAGCAAACGATAGAATATCGTACCCTGATTTTTCAGAAGATATATCCTAATCCAGTGATACGCAGTCTGTATCTCGTGTCTCGAGGCGGTCTTCAGCTGGTAAGCTGGGCAATATGAATATGATGCTGTAGCAAGATACGGTGGCCTGTTTCCTTTACAACCACGTATTAATTTTCAGGATTTTCGTCGCACGATCATAAAATTCTTTAGTAGTGATTGATTTCTGTTGGATGACCTGCTATTTATTTACTAGACAGTACGAGTACAGAAAGAGACAAGCTAACCTCTTGAGATTATAGTTTTGAAACTTATGGAGATGAACCATATAACGCGTCAATCAAGCGAATATCACTGCCGAGTCCTCCCTTTGAAATGGACGTTGCAACATGATTCCTTTTTCTTCCAAACACTCTCGTTTGCTTCACACGAAACCCTAACCATTCTGCACTGAATACAATGCACCCAGCTAATTACGAACGAACCACCATGCTCAAATTCCAAGAAGACGGTATCGAACTGATAACTGGTAGTTCCAACTAGGTCATCTACCAAATGCACCACCGAATACTGCTCGCTTCTTTCGCAAAGAAGCCACCTTCCTACTGCACATGTTTCAGCTCTCGCATGGAGCCCCTCTCAACTTCGATGCTGCAGAAGAAATCCCCGCACCCCTAAAATCCTCGCATGCAATATCCTAAGATTGCTCTTTGCAGAGATACGAAATGTTGAAATTCTTCCTCGGCGGCCACTACGTCCTCGCACAAATTGACTCGCTCCTGACGAATGAATGAAGGATTCCAAAAACAGTATCCAAACAAGACAGTCTACGAAATGGCAGTGTGCTTGCTAAAATCGCAAGATACCCTTCCTCCAAGTAGCTGCACCTCAATTAGTTGGAAATCCTTTGACAAAAAGACAAACAATCTGCCGCACAGTTGCGACGACTACTGCTACTTACAAAGAGAAATAGCAGAAACCAAAATGATGTAAGCCACACTTATCCTCTCAGCCAAAAAAGTGGTACAGGCAGACTGAACCTCCAAAGCCCATAAATCTGCTCTGTCCCCACAATCAAAGTCAAAGGGTACAAGGAGGGAACAATCCAGTCTGCCTGTGCTCGAATCTCCTAAACCCCTGCATATGTTATCACTTGCGAAATTGCTCCATGCACGGAATGAGCCCAGAAGCTCAACAAATCCCTGCCAAGCTGCCCAAAAAGCTTTCACGACTTTTTACTGCGAGAAGCACTGCCGGTGTGGCCCACTAGGCTGATACAAGGATGGATGGATGGTGGAGACTCCAAGGTTGTGGATGTGTTCTTTTGAGCAGTTGGGCTGCGTTCCGCTGGTTTTGGTTACTGGTTTGGGGACGGATACCGGTGTTGCCAGAAGCGCACTAGGTAGTGTAGTTCGGCGATCTGATTTTCTTATTTCATTGCTTTTTATGTTCTGTTTCCACTGCATCCCTCGGTGCGTGAGGACCAAATTTCTAATCGTGGTCGAATCTGCCGAGTGTCCTCGGGGACTTGGAGCATGTGGAAGGGTTTTCTATCCTTGAACAATGGAGCGACGGCCCTTTGGCTGGAATCCGCATGGCTCCGTCCCACTGGTGTCTGCTGACGACTCTGAGTAGCTGGTGAGAGTCGAGGGAGCTCCTCGGCATAAAATTGCGAGTGATGTTGAAAGATTTTCTGCGCCTGAGAAGGTTTCTCAAACATCTCTCTTCAATTCTCGTCTTGAGATGCTTGAAATAATCGTCTATCCCCACATCATCGTTCTTACTACAGAACTTCTGCTCTGGAGTTGAATAGACTCTTATTTTTCTTCAATGCATTCATCAAGGCCTGAAGAAATGTCAATAACGTATAGTTCTTGTATGCTGTAGGAAAGTAGGAGTGCTTTCTCGTGAGGTTCTTTTTGAATTAGATGGTGAGATATGTAAAATACTTCACCATCCAACACAGACCAGATGGCTTCAGAACAGTAGCAGTGGATATTGAGGATATCCTTCTTTCATCTGTAATAACAAGTGCAAAGGAGGCCTACCAATTTAGACTAGATGATGGGCCCCCGGCTCATGCATACTCTTCTCTTGAATCGGGACACCAAAGCTTTCCGCAGCGGTGCACCTTTACGACACGGCTTTGCTAAATCGGTACTGGTATCTCTATTCTCACGAGAATGCTGTGTTCCATGTCTTTACAGGTTATAGAGGTCTTCATTAATCGTGCAATTCTCGTGATTCTGTTCACTGCCTACAGCACCAGAGTCCTCTAGAATTCAGCCAAAATCATAATGCTAAGCCCTAAGTAGGATGCCCTTCGTGAAGAATGTCAATTCTCTTTTCTTCTCGAGGTCTTTGTGGGTGGAATGGACCTGGATCACTGACAGCGTAGGATGCAAGAGTTGCAATGCTTTGGGCTCGTTCCAAACGTCGCCTTCAGCTCAAAGTAACATCTCTAATCTTCGGCCAGCATTCAGCACGTCTGCAATGAGTTGCAAAGATCACATGACATGGTCATCACAGCCATCCTCTGGGTGCTCTCAAAGCTGGTCGTGCTGTAATTCCACCATCAGAACTGGTAATTGAATCCAGTAAGGAAATCCTCACCAATGATTTCTGCACATTCCATATAGTCTTCGAGACCAGGAGCTGGAAGTCCGAAACCAATAGTTCTCAGCTGGGTACTCACCCTCACTTTTGCTTCGGTTCTTTCTTCTTTGTTTGTGGGTACACACAGCTCCTTTTTCTCATGTTGAATCTCGAGTTTTGCTTCGTCACTGTTGAGCTGCCAGATTGCTCCGCAGTGCAGAATATTGCATTGTTTGCGCCGCCGCGTTGTTGACGGGGCTTTCTGTTTTGAATTGTGTCCAGGGCTAGCTTATTTCTGAAGAACATCACAGACAGCATGTGATTTGCTAGATTGCAAAGTATGTTCTAGATTGATGAAACGAAATGAGAATTTGACGAGAAAGATTTCAAAATTATGTAAACCAATTTAATTCCAATTCTGTTGCTTCAATAGTTAGATACTTATTTTAACCACAAAATAATAGTAAGTATATTAATTGTATTCAAATTTTGAAAATTTGCACTATTAAATGAATTTGGAGTTTAAAGCGCCAAATGGTTAGATAATTGTATATTCTCTTAAAAAATTAAACTAAAAGCATGAAGAAATATGTTTTTTTTTGAGATTTTCATATTATTTCTATGTAATACAAATCCAAATATGTTAGATTATATCTTATATGTAAAGATTATGAAAAAAAATGAAAAAATAATAATTTTAGCAATTGTTTTTGCATAACTTTTAAATTTCTGTAAAAATCACAAATTCCAATGAACAACATCATTTGTGCTGTGTATGAAAAATCAAATTCTACCTTGTATTTTTCTTCTTATGAATTTAAAGTCGAATTTCCTAAATACAAAGTCTACTAAGAGAAACCTCTCACTTTGAGCCAATTAAAAGATTTAAAACTTGTGACCTCTCATCTTCTCTCCTAAATATATAGATCACCTAATTTCTTTTAATAATATATATACATAATCTTAAAATTTTATTTTATTTCATTATAAGGTAGGAATTTAATAGCAAGAAAATTAGATATAAAATTGGTTCATCCACAATTTCTTTGTAAGTTTTTATGTATTTATTCTGTATATTTGAAATTTGTGGCCATTTGATGTTTAACTTTCAATCCTATTTTCTTTACATTACTGAACTGTTTAAAGTAGCAAGATTGTGTTGACATTGTCTAGCTTTAAATTGTGTAAATCTGTGATGTATACACAATAATAAATTAAAGTACAACAATTCATTTCAAGTTTGGAAATCACTACTGAAGTGCAATGTATGTTATTTAATAATATAATCATGTGATAATTTTCAACACTAAATAATATTTGAACAATTAAAATCATCATTTATTATTATTTAAAGCAATAATAATGATAATAAATAAATAATTCAATATGTTTATTAAAAATACTTTTAGCCTTTTTTTTTTAATGTATCAATATTGTTCAGATTTGAATTTCAATGTAGTTACATCAAACAGACAAGTAGTTATAATAAAGACATTGATAAGATTTTTTATTTTTAATTATTAAAGTCAGCCAAGAAATACAAATTCTTTGTACACATTGGCAATAATTTAAAACCAAGTAGACTCTTAAGATGTTCAATATATTTCTCACCCATGAATAACACAATAATAATGAATTTTCAACATCTCTCCCACATGGTGCACACAAAAAACTCGTAACCACATGTTTCTCCCTCCCTCTTCTCACTTGACAAAAACAAATACACATAATTCTTCTTGTTAAATCCATAAAAATCCATAAAATAAAATACATGGGCAACGCAAAAGAGAAAAAGGGACAAAAAGAAATGAAGCCAAGAAGGCCACACAACAAAAGGCAAGAAAGGCCAAGCATTGAAAGGGGGGGGGGGACGGGCACACAACACAAAATAAAGGGGGGCAGGGTCCCCGAGAGAGGGCGACCCGCGATCCTATCCACATGGCCCGGGCGACACATTTTGCAGCGCGTCGCGCTCCGCCACAACCTCCATCGCGCGCATCGCGACCTCAAGCCTCGACTTGGCCGCGACTGCTCGGCCCCCGCTCACTCCCTTCCGCCTCCTTGCGCACCCTCGCCATGGTCGTCGTCGTCGCAGCGTCCTCCATGGCGGCGACCGCGCCGTGCGTCGCCGGGATGCAGCTGAGCTCTGCTGCCTGTAGCAGCAGCAGCAATAGCAGCAACGGCGCTGGGTGCCCGTGCGCGCCGGGCGAAGTGTTCTTCTCGTTGCGCTCTGGTGGGTTTGCTGATTCTGGATCTGCGCTGGTTTGTGTTTACGCTTTCAATGTGGTTGGATTGTTGTGGGTGCGATTAGCGCTTGAGCTCGAGATTGTAGTCATGAGGGTCGAGTTGCTTGGCTCTTGTGCCTGCACTGTCGGTGTTTGCAGGGTTGTGGTGTGTGAATTGGTCCCGTGGTTGGGTAGAGTGTCAAATTTGCCATGCCCAGCATTGCTTCGGGGAGAAGAACGTGTAATCTCAATCAGCTGTTCTGTGTGATTAACTAAGTACCTGGTCGGATACCTGGGTAAGGGGTGGTGGAGGAGAGCCTGATTTGCAATTATGGTGCTTAATTCGCGTGAATAACGTTATTTCGGAATTGTACATCGTCACTCACTTAGTTTACGCGAACTTACAGGACTGTGAGGATTTCTTCTTTGTTTGAAGTCAGCACTGAGTGCCGTGCACGCGCACAGGGATCGGATATGGTGCTGGAGGGACGCACGGGGTTGTTCCAGCGTGTTTGCGACATATTCTTGGTTCTTTTTTAGTGTGGATTATTGTTCCGTTGGTCGTTTGACATTTAACCAGATCATTACTTGTTGGAGAATGATATCCATGCGATGAACTGCACATATCATGCTCTATTCGATGGAAGAAGCCAATTCTCTTGCGTAGGCAAGCAAGTGATATGTAGTACAGAATTCTTATTACTCTCTTCAATGATCTATTCAGGATTCATCTGTCGAATTGGAACCACAAGCAGTCTACAGTCGGGATTCGCTGGCAACGTTGGTGATCTCTCAACAGCGACACAGATGTCAGCCATCAATGGCGGAAAGGCCAGCAGGTCAGTGTCGACCATGCAGGTGAAGCCAGTGATCCAGTTCATCCGCGGAGTCGACGAACGTGTCGTTCCTGAGATCAGATTAACACGATCCCCCAACGGAACCAATGGCAAAGCCATTTTTGTGTTTGATCAACCATCCGTGTTCGACGCCTCTCGGGAGTTGGGAGACATCACCGGCCTGTACCTGGTGGACGAGGAGGGCACTCTATCCACCGTCGAGGTGAGCGCCAAATTCCTGAATGGAAAACCCTCGAAGATCGAAAGCCAGTACGTCATGCGCAACACCACCGAATGGGACCGGTTCATGCGATTCATGGAGCGCTACGCGAAGGAGAACCAGCTGGGATTTGTCAAGAGTTAGGTTAAAATTTCATTACTTTGTCTGCATTTCAACCCCCTCAACACACTGGTTTTGTTCCTATCACGCTTTGATGATCTACCATGTTTACGACAGCATTCGATGTCTCCTTGGGAGACCCTTTGTTTTATACTTTGTAGAGAACTACTTGTTGCGCATAACTCTCCGCTGTACATCAGAGACGCACATCGTGTAACAATCCGTAACGGCGATGTTACTCAGAAAATCAACTCCACATGATTATTTCCACCCCTTTCACTGCGCTGCCATATGAATGTTGTTCAGTTCGTCTCAAGCTTCTTCTGCGCTCTTCCTTTGCCCTTGTGCTCAGTTAAATCCTTCCTCCTGCTCTCCTTTTTGTTCGTGTCAGTCTGTATGTGACGTTTACATGACTTGTTCTATCGTACACAACCTGAATTTAGGATCAGAATCAGACCTTCAGGAACTGAAAGTCCATGACATGTCGATCCCACGAGATGGTCTGTGTGAACGGCATTTTCAGTCTATCTTTTGCTGCTGCTTGACTCATCTTTCATTTCATGGTTTTAAGACATATCTATTATGGTATGAGACATGTGCAGCTTCGATAATGATCTAGAATGGATCTATGGGAAAAGAAAGATCGTAGGAAACATTTCCTTTGCTAGCAAGTTCAAAGCAACATTTACTGACTTGAGAGTTTCAAACAGTGTGTATGCAACACACATGCATAGACCAATTGCGTATTAGTGATAAATTTAGTGAAATTGCGCACGATCTTGCGTTGTATTTTTGGTTTGTAATGCATCTAACTCAAACATACTTATAATTTGCATTTTAGAGACTATATGGGTTGTTACTGATTTTTTTGTATAATAATTTGGAAAGGAAGGATATTGTATCTTAAACTCCATCCAGGTGTTAAATGAAATTTTTAGACTCTTTTAATTATCACTAGTGAATTTAGTATGCAGATGGCCACTAAAGTAGAAGCCCACTAAAATAATATCCCACTCACACCGGTTTTGTTGAATACTTGTATGTCAACTTGTCTGTGTATACAAAAAAAAAAGAAAAAAAAAAAAAAAAAAAAAAAAAAAAAAATGTTTCTATTTGATTGAGTATTTTGGTACATGAATTAGCATGTGTCAGAATAGAAGCATGTATTTGTGTATGCTTGATGAATGTACAAACTTGAATGTGAATAAGTTTAGTTTTGTTGAAAACTATTTGTCTTTGACTAGTTTGAGGAGAAATTGGAGATATGACTAGTTTTCATAGATAATGTATTACCACCTTCATCTTGTTTTCTTTAAACCAAAATTTTTCTTTGATTGTATTTTGATATTTGGTATTAATATAGATATATTTAATGATAAAATGTAAAAGTTCATTGATTGCATTAGTTGTTTTACATACAGTTTAGCAAATTTTCTGCTTATAATTGTGTCCATATTCGAATTAAAAATAAAACTATAGACCATAAAAAAGTGGTATATATATTTAGATGAATCTAAAATATATATACATACATGAATCTAAATAGTTGTGGTACTTTGTTGGCACAACCTCAGCCATATTTCTCAATTTCAATGTGATTGAAAGGAAGAAAATAGGATAGAAGCCCATCTTGGAGTGTAGTATTGTTTTTAAATCTAGTGTTTTTTTAGAATTTTGAAATTTTGAAATTTTACATGCCAAGGCAAGAGTACAAAGAACAATGATGTCTTATGCAAAGTAAGTCAAGAAGAGTATGCAAGTTAGTCATCAAAATGATGACTCCTTTGTAGTAGTTAATAAAATTTGTTTACTAATGGACCTCTTTGAAGAGCAAGAAGTTATTGCGTCTTTTGATTCATACCACCAAACTAGATGTTTGCATCTAACTTAGAAATTTCTATATATGTCTCTTCTTTTGAGATATTCTAAAAGTTTTATTAGGCTCTTACTACAAATTGCTTCTTGCAAGGTTAATATGGATAAAGACACCATAATATAAGCCATAGAAAAACTATTTAAAGAAGTAATAATTATATGTTTAGTTGAGGATAAGCCAATATTTTTTGGTCTAACAATATTCAAAGAAAAGATGGAAAACCTAGCCAAAGGACTTATTTCTCTAAGAAAAATTTTTAGTTGTAGTTATCAATATCTTAAAACTTCTTCAAAAGAAGTTCTTACCAAATTTTAATTCAATCTCCATCTTGGTGTATTATTAGCTAATATATGTTTGAAGCTTGGAATTCAAATGATAATCTATTTTCTAATTCTTTAAAAATTCTAACTTAGATCACCCTCAAATGGCTGCCAAAAAAAATCTTCTTTATTGCCAAATAAGTAGTTTTTTTAATTATGTTGTATTATTAGAGTTATTTAAGAGAATAAAAAATTATCAAAACTAAAGTTTTGCATAGAAATAGAGTCAATAGCCAATTAAATTCTTGAGCTCACTTTAACCAATATGATAACAAGAAAATGATGTTAATACTAATAGACTATCCAAGTATGTCAATTTGTTATCCATTTGTTTTTTTTTATTTTTTCGTTTTTTTGTTTTTTTTTCCTTCTATATGGTTGAATATGAGATGTAATATAGTATACTATTAAATCAATATTTTTAAAAATAAAAAATTGACTAATTAAAAATATATATATATATATATATATATATATATATATATTGTTGACATTTGTATTAGATAGATTTGAAATTTGTAACTTTTATATGTTTTTAAAGATATAGATTTATTGATTCGAATCAAAAATAATATTTATCTTATTTTAGATATATTTATTACCTATAATATAAAAAAGCTTTAGACTCATAATTTCTTTTGATTTTTTTGGTGATTTATATAATATTTACTATTTTTTATTATTAGATTATATATGTGTATATATATATATATATGCTTATATTTTTATATCAATTAACAAAGTAATACTTCCAATAATGTGACATAGATATTTTATGTTCATCAAGGTTGCATCAAATTAGAGAGATATCTCTATAGTCTTATTATTAATTATGTATACAAGACAAAAAAATTCAAATTGCCAACACTTTACATTCTTAGCATGATAAGCTTCAATACAACATTTATTGTTGTAGTAGTTTTTTTGTGTGAAGAAAGCAAAGTGTGTTATGTAAAATCTTTGGAATAGTTGACCCATATTTTTTCTTGTCAAAACTCAATTACATAACAATAGATTGTGAATTTTTTTTGTTTCATGTACTTGTAATATTTTTTCTCAATTTGCAATTGTTTTTTTTGTCTTTGGCGCATCAAGAAAAATGTTTTAGCAAACTACAAGAAGTACTTTGGCACCAAGAAGGACTTGAAGAAATTCAAACAAATTTGGTAGAGAGTTGTCTACTACCTCTTTATGTACACATTTGAAATGCATTGAGGGAAGTTAAAGGATAAGTATCAAGTTGTATTGGCACTTATTACTTACCTTTACAACACTTAGGTCAGCGATTACAAAGAATGTTTTGTTACTATATAGACAAACAAATAATCTTACTTTGGAAATGGAAACTCATTATGTATAGAAGGAACTCATTCTATATTGAAGGGACACTTTTGAGGTTAAACTAAGATTTGCTTCATATTCAAGCAAATTAGTTACAAGCATTTGCCAATCAGGTCAATGAAATTTGAACTTAGGTTAAAGGGAGAATATATGAGTTTATCATAACTATAGCTAATTATTCTATGAAAACATAATCCAAAAGGTCAGTGTGTTTGTACTTAAAGAAGTGCACAAAAAAAAATTAAGGTGGACAAAACAAACAATTCTCTTTTTGGGATTTTTTTCTCAATTAATAGAATTGCCTTATATGCATGAAATTAAGAAGAACCTTTGTACATATTTATTCTTAAAATGGATGATATTTACCCATTATAGTATCTTATAGAAAGTATATAGTTTGTCACAATGTAATACTATTTTAAGAGAACAAGAGCAAACTAAAGACTTTAATGTAGAAAACATATTGCAAGACGCTTGAGATATTAAGATTGCACTACAAACTTTTGATCACTTCTTGATTTTGTGAATAGTATGTATTAGCTACCAATGCCCCATTAGCAAGAAGACATTCAAAGTTGTTTGCTTGAATTAATGGGCATGCTACTTAGGCTAAAAAACTATCCATTGAAAGGAATTAGAGTTGGTTAGGAGGAACCTTAGAACAACAATGGCCAAATCAATATGTTGCTTGATTTGAAGCATTGACACATTGAAAATCTCTGTGGTTTGAATTAATAAAAGCCTCATCATTAATCCCAAATAATGTTGTCGTAATTGCTTAAGAAATATTGAATTTGCCCATTGCTCATCTATAATTCCCAAATATGTCATCAACATGTAATAAAAGTCACATGGTGAGTTAATTTAATATTTTTCTAAATAAAATTGTTGTAATTATATTGAAATATCATTTAACATGTTAATGATTAGAGATATTACAAACTAGAAGCCATTAATGCCTCTGCAACATCAAATACAAGGGACATTAATTTTTAAAAATTCATAATTCAATGGACACAAATGTTCTTGATTTAAATAATCCATTGACGTAAGAAATGAGTGCTTGAGGAGCCCATACTTTACATTCCAGTGGTTAAGTAAAAATGATAATCAATTCAAACTAATAAAAAAAAGTATGCTGTCCGAAAAAAGATCACAATACAAAGTTTTTAAATCTACAAATAAACCAATTATGGCATAAGAAAATTTGTAAGTTACACTAAGAACATCACGAAAGAATGTTTAATCGATCGAGATAAATTTGTTTCAATATGTATAAAATCTTGGTAAGCTTATTGCATTACTGGTCAAGATGAATATCAAAGCTCAAAGGTCTCTGAAACTTTTCTTAGAACTTCATTGAACCTACAACTTTTCTTGATGCTCCCACTCACACCAAGCTCTTTCCTAATTATCCTAGCGAGTGTTCTCATCTCCAAAAAAATTGTAGTGAAAACCTCTACAAAACAAACTACAAACCACAGTTACCACATTCGAAATAAAATTCATCCCAACTCAACTTTCTTACGACTCGCAATATGACCTCTGGATATTGAAAACGACACGGCTGAAAACATTTACAAATTTTGTCACTTGGCAAAATTACTGTGTTGCAAAGATCTGCACTTCACGTTGTTTATTGGGGAGCTGGTATCATCTCACACAGGCTGGTCCAAACTCATGGAGTCCACCTGTAGTATACTCTGCAGTGGCCATGCTAGAGGGAACTCCAAAACTAAAGACAGCCACCCCCTCAATTTTACCGCATCATGCTAAAACTGCGGAACACTAAAACAACACAAACCCACTCGTACTCCACTGCTTCAAAGGAGTTAAACTAGTAGGTTCTCCTAAGGTACGCGAGTCTACATTATACAATAAGAACAAGACGATATGGTTCATCAATAGTAAACAGGACCATACACTAAGACCCTGAGTAGGAATAGCTTCCTACCGAAAAATCTTTAGGATAAACGTCCTAAAGGTAGAACAAGTCCACATCAGAAACCATAGTAACTCACGTCTCTTTCGTTGATCTCAATACCTACTTTTCCTGCACACACCATAAACACTTCAGAAATTGTACAACCTCTATATGATGCTTTTTCTCAATATTCTAGACCTCTGCAACAGGTGCACAAATCAACTTCATACTGTATGATATAATAGAATGTTCAAACTGCATGTGAACAAATAATCAGTATTATAAGTTCGCCTAAAACAAATAACTACCAGAGAGAATAATCCGATCCCATGCACAATTACTTACCACGATTATACGAATCAAAAAACTCGTCAGTTGCAAGTTGATTACTGTACATAAGAATTCTACTACAAGAATTGAAAATTAAACAAAAAGTGAGATTCACGCGTTAAAATACTAAATGTTCCATTTTCGCATAGGATTATACACTAAATCATGATTTACCCAAGCAGAGTTTTATCAGCCTCTTCATCGTGTCAAACGAAACGGTGACGGGCCACCCTTGCAGTTGAATCACGAAGACTAAGCAAGCGTACAAAAGAACTAAAGAAAGAGCCTAAGCCCAAGCGCTCAAGCCTGAGAAAAAGCACTAGCCAAGTAAGCTCACTTACTTGAGAGGGGACGATTTCGTAGCGACCAAATAAAGCTTCACACACCGTCAAGGAAACCAATTTGAAGAGAACATGAATGAAGCCTGAACTTGCTCCGTCCAACTTTGACTCTTGGGTATTTGAAGAAGATGTATTTGAGACAGTCAACTCAGTGACATACGGGCCAATACCAGAAGAGATACAAAGAGCACGGACACCCCAGAGCTACAGCTCTCCGTGTGTAATTTGCAAGACAGATATAGATATCGGTGGTACTCCTCTGGTCTGCAAAGGAAGGTTAAAGACGATTAAGCTTGCCTGCCACAAGTGAGATAACCTGCAGCACCCACACAAAACTGAGGTGATGCTTCCCAAGAAGTGCACGAATCGAGGTTTCCAACCATGAAGTAGATATAAAGTTACATTGGATTCAATTGACAGACCAAGCCCAGTATCAGAAACTCCTCGGTCAAAGGCGCATTCCCGTCAACATTGCTCGCTAGTAACATAAAATGTCTTCAAATAAAACTTACCAAATCCTACCATCCATCTTATGAGACAAAAGGATCCAGTGAATGGAATTGTCCTGGCAGCTGCTGCTGATATTGTTGCTGCTGGCGTTGAAGAAACATAAGCTGCTGCTGCTGGTGAAGCTGTTGCAGCTCGGTCTGCATCTTCACTTGGGCCTTAGTTTCATCAACAGGCTTCTGACTTTCATTGTAAGTGGCCTGAGTACCAGAAGGAAATTGAGGTGGAACTGTAGAATTGAACTTCCAATGATGATGAGCCCCCATCCCTACATAACCAAATATTCATAGAAGATTTTAAATATCGGACAATAATGGATTCAATTCAAAAGCCAAAAACCAAAAAAGATTTAAGATCATATTTATATGAGCTGAGGTCATCTACATTGGAAAATCGCATCATTAGAATAAACTCATAGATTCAGAAATAAGATTATCACCTGGAAAAGGAAAGGGTGCACTGTCAAATGCTCCGCTTTTAACGATCACATCATCCGTATGCCACAGATTGCGATCGCTACTGCTAGGCTGGGTTTCTCCATCTCCAGAATAATAACCAGACTGTGAATTGACAGGCTTTACACTTCTAAAGTCATCCAACCACCCATAGTCATCAATATTATCTTCACTTATGTTAGATTTCTGACTCTGGAATGTGCTTGGGGATTGAAACAACCCTTGAGAGCTTCCCAAAATTGGTTTGGAAACGGGTTTTCCAGGAAGCGGTCCAAAACCAGGTGGCGGACGCATCGCGGAATGGCTAACCCTGCTGTAAACAGATTGCTCTTTTGTGTTCCAGCTGCTACTGGTGGTTGTAATTGAATTTCGGTTTCCTGGAACTATGTACTTTCCAGATTCACTACCTGGAGAAGTCTCAGCGGAGGTTAGGATAGGAAGGGAGCTTGGATTTGGTACTGCCTCCCCACTAAGGCGGCTGTTTATGGGTACACTAGGAACAAATCCTGACACTCCATATTTGTCCAGAGACTCACGCTCTGAGTTCCATAGTGACCGAACATCACTCTGGGCTTGAGAAGCTACAACTGAGCCGGCACCCATTCTTTTGTCCGAAAAATTTGTAAAAACACTTTTTTGCCCTTGTAACCAGGGCTCTGTACTTATAGATATATACTGATCTAACCAGTTTGCTGCGCTTGTCAATGGCGACGGCATTATAGGATGATCAAGTGCCCTTGTCGCAGGGGCTTCATTCCCTGAGGAATTCAGATTAGACAGGGTCAAGGTTGAAAACGTAGCTGCTGTATCATGAATCGAGGGACTCGACCCCGGTAAAGATCCAGTCACAAACATCGAAGGAGTTGCTAGATCAACTAAACCACTCTTCGAAGAACTCGTGAATTTGCTAGCATCAAGAGGGTAGCTGTTCTCTCTAGAAGTGTCCTGAACTTGTCCATGAAACGTACCTTGGAGCTTAGTTGCAATAGGACGCAACTGAGGGTCCACTAAGTTCTCTGAAAACCGGGATATTTTGCCAGCGGTCACCATAGAAACTTCAGAAGTAGGTAGGGAGGAAAATTTAAGAGCCGGAGGAAAAACCTCAGAATTGGAAGGTGCAATAGTGTCAGACGCAGGCGATCTGTCCTTAGTCAAAGGCTTGAAAACTATCACTTCCTCATCCTCCTCTTCACTAATTACTCTAGCAGGGGTCCTGACTGAATTTTGTGCCTTCGGGTGATTATCACTGGCAAGAGAACTACTCTGCAACGTAATAGAGGCATCATTCCGCTCTTCTTCTCGACTGTCAACGGTATCCTCGATGCCAGTATCAATAAGTTGCTCTTCCTTTTGCTCCTGCCGAGCATCTCCAGGCGATGTAAATTTGCCCAGCTCTTCGTCGTAGCAAATACCTCTTCCAGTGCTCTCTAAAGCACTGGCAACAGCTTTCCCAGCCGCCAGAAGCCTCATGATACGAACTTTGAACTGTTTGACCCCACTACCATCACGAAATGTACCTTTAGAATAATCTAGAGCGGCCTGAGCGGGGGCAAGAGGCGTAAACCCTTGTAGCTCGAAATCCTCCCATAGTGCAACACCTCGTTCGTTCTCAACTGAAACACCAAATGACTCAATGGTAAGAGAACCCTCCATCCCATTCTTCGGGCTAGACTCCTCTCTAAACATCTTCAATAAACAGTTGAGCAAAACTAGACATTCCGCCCAGAAGGATGCTCTGGCATTGGCTTGATCTGTGTCAACTTCACTTCCGATTGCCATCTCGGGTCGGCCCGCTAGCCATTCCATGAATATAAGCAACGCAGGGAGCAGCACACTTCGAGCCGGGTCTTTGGACTCACTACACCGACGCATTAGATGCCCAACAATCTGGAAGGCTGCAGTCAGAGCATGCTGAAAAAGACTGGATCTCTGTAAAATTTCTGCGTAAGTTGGATTATTTATGGAATCTGAACTGAAACTAATGTTATGAACTGTGAAGACCAAAATAGCAACAATTTGCAGGCCAAAGGAAGGCCCCGCGTTGCCCATTGATTTTCGACTTTGATGATCAGTCCCGAATACCACCTCCAGGTTGTAATTATTTCCAGACAAAAGTTTCTCCAGGTCACTTAATACTTCCACATAGACCTGCGAGAATGTCTCTAGACTGCACAACACGTCCACAAATGATAATCAATGTGAAAAACCCGAAGCCATTGCTAGGAATTTTAACTTGAAATAAAATTAAATAAAACGAAAATGTAAACAGCTACATGGTTGCATGCTGTATGAATAATTAAAAAAATAAAAAAGGAAAAGAGAAAAAAGGCAAACTCAAATGTTCACTCATCAGATACGCAAATCGTTGGAAACCAAAAAGAAAGTCTTAACACATTAACACGGACATCATCACTGACCTGTAATTTAGAATACCTTGACTAAAGTTGTCTACCAACAAGAGCAACTATAGATATTACCTGGTGCGTGTGAACAATATCCCATTCATTCGCACGAAACGGATGCGAAAACTCCTCGAGTCCATGTTCTTTACTGAGTTTGATGTTGAATCCGCGTTCTCGGATTTCACATCTTTCTTAGCTAACTTCATGGTACCACCGCCAAGAGATGAGGCCCGATCACCTCTAACAGTTGACGAAACCTGTGATCCTCCACCGTGTACAGCACTCTTCGATACATGAAGCTGGCTGTACTGCTGTCGATTCTGCAAGCAACAGACGGAATATTAAGACTACGATCAAGGACATGACTCTGCTATTTCTCCTATGTTCTGGTAAAGAGCATACGAAAATAGTGTGTACCACTGGGCAAACAAATACCTTCTCGAACAGGAGAATCAGATTATCTCTAGCAGTAAGAAAGGGCGTCTCCACGGCAAGACTGCGGAAGTATCGATAAACTGCAAGGAGTTCGTCACTGACGTACGTTGCCAATACTGCCAACTGCCATCACCACTCCAAGCATAAATGACGAAATACAAACAAACCGATCAGTTCAACTTCAGGTAAACTCTACTAAATATGCAGTAATATGTTGACCTCGATGACTGCAATAAACTATCAGCCACGGCAAAAATAAGCCCTGAAGGGTAAGGTCAATCTGCACCTAAACCAACATGCTGAAAGATTGCATTCAAGCATCCCTTAAGTGTGTTTAAACATCACTCAACAGGAAAATACAAATCACAAAACAGGCCAGATTAAAGCGCATCTAGAATGATCAGAAGTTAAACATGATGTGCTAAGATAAGTTCCAGAAACATGGAGAGCACCTGATTATGCGGATTGCCACTAGGGGGCCACAACGAAGCTGCCTGGAGGTAATGTCCCGCAGCCACAGAAAAATCAAGAGAGCGAGTATCCTGATTATTTGCATGCACTTCCTTGTACCGGGCCAAATCGCCCAAGAAAATAAAGCAACGGTGACATGAGAGCTGGCAACGTTTCACTTTAGTGATCCGATCTTTGTCCTCTGCGTTAATAGCCGCACTACCACTGCTCTCAAAGGCAGAATAATCCTGAGGCAAGCCATTCTTCGCTCGCAATTTCAAAATGAGATTGTAATAGAATCCACTCACTTCGGCAAGAAAGCTCTTAAATGACGCAACGATCTTAATAATAGATTCTCTCTGCGTTCCGCTTTTCGGTGCTACGGCAGCATAATTAATTTTCTTGATTTTAGCCCGATATTCATCAATTTGTTTGTAATGCAGGCGCCAAATAGCTTGCTCCACTTCATGTGACTCAGAAAGTTCATGATCTTCAAGAATGACTGACTCATATTTCTCCCGAAGAGAAATTTGCAGGGATCGCACATTCCCATCAAATGGCCCCTTCGCCTGAAGCAATGTCCGTAGCTGCTTCTCTAGCTCCAGGGCCTACACGGATAATTGAACAGCTAAGATTATTACTTTGCCACAACTCTTCATAACTTGCTATATAGGCTTCACTAAGAGGCTTAATCTATTCACCCCTAAGCGATGGGAAACGGCTTATGACGAATGAAGAAGGAAGATGAACAACATAATACCACATATTTCACAAGACAACATTGTTGACTTTATGTATATTTTGACTTAGTCAAATCAGAAGAGAAGGAGACCAGATTCCAATTCACAAAGGACAAAGCCACTCAATTTCTGATTTATGAAGAAGTTTAACATGACCTCGCAGAAATAAGACAAGGTATCAACACACCAACCACAGCATCAAGGAAACCGCAGTTGAGTAAAGTTTCCTAAAACATACGCTTGACCAGCAGTCCACATTATACAGGTAAACTAACGGTCGCAAATCTTCGATGAGTCAACTAAATTAGGCGCGAGAAAAAAATCCCACAGCACGTTAAACCGTTTTATAGGCGTTCATCACGTGACCATGTACAAACTAAGGAGGTAGGGAAAATTAAGAGGACGGTTCAAGCCCAACGTGTATCCCAAGCCACAATTAAGTTAGCAAACAGTACTACTACTATCCAGTCCTCAAACAATCTAAAGCAGGACAATCACACCGCTAGAGAGCGTTCAAGGCCTGAGCCAACTTGGTTTATTTCTCACACAACAAGAAAACAAAGGAGCGCGACCTCCAAGTTCTATGATCCAACGCTTTCACACTTGCAAATATCCTCAATAGTCTCTCAACACAGCATGACCTTGAACCGAGCGAGAAACTCCTCCAGAAGTGCATTACCAAAACTCATATCGCGTAAGCCGATTGGCCACAGTGAAGGCAAAATTGTTTAACATGCCAAAACTCAAAGATAGGGGGCCTCACAAGAGAATAGTGCAACCCCTGAATTCTTCTTCATCACCACGCCGAAGGCAGCAAACATAAGGGGAGGGGGGGGGGGGTACCAAAAAAAAACTACAAAAGACAAGACAACAGAACACATAGGAATGAAAACCCACCTTGTTGTAGTGCTGCTTAGCCAGGGCGAGCGGTAGGGAGACCGACGCGGCGTCACTTCGCAGGCTCATCATCCATTCCTCGGACACCTCAACCCCACTTTGATTGACCCCAGTCCGTCCCGTAATGGCAACGTAATAACCCAACCCGGAGAGCGGTAAAAAAACGACGCCCCACGATGGCGACGCGCAACCGCCGTGCGAACCACAACGCAGAACGCAAAAAAAAACCCTAAAATAAAAATATAACAACAACCCACCAAGCGGATGCTACACAATCAACAACAATTTCTCATGCAGGGAAAGATAGACAGAGGGCACAGACGCGGGATTACAAGCGCGTCAGTGTGCACCCTGCCTCAAATACACTACTAGCGAGCCTTGGGAAACAAGCAGACGAACTCCGTGACCGACAGTGAGGAGGAGAAGAGGAACGGTGGGGTGGGTGGGGGGGGGGGGTTGTTGAACAGGGTGGGCAAATGAGGAAGGGAATAGGGGGGGGGGGGGTCCATGAGCGGAGAGGAAAGACGGGATGGGGAAGCTGGAGAAGGAAGGAAAAGCAGTAGAAGGTGGAGGAGGAGCAGGAAAGGGCAATCATCGTCGTTCTCTCCTCCTCCGTGGCTGGCTGGCTTTGAATGGACCCCAGGACTTGGCCCCCCACCCCAACTGCGACGATGAATGGACCCCAGGACTTGGCCCCCCACCCCAACTGCGACGACGATGATGCCAGTCAGTCTCTCTCTCTCTCTCTCTCTCTCTGATAGATGATGATGCCAGTCAGTCTCTCACTCTCGCTGATAGATGATGATGCCAGTCAGTCTCTCACTCTCGCTGATAGATGATGATGCCATCCTCCTCGTCCTCGTCCTCCTCCGTCGTCGGTCGGTGGTCCATCGCCACTCGCCCGCCTGCGCGCCTCCGTTGCGCCGCTGCTCCGTCGCGTGCCTACTCGGCCACGCAGCTCGGCTTCGCTCGCTCCATCCCTCCTGCTGCAGTGACAGGTGGGCGTTTCTGGCACCTATTGCTACTGATCCTATCGCCGCCTCCCACGGTCCTTGATCCCCGCCCCCAACGATCCCCCTCCCATCTCCGCTGACTTGGTCTTGAGGGTCCCCCACTTGTGCCCTCCTCCAACCGTGGCCTGTCTGAAGGGTCATTCTGTATTTCTCTTTTTTATTTGTGTTTAACCCTTGGGGTCTGTAATTAAATTTCTCTAGAAATGCAGTATGAATTACTAGATTACCATTAAAATAAATGGATAAATATAAATGTATGTGAGTGTGTGGGGATTTGATGTGTATTTTCAACGTGATTGAAGTTGTCTTCAACGTTATTTAGCATTATGAAGTAGTGATAAATATACAGAGCAACAGTGATTGAAAGAAACTAAGCATATGCTTACTCTGCCCAGGTTATTTGTCAACAAAAGATTTGTATTGCTTCACAGTTTTGGGCAATCTTCAACTTATCATTAATCGATTTAGTTATATTTGGCAAATAGGAATAAAAACAACCGTGCCAAAATGTGGTGTGTGTTTCAATCTTTTGAAATTGGTTGTGTAATAAGATTTCACTTGTAAATTTTAATTAAATGAAAATCTAATATAGGATTCGTCTATATTAAGAATTTGCACTGCAACTGATTTCATATATATATATATATATATGTGTGTGTGTGTGAGTGTGTAGTGAATAAATGAATAAATAAGAAAATTATATATGTTGATGCTAATAAATGTGCAAACAGTATTTTAACTTTAAAGAAGAAGAATGCAGTAGCTTTGTAATATATCATAATTTTGTCATGGATTGCTTTCACACATGGGTAAGTAAAAAAAAGGTTTTAAAGAAACAAGGTAGTTATGGATTTTTATTGCAACCAGGGTTGTTGGTTCTTAAACACAACTGGAGACACACGAGTACATGTTCCAAATCCACAAAAGTTAATCCAAAATCTTATTCAAAAAACACTCAAAAGTATTCAGGTAAAGTAAGAGTAATTAGTTTTTTTTTTCTTTTATTTAAAAAAATAAAAAAATAAAAACACTCATCGAGAAGAAAGTGTGTGGAAATTTATTTGGAAAGTACACCGTTTTCAATACAGGGCATCCCACCCGAATTAAATAACAAAAGGCAATACATAAAAAATACTTTTTGAGAACGTATATTCTCTATACTTTTGGTGGAGAGAGGAACACTACTCCGACACTCCACATTTAAATGTATTTGTCGGTATCAAACGTATGGCCACGGATTTGGGCACCGTGAAAAAGCCAAAAATGAACAGGAAAACTATTGCCAAAATGGCTTCATACTGATATTTCTTAGCACAATGCCACCAACCCGATTCTTCGAAATAACAATATTGCTCCAAATGATGTCATTTGCCTCCTGCCAACCACAAGTGCTTCACTTTTTCTTCCGGAGGTTTTATGTCGTAGCCTGAACCTCGAGGCTCGGTGGAATGATTTGGAGATAGGATCATCTGAGTTGGACAATTTTGCTTGATTCAGAACCTGCAGATGATGGTGTCCACGCATAAGTTTAACAGAATGTCCTAAAGGATCATGCTCGTTCGGGTCGTCAAGTTGCTTTTCTTTCTTTTTTTAAAGCCAAAATAAGCTCGTAAATAACAGATAATGAATGATGTATTCTGCAGCACAACGTTGTTAGATCGTGGTCTCGCACAAGTGAAAAAGAGTAGAGACATGTAGAAATATAAAACAAACCTGTTGCAAGTGGTTGGGTGATACGATGTGCATCCTCTGCAATCGATACATCAAGTGGGGGTAAATCTCATGCCAGATCTGGTCAAGGTGTGCAACTGAAAAACTCCAAGCAGGATGCACCCACACAGGATCTTCGACATAATATTTTAACACCCTCCTCTAACTCATACACACCCAGGTCGCATTGCCTCTTTATGTCTCAGTCCAAACCTTGACGTTTCGAAACATCAGATGTAACCTGTTGGAACATAAACCTAGATTCCAGTTGATCTTGGCAATATACTTACATCAGTGCATTTGACCAACTTGAGAACTTAAAATTCAGAACACTTGTGAAACTCAAAGTAGGGCTTGGAGGCTTGACCAACCTTCAAACCATGCCGAATGTTCAGATGACCAGCTGCCATGTTGATCGATATACGAGGTGCAAAGAAGGAGCTGAGCAGAGCATGCTGAAAAAAGAAAAAAGAAGAAGCATTCACTTGAAGCACGACCACCCACTGCTCCGTCTGTATCATTTCAATCACCGTTCTCCAAAGAGAGCAGGAAGGCCTAAACTTGCCATTGAATGTAGTTCTTATAATAAATTGAGAACCTTGGGACATATGCAGGCTCCCTCTAGCGCTAACTCTAGCTCTCACACACAGCCATGCTAACTATGTACCTATCTGCTCTGAATCTCATTTCACTCTACCTGCATGTCTGTGGGTGGAGAACATAGCCAATATGGTGAGATAATGGAAGAGCTGATGAACCAGACATCTGCTACACTGGTAACACCGGACATGTGCAAATTCCTGATGCGTAATTCAGCTCACTTGCACCGTCGCTTCGCTTCACTGTAAAGCACAACGCCAAATACGGTAAGACTGTAACCGAGCATGCCTGTAATGGTGACCGGATTGCGGAAGATAATAACAGACACCACAACGGCCACGGCACCCTTGGCATTCCCTAAAACCTGCAAAGTCAATGCACTCGTGTGCTTAGTGACCAGAAAGTTGGTGAGGTTGACAAAGTACGCCATGGCGGAGTTGATAATCAGCAGGAAAATAATCGAGATGTCCATCCGCGCAAGTGAAATTGTGATCCCTAGCACATTTTGCTCCAGTAACAATGTGGCAGGCAAAAGCACCACAACCGCAATGGGAGCCATGTACAAGAGCAGGTTCATGGAATTCAGCTTCTCTCCTTCCGAAGAAAGCAAAATACCCTGCAACACAGACTTGAGAGCTCGCGCTGCCGTCGCCGTGACACACATGACAAATCCATACATGTGGAAACTGGGTTCGCCCCCGCTGGCAATGACTACCCCCGTGACAACCGGAACAAGGGCAGCGTACACCGGCCCTGCCTCCTTCCGGAACGTCATCATGTAAGCAAACACGGCGGTGAAGAAAGGCGTGGTGGCACCGATGGCCTGGTTGAAGCTGACCGGCAGGAAGCGCAGCGAGATGTTCCCGCTTACCACAGAAGTGCAGAAAATGACGCTGAGCGCCACAATTTTCAGAAACTGCGTGCGTGATCTAATCGTCTGCAATGGCACGACCTTCATCCACGCGATGGCGACGTAGCTAAAGAGCGCACACGCCGTCATGTGGCACATCGTCAGGAAGATGGGGTATCGAAATCCATAATTGCTCAACAAATACTTGTTTAGAAGCAACACCCCAATATTGGAGAAGTACCATGCGCCTATCAGCCCCACCGTGAACGCAGACGTCGACATCTTCGGCGCTGCTCCCATGGATCCACCACCACCACCACCTCCTCCTCCTCTTCCTCACTCCCTCCTCTGTCTCCCCTCACTCCGCTTCTTCAAGGCAAACCCTCGCGCATGAGGCGCGTACAACATCCCCGTCGAACTTCTCGCGGAGTCCTGCCCGCGTCTGCCCGTCCTCGAACGTTCATCCCTCCGCCAGCTCTGTCCACTCTCCCTCACCTCCCTCGACAAGAACCTCAAGATCGCTTGCGTGCTTCCACTTTGCTTGCTGCTCTTCAGCGCTACACTATCTTGTGTACCTCTGTAATGCCAGCTTCTAGTCGACCTGCATTTCGTGCCAATTTCGGAGCTCTGCAGCACGCATCCACAAAGCACACAAGAGACCTTGAGAAATAGAGCTGAGAGACGGCAGACAGAACAGACGGCGGTGGATGAATGTTCAGAGACGGGCAGATCTTGGCAGGGATCCCGGCGAAATTCAACGTGGGATGTGTTGAACGCATCCTGTCGCGCATCCGCGCCACACCCAAACGAGAAAATCCCACACTCCCAAACACTGGGAAGGCGACCTTGTGGGGCAATCCCCGCACCGAATTTTACCAAAGCGCGCGCGAGCGACGACGCCGCACCGCCTCAGCTCGCGTCGCACTCGCGTCCTGCTCTTACTTAACCGTGCGTGGAACTTCACGTGAAACCACGCGATGTCGTCTTGTGTTGTGTGTTGGGGGTACAGGATTGGAGTATATTCAAAGGGGATCAGAATGTTGTCTGTTTTAATTTGGGGGGCATTTTTTTACGAGCTTTGTATGGATCCAAAGTTGTTGTTATGTCATTCTAATATTGTGACGATTCTCTTTTTGAACTTGGTGACACGCATAATAACGAAAACACGAAATTGTTTTTTAGGAAAAAAGTAAAAAAAGACCCCCCCCCCTCCCAGTATACATGATATTGTTAAACAAGGACGTCACTGATAGAAGTATGAAACAATTATGCACTTACAAAGAACTCGCATTTGTGCATACATATAATATGAAATGAAGATAATCAAATTTTATTTTGTGATTATTATTATTATTATTTTGATATATTGTAAACAAGCATTTTTGTTGCTTGAAGAGCTACATGCATTTCAAGTGAAGCTCTCATGACGTTGATTTTAGAATCTCATTCACTTCATGTGGACTTTGCATGCATGGAAAAGGGATTGTTGTAGAGACGTTTTAAAAGCAAGAACGAGCTAGGATACATAGAAATGTTCACACAAATAACATTGCCTTTAATATGGAAGTGGACATGAAAGGTCCACTTTTGCATCAAAATCACCGTTTTAGAGAACCTGGAAGAACACGGTTTAGTTGTGCAAGTGTCGGTGATGAAGAAACTGCTGACCAACGCAACAAATTCACGCTTTTGTCGCGTTCCGCTGATACGTTTCTTCACCTCAACCTTGTTGCGGCTTCAGATTCGCCCACTTTTCGCGCTGTGGGACGATGTTGTGACCCTAGTGGGCAGGAAGGAATCAGTTAAGCATTTTCGTTCAGCCCAGAAGTTAGCTAGGAATTACTCGTGGATGTTTTCAGAGATGGAAAGGAAAAAAATTCCAACCATCGAGACCAGCCATCTGGGATCGAGCGACATGCGACGATCGAGCGAATTACTACATTCCGCAGCATTCTGGGTAACACTGGGTTAAATTCTTAGGCAACTGGCAGAGTTGGGTTCCGCTCCGATCAATGCAACAGCAGCTGCTGCTGTGTATCAACGATGCGTATTCGTCAGGCTGCTTTCAATGGGTTGCAGAGGCAGAGAGCAAGATCCCTCAGCCATGGCCAGAGCTCCTCGCTACCTCCAGAAGCGTCTAACAGACGAATTGTCGTCACAGGTGTAGAAGGACTGTATTGAATGGTTTTTGTAAAATTTAATTTTTTTCCGACAATTTTCTGCTTCCTGAGCGGTTTCCCCCTGATGGGTTGCCCGATTTCGCATCTAAGAAGCAATGGGGTGTTTAGAAGAAGTGGCCATGGCGTCATCTGGCTTTATGAAACTGGAATGAATTCCAACTGATTTGGATTGATGAACCGTTTTGAAATTGAGAAAATTTTATTGTTGCGTTTGCGGACGAATGAATAGCGTTTGCCGAACTTTAGTGTGGAGACTCCACCTAGGAATTTTTTCGCATGAAATTAGAAACCAACGAGCGTGGTTAGAGCCAACGTCAAGTATAAGTGTTACGTTTTATTTTCAATGAATCCTTGTGATAGTGAACAGATGCACTGTTTTATTCCGCGAGTGGATGGCAGGGTTGGAACTAGTAGCGCCTCTCGGAGTAGGTGTGCAAGCAAATCAGGATCAGTTGATTGCACTGACGACTAGAGTCCATGATATGAATTAGAAAAATCTGAAATCAAAGGATTCTGCAGAAACTACCTTCTCGAGTGGACATTCTTCACACTCGCCGTCACTATTCTGACTTTGACGTTGATAAATGGCAGGTTGGTGTTACTCGTTTTGCCACTGTTTTATGAACAAAGCAATATAGTATACAGTATTTTCAAATGTTGGAACTAAGTTGAAGGAGCAGCCTAACCAGGTTTTATCGATTAATAACAATCTGCTGATGAAAAATTTCCCTCATACACAAATTAAACTCCTGAGAGACTGCTGATCTGAAGCGAAGGATGCGATTCCACTGCTTGACGTTATCTATTCTAGTGAGGTCCAGATAAACACATTGTGAGGGCGATGAGAGATCACGTAGAATGGCAAGCTTTAATACTTATCAGGTCTGCCTTCGATCGGTGTCGAAAGCATTTCAAGGTTCCATTCCCACCCATTTTGTTATTCTCCCAGAACTGAACCGCTGAAGTCAATCACTTTTCTCTCCAGATGTTGCAGTTGATGATGGAATTGGTTGAATCAACAGTATTCTGTATCTCACTTAGTCAACTAGCAGGTGTGAATCGGAGCATAATAATGACAACGGATATTCGGATATTTTGTATAATCCAGGAGGTTCTGAATTTCTCGATACCATTCGTAGGGGCTAAGCGAACGAATAGGTCGGATTGCCAACGAGCATACTTACATGTTCTCATTCCATCACAAACACCACCCGCAAGAAATAGGCAAATGGATTACCGGTGGATTCCGAATTTACTGGTGCTATAAGATTTTGCATCGTTCAAGCTGTATTGCTTACAAGACTTTGTGTAATGTTATCCTAAAACTTAACCGATTATTATTATGGAATCGTCTCTCTTCCATTCACGCCAAACACAACGCTGAAACATGAAATTGAGTATATCTCGACGTGTATGAGAAGATTAATTTGTTTACTACAATTTTAGGTTTTAGGCTTGCATTTGGACCTCCCATGTTGATGAACTTTCCCTTCGTTGGTCCAAGCACACGCCTAGAAGAAGCTATTCTAACAAATAAGTGTCAATATGTATATATATATATATATATATATATATGTTTTTTGAAGTTGAGTGAATAATTTGATGATGAGAAAACTTTATAATGATAAAAATTCAAGTCTTACAACATTCTTTGTGCTTCGAAGAGTTGCAAGAACTGTAACATCCCCTGTATCACATTGCCACCTTGCATTGATCATCATGGAATATCATACCTGAGAACAATCTTAATTTCACCTTGTGAATTAACAACACCTAAATAAAATCCAAACATCGACGTGTTTAAATCAGTGTAAGTCCTGCCCAACCCCATTGAAGTAAGAGTTGCATTCAAGATGTTGAACGAGGATTACCAGCCCTCGTCTGATGTAACGAGCAAGCACAAAACAATTTATTCATGGACAAACCATTTAAAAGAATCTTTTTACCAACCCTTCGCAAAGCAACATGACAAACATTTGTAAGACCTGCGAAAGCATGTCAGCATACGAATGTACGAATACAGCACAAACCGTTTCCAATTCACTGAAGATGAAACAATGTTATCCTCGAACTGAATGCAGCTTGATTTCCCAAGCATAGGTTTTAGTTAGTAAATAGACCCTTCAGCTTACCCTCAATTTCCTTCAGAACTTACCAGCTCTTTTCCCACTGTTCTGAAACAAATTAACTAAATATGCTGATCAAATGCATTAAGTCGTGATAAGGCACAGTAATCAAACGTGTACCATCCACGGGTTACCTATAATCTCAATTGCTGCCCCATCTAGCCGGATGCTATCTACTACTGGGAAATTTCAGATCCACCACCACAACACTAATATTGTCACTGCTACCTTTGGCTAGGGCAAATTTCACAAGAGTTGCTGCAGCTTGTGCAGCTGGTGTTTCTTCGTCCTGGCCATCTGCTTTTGGCTGACAATTCCTCTTACTATTCAGAGAGCGGCGTGCAACGTCACATGCCACCTCATTTGGCATCACATCCCAGAGTCCGTCACTAGCTAATATTAGAAACTCGTCGTCTTCAGTGCGTTTGACGCACTTCACTTCAGGCTCCGGAATGACATATGGCTTAAGATATCGATCACCTGCATCAAATAGGAGATGCAAATGCTTACAGAGAAGCAACACCTACTTCACCTCTAATGTATGACAATGTCGAGGTAAAAGATGCGAAAAACCTAAAACGATGACAGGTTATCAGGTAGATAACATACCTATGGCTCTTGACATTGCCAGCACACCAAGCACCCGATAACCATTCCAATAAATAACACGACCACCAGCAGCCTCTACGCGTGCCATCTCATCTTCTCGCTCTGGCTGCAAATTCAGATTCAAAGCCATTCATCGACAATCAGCAGGATTCCCAAAACACAACTTCACAAATTCAGTCGTCGTATTCAGATCCCCCGAACACGATTCCAAAACGTTCCTGAACGGTAGCATACCTTGTGATCCACAGAGAGAGGGATAGCAACTCCACCGCGAGAAAGGACAGCTCGAGAATCCCCACAATTTCCAATGATAATTTGACATGCACCCACAACTGCCACAATAGCAGTTGTTCCAACTGTCTCTGGAGCGATAGGTTCAGGGCAACATCTGGGATTACCGCTGGCTGAACACTCACCTTCCTCCAGACAAAAACCTCCCACTTCAGCATCTATCCTCCTGAAGCATTGAGTCATGGCCGTTTGCCATTGAGCTTCCCAACCAGGTAGGCTCTGGTCAAGATCTTGACCTTGTGCAAAACACGACTCAACTTCCTCTGCTAAAGCCTGATGCAAACGCTCCGCACAAAAATTTGCTGCCTGAGACAAACCAACACACAGACGTAAGAAGTAGGCTCAAAATGCAGGGTGCAGAGAGAGATGTCACACCAGTAAACAACAGATAAAATCAGAATGTTTCCTTTCCTTTCCTTTCCAATTATGCAACACCTCTTGTACACTACTACTTTTTAGTGTCCTACAAGGTTCGAAAGAAAGCCAACTCACTCGCCAATAAATATTCAAAATGAGGCACAGAAAACAGACATGAAAACTGTACTGTGCATAAACCTAGAACAGTTCATGTTCACAGTTTCTAGCTTATAACTTTCTGAAAATATACAAAATTACATGCATTTAACAAACTGCGCATACAGATGCACATCAATGATTATAAAAACAGTGCAAACAAACATTTACTTACCTGCGAGCCACCATGTCCATCGTAAACTCCAAAATAATGCAAAGGAGCTTCGTCCGAACCCGCAGTATAGCATCCTCCCACTTTATTGCAGGGCATCTTCATAAAAGATGATTTTGCTACTACAGCATCCTCCATTTCAGGTCTTCGTCCGCACAAACTTACTAATCCATGAGGCGGACAATCATGACTAGCAAAACACGGCACACTTGTTCCCCCGGTGTCGCCAAGAACATACTCCGTTCCAGGCGCTTGCGAAGGTAAAGCATCCTGGTATAAGTCACCAGGCATATCTATGTTTTGATTATTACCAAGTCCCCGAGTCAAAGTGTCGGAGGCAGTAGCAGCAGCCAAGCCTGCCGTTCCCAAACTTTCAGGTCCAGCTGCGAAATCCTTGATAGGTTCTTGCACAGCTTTCTTCTGCTTTCCAAGTGGACTCGGAATCTCTTCGGCAAAAGTCAACGTGGAACTCACATCAGACTCATCGATGTGGAGGCTACTGCTACTGCTTCCGCCACTGCCCATCCGGTCACTACTACTACTCCCTAAAATCTCACTCGCGTTGTTTGCACATCCATCTTCATTGCCAAGTCTAAAATCACCTGCATAGCAAACGCAATGGTCAGGGACTTACTAAACTCAACAAATCAACACAGAATGCTACGATACCCAATATGTGACCATGTTACAATCTACAATTCCGTTATCCAATACACTTGTAGAAGCTAGGATGGTGCCGCACATACTCGGAAATCACTACATAGGAGGACAGACATTTAGTTGTTACGGATAAAAAGCTAGAGCAGCGTCACTCAGACACCTAAAGTTGGTTCTAATGAGAAGCCAAATCTGTATAATACAACTCTGCATCTAGCCTCTAAGCGCGGGGATCGCATGGACTCTGTTGACAGATTCCATTTCAGCAAAAGGCTGCCCGATAAGAGGGACAGACTAAAGCGTAGAGGCTGCAACTGGCTGAAGACCAGCACAGCCGGAAGTTCAGCTTTGACGAGAAAAGCGAGACTGACCTCCGGACGGCCTCTTCCATGATGTGGATAGCGAAGAAGCAGCCTGCCCCGTCTCTCGAATCACTTCACAAACTGACAGCCTGTTTGCGCTATTCTCCTGTCTCCTCTCATCACTACAAGTAGAACCACACAGCGCATTGTCCCGATTTGTCATACACAAAGTATGGCTTCCGTCTTCATCTTCCCGTCGCACGTCAGAAATGCCAGAAACAGGGCGTGAGCGCTTACTTACGGGCTGCTCCACATAGACACTCGAGTTTGTCATCATCTTCAATCTCCGAATTTCCATCCTGCGACGCCTCAAAGAAACCACTCCATTTTTGCAGCCTGGCAACTCCTCCATCAATCCTCCGTGCGCACTTCTACAAATTTCAGCAGTGGCCATACCCTTCACTTAAATTACAGTCCGACCGTCCTCCATCCCCCGGCTTTCCACACTGCCTTCCACCATGATTAAATCTACCGCCTACAACACACCTGCATGCGCTCCAGCTCGCTCTTCTGAACAAGAGCGACCTACCGCTCCAAATACAAGCCCTCCACAACGCGCACCCGCTTCCACAAAAACCTCGGGCTGCTCGCTCCCAATCACAGACTCAAGCGCTCCCTCGTCTGGCTTCACCGCACACGCAACCTCCAACTGATCTCCAGCCTCAAAAGCATCCGCCCTTTCCTGCCACGCGCACAAACAAAACTGAATCACCACACTCTAACGCACCAACACAGCCCCGCCAGGATCGCTCACGGCCGCCGCAAATGGAGGTCCACTAGCCGGACACAAGGCTGGAACTGGACTCGACCACACTACTTCTACTACTCCTCCGCAGACAAGGCAGAGGTTGAAGACAACACGAAGACGAAGCGCGACAGGCTAGGGGAGCAAAGGGATGGCAAGGGTAAAGGAAGAGAGACACAATCTCCTATAGGAAAACACGGAGTGACACACGCAGATTGGTGGAAAGAGACTCGGGAGGAGAGGAGAGAGGGAGAGAGGGAGGGGGAGGAGGCGAAGAGCAAGCGCAGAATGATAGGACAGGAGTTGGTGCAATGGCTTGTTGATGATGTCGCCGTCGTCGTCGTCTTCATCGTCGTCGGGCATGGGTTGATGAAAAAGATCGCAAAAGAAGAAAGAAATATTGGAAAGGAAAGGCAAATACCACAAGAAAACGGGAGGCGAGAGAAGAGAGAGGAAAGGGAAACGAGAGAAGGAAGACAGGAGCACCTCTTCTTCTTCTCCTTCGTCGTCGTCGTGGTCTTCGTCTTCTTCTTCTTCCTCCTCCTCCTTCGTCAGGCAAAGGGAAGGACGCCACGACGCCAGGAGGCGAGAGATGGGAATCAGGGCTCGGCCTTCACTGCCCCTGGCCGAGGGGGTAATCGCTCGCTCGCTGGGGTCCGTAAAGAAGCCCACGTGGCGGACGGGGCGGAGTTGGGCGCTGGCAGGAGGTGATAGGCAAGGAGGCGAAACAAATGCGGTGCGTCATCGGGAACTGAGCCAATTAAAAAGATTTAAGGAGCCCACCCCAGCGATGCCCGCCATTTGGCGTGAAGCCACGGGCCCTCATCCTCCATCTTGGCTTGAACGTCGCTTGCCTCGTGTCGACGCTTTCTTTGCCCTCCCCTTCGTTCGCACTGCGATCCCCCCTCACTGGCACCCCGGGCATCTCCAGCTCACCCCCCCCCCTCTTTCTCCTTCCTCAACGCCCCGCCTGTTGCCTGTTGTCCGTTGCCCGTTGCTGCCCTTAACTCCGACCCGCTGTCCCTGCATGCTAGCCAGCCAGCCAGCCAGCGGCGACAGAAAACGCCGTGCCGTGCCTTGCCGTGACGTGCCGTGCCGTGGCCTGCCTGGATGTCCTTCTTTGCAACGGCACCAATCGCATCCCCCCTCCCTCTCATCCTTCCGTCAATCTCAACATTTCACCACGGCTTTCCCCTCTTATTTCTACACAAGTACCATGTCTGATTTAGATATACACACATGTGCACACAAATCAATGTAATCTTTTCATGATGCAACGAAACCAACATGTATTGACGATCGTTTTCTTCTGAAACATCTTTTTTACAGAATTGAGAATAATAGAGTTTATCATTATCATTCATGTCACTGGTGTATATCAGGAAATTTAGAGTGTAGTGAGTGGATTCCACAAATGCATCTATTCATATCTTCACACGATTTTCAATAAGAAATGCATCTATTGTATTTATTTATTTGTTTGTTTTCCAGTTGGTTTGATTGTTTGGTTTGGTTTGGTTTGGTTTGGTTGTTTGTTTGTATGTTTGTTTTTCCTGGTTTTTTTTCCCCACATTTACAAGAGAAATAAAATCATGATATCAAACGAATGAAAAATATGAGAGTAACAATTTGTTAATGAATAAACCTGAAGTCAATCAAGAGTAGAGTTTCAACAACAAATCAAAAATGAAGTAGAGTTTGTTTATTCAAAATCAATGCAAAATACAGACTTCTATGTCTCATTTCAATTGACACTAAATATGTTACAAAATTTACTTTATTCAGAACTTGTGATGTTTATTCAACCCTAAAAATGTTACGTCTACCATTTGATTTGTGCATAGACAACTCAACATCACATTTTCTGGTGGTTAAAGGCTGGCTCAAACGCAAAACTAGTGCAGATATTTTATCCGTAGCATAGAGACAATCCAATTATCAGTTAGATCAACAGTTTACTAAAATATAGAAGTGGAAATGTAGTAGGTATGTGTATTACTCAGTTGAATATTTGTCAGATATTACAAACACACTTTGTTACGTTGGTAGGCCTCCTCACTTGGTAGAAAATAGTATTGGCTATCGGCACTACCTGGTCTCCTCTACAGCTCAGGTTGATCGCCGAGGGTTTGAATCCTCGAAGTGGCATGCATGGTCTACTTGAGTAGGAGTTGCGATTGTCATTGCGTTTGAAGCTGAAGATAGAGTCGTGGATCGGTGAACCTAGAGTGTTGCCGAGGGTGATAGAAGATGGAAATATCGGCGAGCGAGAGGGGAGACGAATTTGAAAGCCGAATGTGACATCGATAGATGCGAAATGGTCGATGACAGGATGTGTCGATCAGGCCTCCTTGAACTTGAGGAGCAGCTGTAGCAACACAAGTTTTTCGTAGCATGCATAATTTTGTAATTTTTTTGGTGTTTGGTTTTTGGAGGGCGACCATCGCCGAGTAAAAGTTGCGGAGGTTGCCGTGTATGAGAAGACACTCCTGGTGGAAGCGAGTACGCGAAAGTGGTTGTGTACATGGATCGGATGAGTCGGACGAGTGACGGGATGGGAACTGCGCCAAGGGCGTTCCACCGCGGCTTGGAAGTCTTAGGCAAATGCGGAGGAAGATGTCTCGCTTGTGAGGGGGAGGGGCGGGTAGATAGCAGCTACGCGCCAACGAGTTTCTTCAGCAGCACAGCAGTCTCACAGTTGCCTCTCAAATCTCTTAGCGGAGCTGGATATCGATAAGATCGAAATTTTCTGGAGATAAGCATACTCATGCATCGTTTGGTAATTCTGCGCGTGAGACAAATTCTACCCTTTTCCGAAAATAGGATATGACGACAGTAGTTGGCCTCATCCTGGAAAAGCAACGGAGGTTCATCCTCAGAGGAAGAGTGTTCTTTTCATGAGCAGAAGGAAAGCCCTGAAAGGTCAACTGCGTGCGACAAGCAAGCGATTGGAGGCCCTGAAGAGTGATGCAGTGCCGAATGAGGATCAACTTCACCAGATCCAGACCCTAGATGAGGAGTGAACTCAAGGAGAAGCACCCCCTGGACGACGAGAGTTTATCAGCTGTTGGCTTCCACGTTCATCTGCATCAGAGACAAGGATCTGCGTTGCAGTGTCCAAGCCTGTTCATAATCCTCAAATGTGCTTGAGATGAGCCAAAATGAAGAAAGTCTTGTCACTTCCGAATGATTCAGTGTTTCGCACGCTTGATACTGCGGATATATAGCTTGCTTGCTTACAATCCTTAAAGAAATGTAAACACTGACCAGCGCCAATTGACTAGACAAACAGCGCCAACTGCTTCAGCACCTCTGATTGGAGGATCTTGAAGACATTGACGACTTAACTTTGCTGAATCATGAAGAATGGCAGACATTTCGGGAAGAAACTAACCAAGATGCTTTATGTTTTGGTAATCGACCGGCAGCTTGATGCTTTGTGTCGATTATTGCTTCGGGTTCTATTACACTGGTATCGAGAGTATAGAATCGGTTATCTGCCCGAAGATTCAACCTGAACCTCTGGTTGAAAAATTTGGTTTGGCTTATTTTACACCCACTGCCGGTTCTTCTCGTTCATTGCAGAGGACGCAACAGAAGCTATTTTCAGGAACCGGAAACCTCATCAGCAATCAATTTTTCGATTTATACTTTTTGGTCAGGTTTGTGATTACATTTAGACCCCAACCAAGTGCTGTGAACAAGCTTAATAATCCCAAGGTTTTCACATAGTGCCTACGAGAAGAAAAATGACCAATGATTGGGAAGGAAGCAGACGTCTCGCGTAACGGAGCTCTCGCAGCTGTCGGAAATCCTGTGCTCAGAAGAGCGTAACTGGTGTTCCAACCCAAGTGTAACTCTTAAGGCATGAATTAGGTGGTGGCAAGGTGTCCGAACCAAGTGTAACAGGCGATCGAGACTATCATGGAAATTGAGTTGGAATGGCAACTTCGTGAGGGTTCCCTGAGCTTTCACTCGCAGTTCGTCAACAAACGTTGTGAATTTACATTGCTTGCAAGTAGCCACTGCAAAACCTTACTAAGTCCTTGGGGTGCCTGCAACATACTTGAAATGACCGAAAAGGTGCATCGGATCTATTATGTAGAGTCTTCAACGACTTCATACGATGCTGCGAAAAGTAGGTGTGGCAAGGGATGGAGATAATTTCTGAACATCGGTTATGAACTTCACAATGCGTTTTCATTCAGTTTGCGAATACTTAGATCCATCAAGGACTACGATTGCAGAGCCTGTCTCTACTAGGTGCAGTAATAATCAAAAGTAGAATATGACATATATCTGCAAACACAGCAGCACTCGCTTGAGAGGCGGATGCTAAATCTTTCTCCTGCATCAAAAACTGTATGCACACGATCGTTTCCAAAATGAATAAAATGAAAAAATAAAATTTACGAGACACGAAACAAAATGACAAAATAAATGTTGTAAAAAATTGAGGCGTTTCCGGATTCCCAATACTTTGAGATATCAAGCACCAGATGGGGGATCATGCAACATCAGTCCTGCAAGCCTTACCTCTTCAGGGTTTATCCAATCCCACTATCTTCACACTTGGTTGAAGTGAACATTTCGTTCAAATTCATGAACGCTTTCTTCAAATACCTACTCTCATGGTGGAATCAAAAAGCCGCAGCGGCCCTGCCGAAATGGGAAGTATGTCGTTGAGCAGCATCATGCCGTCGACAAGAAGCCAGAACATCACGCAAAGCGGTCAAAAGAACCGTAGAGGGACGCCGCTCTTTCTGCTCCCTACAAAAAGCTATGTGCATCTCAGCTCCGCGACATTTTCCACGGAGCTAGGATTTGAGAAATTGAACAAGACAATATAGGGGACTCAAACTTTAAAAAACACAAAGGTGGAAATCATAATTCCTGATTTCAACACTGATTTTGAAGGATGTAAGCACTTGTATCGAATTTGATAAAACCACCTAATAGGTGGTTATACATAATATCTACCTCTTATATATATTAAAAGATATCTTGTTGTGGCTCAGTTGTGTCAATAAGGGATTGTGTTGGAACAACCTGGCAAGCAACAAGCGGCAAATATTGCAGGTCGGCATCAGGACCGGGTTTAAATTTTAATATGTGTAAAATTTGAAATTTGATATGAAGAGGGAAATATCAAAGTATATTAACAACATTCTCGACTTGATGTAAACTGGTCTTTGAAATTGGCAAGAACTTATAATAAATGAAGACCATCATTGACATCAGCATTGATCTAAAAAAGATATAAAAACTTATATGAATTTGGGATTTTTAAGTTTAATCCTTTTAATGTGTATATATATATATATATATATACATACATACATACATACATATAAACATATGCATAATTATATTTTCTTTCATATGTATGTGTGTGTATATATGTATACATACACAAATAATTAAAATAATACAATATATTTGTAATTTTTACTATGTTTACATATCCTTTTAAGTTTGAAAGATGTAAATTATCATAAGAATTTAATTTTTTCATTCATTCTTTAATTTGTAGTTATTAGCCAATTATGTTTTTAATGTAGTAAAATATTGTTTTTGTCCTAGTACACTAAGAAGTACTAAGAAGCACTAAAAAAACACTAAAAAGCACAAAAAAATCTACTTATAGAAAGACTTGTCAAAAGATTTTATTATTTTTTTTCATGGACATATACACATTTGTAAAGATAAAAGGAATTAAATAGAAGTAGAAGTAAATAAATTTGATAATATCTTGTGGAGAAGCTTTATAGACATAGATTTGACTTTTTGAGTGTTTGTAGATAATTAATAGGTTGAAAACTTGGTTTAAAAGTTGGCAATATGTTGCATATATTAATGAATAATTTTACAAATTGGCCACATGTTGCACATGTTGGTTACTTATTGTATGAATTGGCTATGTAGCATACAAGTTGGATACTTATTTTGTAAGTTAGATGCATGTCTAACAAATTAGACATGTGTCAAATGACATATAGAATGTTGATACATAGTTCTTTAGTTGGATAGTATGTATAGAGGTAAGAATAAAACCTTCTTTATTTTTGTCAATGATTTTTTTGTGTTATGTCTTAATTTAAGAATCTCTAATTTCTTTGTATTTTGAAATATGTATTCTAGTTTCTTTGATTATTTATTTTTTTATTTTTTTTTGAAGATCAAAAGAGTATGTTACATCTTTAGAATTTTATTGTTATTCATGTTCTTGATAAATTAATAAGACTTATAATTTATTATTTTTGTTTTGTTATTATAAGTGAATAGATTATTTCACTTCTTTCATTGTGTTTTAAGGGTTACAAACCACCAACCTATACATATATATATATATATATATATATATATATTTTTACTATTGATTAATTTCTTTATAAAATCATATTTTCTATCTTTATAGAAATTTTTATTTTATATTAGAGGTTGCAAATTACCATCTTCTAATTTGATGTGAAAATTTATTAAAGTTTATTATTATAGAAATAGCATAAAAAAAAATTATGGATGCTATGCTTAGTAGAAGTAAGAATAAATTTACAACTATTGCATATCTTTTAAAGCTTGTCAATATCCTTAGGAAAAAAAAGATCATATATTACTAATATCAATTATAGAAGTACTATTTCAATACTTATGAAAGAAGTCACAATAAAATCTAATATCTACATCAAAAAATTGTGTAGTATAGAAAAACAAGCAAATCAATTTTATAAGTAAATTCAAAAAGCCTTGTTATTTTGAGTATGAAAGAAGTACATATTAGTATGCCAAAGAAGTTTAATGGAATGAAATAAAAAAATTGAGGATTTCTACATCAAACCAAGCTCTATTTAAAGTTATGACATTTCTAATGTTATGTGAGATTTACTCAAGTTGGCTTTATATGTACATTCATATCTAGGAATGCTCTCTCTTAGTTTGCACATTTGATAAAAAATGATTCATGATTCTTACATGATTTAAATTTATTATTAAAAGTTCTTATGGTCATATTATAAGAGAGTGATTAAGAAAAAGTAGTTAAAATAAAATTTCTATTATTGCAATAAGTATTATAATCAACAACTATTTATATTGCCAAATTTCAAAGTCTTATTCACAATGTAGATTGGAACAATAAAATCTTTATCAATAAATTTAAATACGGATTAAAAAATTATTTTAAAGATTTATTTTTAATAGTACCAAAAACAAACTCATTTTGTAATGCCAAAAACAAACTCCTTCTAAGTAATCCTTAACAATCTTAATCAAAATTTAACCAATTCAAAATAAATTTAAAAGTAATTATAAAAGAAATATAAAAGAGTTATAAATTTATCAAAAAAATAATAATAAAGAAATTTCAAAGAAACACAAAAATAAAATCTTTAAAGAGATAAAAAAAATCTTTAAAAAATATTTAAAGAAATAATAAAGAATCCTAAAAAAATATTAAAAATGATAATTCTATATAAATCTTAAGTAAATCCTATATATTTCCTAATCAAATCTTGATGTAGTTTTAATCAAGTTTTAATCAAATTTTAATTAAATTATAGACCAAATCATAATCAAATCCTAACCAAATTCTGAATTAAATCCTAATTAAATCATATACCTTGTTATCTATTATCTATAATTCTAAGATAATTTGCTAAAATATTTTTATTTAAGTTCTTCTATAATATTAGCTTTCCTTTCTTCTCTCACCATATAGTTGTGTTATCACACTATGTTGTGCAATTTGAATCTTGTACAATACCTACTAAAGATCTTATTTCTTCTTCAAAATCTCAATTTTTTTCCTTATAGATATTTATTTAGGATCTAAAAATCAAAAAGCCTCTATCTTATTAAATTTAGAAGATTTAACCTATTTTATAAATATAAATTTTGTTAAAAATATAATATATCTTTAGTAAAGAAAACTAAGTATGTGCATGTAGAAGTCATAAATGATTGTTTCTTGATATTTGAAAATGTTACCTATCAAATTATTCTTATAAATATAAAAAAATGGTAGTAATAGCTTAATAATATTTAATATTATTAGATTTTATTCTAGTCTAGTTATTTAAGGATTATTATGGTTGAGAATGTGTAAATATATTAAATATCTTCCAATCTTAATTATTTACATTTCACAATAAAGATTTTGGCTACTCAAGAAGAAATTTATAAGTTTAATGTAACAAAAATATTATATATAGATGCAAGAGCTTTAATAAATAATTCAATCAAAATATCATCTTTTATTATTCATGCTACATCCATTTCTAATTATAAAAAGACATCAAGTAATATAATAATCTAATACAAAGATTTTCAAGATGTTATTAAGAAGAAGAATACTAATACTCTTTTAGAGCATTGTTTTGATGATGAAAAAGGTCAAATGCCATTTGGACCAATCTACAACTTCTCACAAAATAAGTTGGCTTTATTCAAAGCTTATATTGATGAAAACTTAGTATTCAAGATAATTTTTAACAATTAATATGCACCAAATATGATGTTTATATATATATATATATATATATATATATATATGCAAAGATAGAAAAGCATGTATTTAACACAACTTAAGTTAATTTAAAGAATATTTTATTTTAGATAATAGACTTATGATGGATTTTGAAAAAAAATTAGACTATTATAGATTAAAATATTTCAAGAAAAATGAAAGATATATATAATATTTTTAGAATTATTTAATTATTATTATATTTTTATTTAATTATTATTTTAAAATTATATTTATATTAATATATTTGACCTATGAAGCCAAACTTGAGTGAAACAAAGAAGTTGAAACAACATTTGAAGCTATAAAGTCACCTTTTAATACAACTCCAAACTTGTATTATGTTGATTTTTTAAAGATGGTTATTTATAAAAATATATGCATCGGATGTTGTCTTAGGTATGGTATTGTCATAAATGGATGTAAATAAAAAAATTCATCTTGTAGCTTTCTATTCAAGATAATTTTTAACAAATAAGATAAATTATAAGATCTATAATAAAGAACTTCTTTCAATTGCAAATTCATTTTAAGAATAGCACTATTATTTGCAAGATTCTTTTATTTTAATATTTTTTTATACAAATTATAAGAATCTTAATTATTTTATATCAATAAATATTTTAAATTATTACTACACCTATTGGAATGTGTCTTTGTTAAGATTTCTATTTAATATCAATTGTTGGCTAAGAAAACAATAAGATTTGTCAAATGTCCTTTCTAAACATTCTTATTGTGCATAAAAAGAATGAGATGCAGCTTTTGATTAATAAGAAGACCATTTGAAGCCAAAACAATTTCATCTTTGAGGAATGAAATCAATATTAACTATCAATCTAATATTTTTTAATAAAGTTTAAACAAGTTTGTTTTTAGGTCTTCTTGTGGATGATATTAAGGACAATTTTATGATGCTTTTAAGTTTAAATTATCATTATTATTATTATTATTATTATTATTATAAAAAATACTTATGATTTTTAGAAAGTAAAGCACATTTATGAGCTCTTTAAGCTCAATACAATATTCTAGTTTCATCACATTTTAAATAAAATAAGACATTAGAATTAATTTTAAGAGATTTTTAGTAATGTCAAATTTAAAAGATTGTTGAAGGCTCTATAAAATCATGTGATATTTGTTCAAGATTAAAAAACTTATTATCAGTAGTCATTTCAACTTCTTTACCTATTATTCATATTATTACAAATATAGTCATATATTTTTATATATTTTATCATCTATCTTTTAGTATTAAGTTTTTATAAATCAATATTTGTAATAGTGAATTGCTTCACTAAAATGCCATAATTTTTATTATATACAAAAAATATTATATGTGAAGAAATAAATATATAATTTTTTATAATATTGATTGCTATTATGGATTATTAAGAGATATAATATTAGATAAAAAGTCTTAATTTATATTTAGGTTTTAGAAATTATTTTTTAAAATATTAAAAGT